AAAGAAAAATCATCAAAGGATTTCAAGCAAGATGCATTGCGCAAGAAACATTGAGGTTTGCAACCGGAAGACTTCTATAAAATTGTAAGTGTCTAAGAAAAACACATCAAAAGTTTCAAGCATACACCTTCAGGATTGTTTCATCTGTGCATCAACTCGACCATCTCAAATTCAGGCCTGCAGCGTTTGCAAGATTTCTGGTACAATTCAAACCTCATCAGATCAAGTTTTTGTTTGAGTATCCCTTCAGTGTTTTGTTAAAGCCATCAAAAGATTTCAAGCAAGACGCATTACACAAGAAAAATTGATGTTTGCAACTTGAAAACTTCTACAAAATTGTAAGTGTTTAAGAAAAACAAATCAAAAAGTTTCAAGCAAGATGCATTGCACAAGAAATATTGAGGTATGCAACTGGAAGACTTCTACAAAATTGTAAGTGTCAAAGAAAAACACATTAAAAAGTTTCAAGCAGACACCTTCAGGATTGTTTCATCTGTGTCTCAACCCGACCATCTCATCTTTAGAAAAACACATTAAAAGTTTCAAGCATACACCTGAGATTGTTTCATATGTGCATCAACTCGCCCATCTCAAATTCAGACATGCGGCGTCTGCAAGATTTTTGGTACAATTCAAATTTCCTTAGATTAATTTCTTGTTTGACAATGCATGTATCCCTTCAGGGTTTTATTGAAGAAAAATTCATCAAGACTTCAAGCAAGACGCATTACATAAGAAACATCTAGGTTTGCAACTGGAAGACTTCTATAAAATTGTAAGTGTCAAAGAAAAACACATTAAAAAGTTTCAAGCATACACCCGAGATTGTTTCATATGTGCATCAACTCGACCATCTCAAATTCAGACATGCAGCTTCTGCAAGATTTCAGGTACAATTCAAACTTCCTTAGATCAACTTCTTGTTTGACATATGTGTGTATCCCTTCAGTGTTTTCTTAAAGAAAAACCATCAAAGGATTTCCAGCAAGATGCATTGCGCAAGAAATATTGAGGTATGCAACTGGAAGACTTCTACAAAATTGTAAGTGTCAAAGAAAAACACATTTAAAAGTTTCAAGCAGACACCTTCGGGATTGTTTCATCTGTGTCTCAACTCGACCATCTCATCTTTAGAAAAACACATTAAAAGTTTCAAGCATACACCTGAGATTGTTTCATCTGTGTATCAACTCGCCCATCTCAAATTCAGACATGCAGCGTCTGCAAGATTTTTGGTACAATTCAAACTTCAGTAGATCAATTTCTTGTTTGACAATGTATGTATTTTCAGGGTTTTATTGAAGAAAAATTCATGAAAAGACTTCAAGCAAGACGCATTACAAAAGAAAAAACTAGGTTTGCAACCAGAAGACATCTATAAAATTGTAAGTGTCAAAGAAAAACACATCAAAACGTTTCAAGCCTACAACGAAAATGTTTCATCTGTGCATCGACACGACCATCTCAACTTATAAAAACATATTAAAAAGTTTCAAGCCTACGACGAAAATGTTTCATCTGTGTATCGACTCGACCATCTCATCTTTAGAAAAACACATTCAAAAGTTTCAAGCATACACCTGAGATTGTTTCATCTGAGCATCAACTCGACCATCTCAAATTCAGACATGCAGGGTCTGCAAGATTTTTGGTACAATTCAAACTTCCTTAGATTAATTTCTTGTTAGACAATGCCTGTATCCATTCAGGGTTTTATTGAAGAAAAGTTCATCAAAAGACTTCAAGCAAGACCCATTACAAAAGAAACATCTAGGTTAACAACCAGAAGACTTCTATAAAATTGTAAGTTTTGAAGAAAAACACATCAAAAAGTTTCAAGCCTACGACGAGAATGTTTCATCTGTGTATCGACACGACCATCTCATCTTTAGAAAAACACGTTAAAAAGTTTCAAGCCTACGACAAGATTGTTTCATCTGTGCATCAACCCGACCATCTCAACTTAAACAAACATATTAAAAAGTTTCAAGCCTACGACGAAAATGTTTCATCTGTGTATCGACTCGACCATCTCATCTTTAGAAAAACACATTAAAAAGTTTCAAGCATACACCCGAGATTGTTTCATCTGAGCATCAACTCGACCATCTCAAATTCAGACATGCAGTGTCTGAAAGATTTTTGGTACAATTCAAACTTCCTTAGATCAATTTCTTGTTTGACAATGTATGTATCCCTTCAGGGTTTTATTGAAGAAAAATTCATCAAAAGACTTCAAGCAAGACCCATTACAAAAGAAACATCTAGGTTTGCAACTGGAAGACTTCTACAAAATTGTAAGTGTTTAAGAAAAATACTTCAAAAAGTTTCAAGCAGACACCTGAGATTGTTTCATCTGTGCTTCAACTTGACCATCTCAAATTCAGACATGCAGCGTCTGCAAGATTTCAGGTACAATTCAAACTTCCTTAGATCAATTTCTTGTTTGACAATGACTGTATCCCTTCAGAGTTTTATTGACTTAAAGCAAGACGCATTACAAAAGAAAAAACTAGGTTTGCAACCGGAAGACATTTATAAAATTGTAAGTGTTGAAGAAAAACACATCAAAAAGTTCCAAGCCTACGACAAGATTGTTTCATCTGTGCATCAACCCGACCATCTCAACTTAAACAAACATATTAAAAAGTTTCAAGCCTACGACGAAAATGTTGCATCTGTGTATCGACTCGACCATCTCATCTTTAGAAAAACACATTAAAAAGTTTCAAGAATACACCCCAGATTGTTTCATCTGTGCATCAACTCGATCATCTCAAATTCAGACATGCAGCGTCTGAAAGATTTTTGGTACAATTCAAACTTAAGTAGATCAGTTTCTTGTTTGACAATGTACAATGTATGTATCCCTTCAGAGTTTTATTGAAGAAAAATTCATCAAGACTTCAAGCAAGACCCATTACAAAAGAAACATCTAGGTTTGCAACCGGAAGACTTCTATAAAAGTGTTGAAGGAAAACACAATGAAAAAGATTTATAACCCGTGCTTAAGGGGTTAACATAAATTTTCTGAATATTTATTTTTAGTGATTTAAGTTATGATTGAAATCAACGATATAAAATCAAATAAGCATTGTCAAATGAATCAAGAATATGCAGCAGTATGCTAATTGTGAGCATGCATAATTTCTTTATTAAACAGGAAGAAGTTATACCAAGTGGAACCGCAAAGATGAAGCCTCTGTGAAAAGGGAATTCAAAGAGTACATCATGGACAAGACATCAACGAGAATGTTTCATCTGTGTATCGACCCGACCATCTCATCTTTAGAAAAACACGTTAAAAAGTTTCAAGCCTGCGACAAGATTGTTTCATCTGTGCATCAACATGACCATCTCAACTTAAAAAAACATATTAAAAAGTTTCAAGCCCACGACGAGATTGTTTCATCTGTGTATCGACTCGCCCATCTCAAATTCAGACATGCAGCTTCTGAAAGATGTTTGGTACAATTCATACTTCCTTAGATCAATTTCTTGTTTGACAATGCATGTATCCCTTCAGGGTTTTATTGAAGAAAAACATCAAAAGACTTCAAGCAGGACGCATTACACAAGAAACATTGAGGTTTTGCAACCGGAAGACTTCTATAAAATTGTAAGTGTCAAAGAAAAATACATCAAAAAGTTTCAAGCCTACGATGAGAATGTTTCATCTGTGTATCGACACGACCATCTCATCTTTAGAAAAACACATTAAATAGTTTCAAGCATACACCTGAGATTGTTTTATCTGTGCACCAACTTGACCATCTGAAATTCAGACATGCAGCGTCTGCAAGATTTTTTGCAACCGGAAGACTTCTATAAAATTGTTAGTGTTTAAGAAAAACACATCAAAAAGTTTCAAGCCTACTGCGAGATTGTTTTATCTGTGTATCGACCCGAACATCTCATCTTTAGAAAAACACATTAAAAAGTTTCAAGCCTACACCTGAAATTGTTTCATCTGTGTATCAACACGACCATCTCATTTTTAAAAACACATTAAAAAGTTTCAAGCATACACTTGAGATTGTGCTTTTCTAAAGTGTATCGACCCGACCATCTCATCTTTAGAAAAGCACATTAAAAAGTTTCAAGCATACACCTGAGATTGTTTCATCTGTGCATCATCTCGATCATCTCAAATTCAGGCATGCAGCGTCTGCAAGATTTTTGGTACAATTCAAACTTCCTTAGATCAATTTCTTGTTTGACAATGCATGCATCCCTTCAGGGTTTTATTGAAGAAAATCATCAAAAGACTTCAAGCAAGAGGCATTACACAAGAAACATTGAGGTTTGCAACCGGAAGACTTCTATAAAATTGTAAGTGTCAAAGAAAAACGCATCAAAAAGTTTCAAGCCTACGACGAAAATGTTTTATCTGTGTATCGACCCGACCATCTCATCTTTAGAAAGTTTCAAGCCTACAAATCTGTGCATCAACCCGACCATCTCAACTTAAACAAACATATTAAAAAGTTTCAAGCCTACGACGAAAATGTTGCATCTGTGTATCGACTCGACCATCTCATCTTTAGAAAAACACATTAAAAAGTTTCAAGCATACACCTGAGATTGTTTCATCTGTGTATCAACTCGCCCATCTCAAATTCAGACATGCGGCGTCTGCAAGATTTCTGGTACAATTCAAATTTCCTTAGTTGAACTTCTTGTTTGACAATGCATGTATCTCTTCAATAAGTGTTATAGAAAAACACCAAAAGACTTCAAGCAAGATGCATTACGCACGAAACATCGAGATTTGAAACCAAATGACTACTTCAAAATCATGTTTAAGAAAAACACAAGAAAAAGTTTCAAGCCTACACCTGAGATTGTTTCATATGTGTCTCGACCCGACCATCTCATCTTCAGACACGTCACCTCTATCAGATTTCTGCTACAATCCATACATCGTTAGCTTGAGCTTTTGTCTGACAATGAATGCATTCCTTCAGTAGTGTACAACAGGGCTAAGGTATGAGTATAGACATCCCTCAGTACAGCCGTAAGAATTATAGATTCAATGAATTTCCTCCCAATGGCCCTGTGAAAGTTACCTACTGCGATCGGGAAAAAGTTGAAAAAGAGGTTCTTTCCCCACCATTTCAACACACACACACCAAAAGTATGTTGGATCAATTCCTTATGCTGAACACTACAACTCCGACTCCTGTCGGAAGAATGTAGAAAAGAATTGTATGCATGGTACCAAACACAAAAGGGGCCTTCCCATCCTTTGAACTGCAGAAGAATTGTTGTCATGTTAAGATTCTGATCCTTAATTTGAGGATGTTTCCCCTCTGGAATGAGTTTGAAGAACTTGTACACTGCTAGTTCTTAAAGATTTAAGTGAAGCATCCTCATCATTTAAAAACTGGTCCCTCCAAACACATTTTAAGTCTGTTCAAATTCTGACAGCAAAAAAAAATAAAAATACCACAACAGGTGATACACATTCCTGCGTTTTTAAGAGCTTGAATGCATTTCAATCCTTCAGGAAACTTGGGCAAGTGAATTGGTTCTTCATTTCCTATGGTTGATTGATGGACAAGAACAATACTTACCTGCCTTGAAGCAAGGAAAGCGAACAGGGGATAGGGGCTGAGTTACATGGACCAAACCTGAGCAGAGTCATGGGCTGGGAAGGCTGAATCATCACAACAGGAACTGTATGGGCAGAGCTGAAAACTTGCGTGCAGAAACATTCACGCTGACCTAATGATAACAATAAAAAGTAAATCATTATTGCAGAAACAAACAATTAGCCGAGAGTTCTAAATAAAATAATCAGAGTAAATATGCACATCTGAGCATCAGGGTCAATGTTTGTTCCAAGTTTCAATAAAATCCATTGTACCGTTTAAAAAAAGAAAACCACAGCACAGGGAAATATAATAAGCACAAATACAAAGAAAAACAAATGTATTTCGAAGCTTCGCCGAACATGCACCTATTATTTGTCAACATTTAGCTTCATCAGCCACTGTTACCTTGCAAACTTACCGATCTACCGCACATGTACATGTATAACTTGCTTCATAATGAGCAACCTCTCCAACTTGATTCAAAATTTCAAAACCTCCCCGTTATAAAGTTGCACTGAAAATCAGCACAAACTTGCCCTAACTCGGCTTTCCAATTTTCTCCACATGTAAGTTGTAAGTGCTTCATCCTGACAACTGGAAAACTGTTGCAATGTTCAGAGACTGTGACGAGAGCCGCATCCTCAACTTTTGGTGCCTTGTTGGTTTCTGCTTTAAGTACTGCACCCACAGGTAATTTATGCCCAACTAAGCTTTTCTCCAAACAGCTTTTATGGAGTTATAATCTCCTCATAAAGCCTACTCCTAACAATGACCTAAGCTGAAGACCATTACCTATGCATGAAGGTATGGATGGCTCTATGGAAAAGCTCCTGCAGTGGATAGGAGCTTTTGAGCACATGGATCAATGAAGCAGGAGGCAACCTCTATAGAAAGGGAAACCTGCAAGCAGGTTTTTTTTCCCCATGACACACTGTGAATGCGCACAACACTGATCGCCCGTATTGAATGCTTATACAGTCTAGTCTCGTTATAACAAACTCGTTCGGACCTAGCCAAATTGTTTGTTATATCAGAATTTTGTATTAAGAGGAACATCAGTCCCATTCATTGTGCACATAAATGCACAGTCGGGACCATGACTTTATGTTTGTTATAACCAGAATTTTGTATTAACAGAGTTTGTACAAACAAGAGTCGACTGTACTCTTTTTGTGGTAGGGCAACCTTTGTAAACCAACAGATTATGTTGCTTGCCATTGAGAGACCCAGAATTGTTTTCGTAACTTGTTACATCTGAGTAAGACATGAAAACTTCTCCAATTTAAAACCTGGTACAAAACTCAGGATTTGGCTGATTTATTAAGCAAAACCTTCATGAACATTACAACAAAGTGATGTATCATATCACATGTACTTTATCTTCTCAGTGTGGAAGCTGCATCCTGTAGTCATTTATTTCTTTAAGGGTCCAGTAAGGTAAAGGCTCAGTGTCAGAAAGCAATGTAAAGAAATAACAGATTTAGACATAGGAGTAAAAGCCCAGAAGAATATGTTGAGGAAAACCCGTGGAATCAAATAAGGACTGAAAATCCAATCCATGTTTTGGCCCAGACAGGAATCGCACCCAGGTTATTCGTTTTAGATGTAATAAACGTTTTGTCTCAGTCCAGCTGAGTTTGTATTTAACAAGAGTGGAGTGTACTCGCTGTTCTGCCCAAAACCGCCCTGCCTTCTACCCTTGCAGGACCAACAAATACCCATTAAGCAGTCTATATTGGTCTTTATGGATAATTTATCAGCGAATAAACATGTTATATGATGTAGTACAGGTGCCATTGAGCTTAAACAAATTTGCCTGAAGCTTTGTGGGCACCAATTTGCTTACATCAAAGCCGACTCCTTTACACAGATCCTAATTTGCATAGCTTTGCAAGCCGAAGTGCAGCCGCCCACTAAGATGGATTCGAAGCTTTGCAATTTCAGTTTGCAGTTTTAGAAGATGGATCAATGAAGCCATAAAGTTAATGGCAGGCAGACTATAAAAAAAATGGGGGCTGCACTCCTTTTGTCCGCCCTCAATGTAATCAAGAGCTTTTGTTAAGGCAACTAGGCCCCCTTCCCCCACATGCTGCATGGATCTTTTACACAAACAAGTCATTTATCATTTACTGAATGGGTTGTGACTGCATGCATGCATACCTCAGAGAGTTTCAGAGATAGGAGGGGGCTCACGCCATCCAATAAAAACATCTATTCATTTGCATGCCAGTTTTCATTGGTTGCTGGGTGTTACCAATCAGCACTCCAGATCCAACAACCATTGAGAATCAAAAGCATGGGTCTGGGATCTAGATAAGCAATGAATGCAACCAGTGAGCGAGGGCAGAATGATAACGCATTGGGCCCGATTGATAGAGGTTCATTGGTCGATCATTTGCTCCTTGGGCATTTTTTTACATGAAGCAACAAAATGCTCATAAATCTCTTTGAATATGCAAAACAAATAAACATGTTGAAGTTTTAGCTCAGTGGCTACAAGATTTTGAGAAAACCTTTCAGTTTTCTTCTGGTCTCATAAATGGATTCTCGGACTCGCACACAGTTTGGGGGTTACTCTCCTTTGGTATCTGGGAAAATTTTCGATGATCTTAATGTTGATGCATCAAAACAAGTTGATGCATCATTTTCTCACCTTGAATACAGCAGCAACCCTGCTTAACGTCATGTCAGTCGGGGGGATTGTGAATCTTCACCTGCCCATGTCCACTTCGTACTGGGTGTCCGAGGGCAGATTTGTGGAAGTAAAACTGGTTTCTGAAAGGAAGCTGAAACGTCACAAAAGGAAAAAGTCAATATGTTAATTCATTTTATTTTCACTGATTATCCAAAGTATTATCTTTCATAAGGCCTAATTTATATATGATTTTGTATTATTTACTTCCGTCTTTCCATTATTTATCATTTTATTCCATTTTTGTTTAACTTATGATTTTAAGTTCAAATTACAAAAAGTTCATTTGAGTTAAATTCTTGATTGATAATGATATAGCCAAGATGCATTTTATTGATAGGCCCATCAGAAAGAATTCCATGTACGAACGTCACTATAATTTTCCCTGCAGCTGCAATGACCTACTACCACTATAAAGTGATTAACATACGTATCCTAAAAAGACAAATTTAGCAGGGAAAACATTGAAGCATTTATAGCATGTTTTATGTTTAGTGAGAAAACACAACTTGTCAGACAAGCCTAGGGTTTGTACACGGTGCCAAGGGACGTACGTAGGCTAATTGACCTGTTGCGGTAGAATCACGTTAGAACCGTTTCAACGCAGCTTGTGAAATGTTGTCCAATTACATGATTAAAAATGCACGTACGTGGAATGTGCAAAATCTGAGACAAAAACTCCATAGGGTTGTCTAAGGGGCGTGGCTAACTCGCAAACGGCAATAGGTCAATTCTTTATAAACCAATTTCCCAAGTTGATTAAATTTTGGCATTACACTACAGGCATCACAGTATTAATCATGACAACCATGACAACTCATACGTTTGACTGACGGTCGAGTTGTCTCCATGTTTACGTCGAATTGGTACAACAAACGGACGAGTTGCAACACCCCAACAGTATAAACGGTGGCATGGCCGACGGCCGACGGGCGAGTTGTCTGGCGACGACTGGTCGGTCGACTCTTGATGATTCAAAGTACCTGCGTGATAAACGTAAATTCGTGGTATTATGCCATTTTTGTGGACCAAGCTGAATGCCAATGAAAACAAGTACAGTATCAACAACAGAAAACAAAAGTGCACATCAATTAACATCAGAGATTTACATCATTAATTTTCCTACCTCCATGATTGCACAAACCTCACAAATATTGCAGCAATAAGCCTTGTTGCCGTCTGGTGCCGAGCATTAATCGCTGTGACTAGGCTTCGTATACGCGTACTTGGGGATGGGAATCAGACGTAGATGGGCGGGACCGATTACAGTGAAGCGTTTTTTTGGGAGGGAAAATACGAAACCCCAAAAGGTCACTGCCTTTCCCCGCTTTTGTACTCGTGAATACGGAAATTTGGTGGGGTTATTTTTGGACACAAATCCTGGAACATTCAGGATAGAGAAGAAAAATTAGACAAGGAGAACAACAAAATGAAGAGAAAGGAAAGAGAGAAAAAAAAGAGAAGAAAACATTGTCAGTTCCTTCCTACATGGTGTAAATAAAAGGTCTGAAAATTTGACAAATGGATGTCTTTCCCTCAGATTCATAAAATCTTACTTCGGACAAAAGTCTGAAAAAATATGCCTGTTTCAATCACTCTCACATGCATTTTGTATTTAAGATAATGTTCAAACTTCAAAGTTCCTAACCACTGTTTTGTATTGTATTATGACATTGAAAACAACACATAAAACACTTGAAACACTTAGGCAATCACTCGTTTGTCAGCTTTTATTTCCAGTTTTTATTTCTATTTGTTTGTCTTTGCCATGAATACAGTTGACCCATGAAAGCGTTCAGCTCGAACAATGATTTTGCCAATTCCGGGGTTGAACTTATAAATATGCTTGACACTGTTGGAAAATAAACTTAAATCAGCCAGATAGTTGTAAGGTGTATCTCCTCATTTTTAATTTAATTGTATTGGTCAACAAGTCCACAGGAAAAGAATTTAATAATGCAAAATGAAATCAAAAGCATAGCATGAACAGTATATAAAGAGCAATAGTAATGCTTGTTGAATTTGTGTTACACAATTTTAGAGTCTTGTTTAAAGTGTAGAATGACATGAATGGTTGGGTCTATAGATTGTTTGCACTGCGGCCATCTGAAGGCCTGGGCTTTTGTTCAATTCAATTCAATGAATATGCATGAGTAGACCTCTTGTGCATTCGTTGTTGATGAATTAGCATAACAAGCCACACCTCCAAGATGGCCGCTTAATGCAACCAATCTATACAAACAGTGATCAGAACAGCGAGGTGAAAACATTCAAAAGAAAGAAGCCAATTAAGTAAAGACTGTATGATAACAGCGATGTGATGAGCCAGTTTTTAATCAGTATTTGCTAGTCGGCAGCAAGTCAAAACCATTTTTTTTTGGTAATTAGTAAGTTCTAATACAATGAATGCATCAATGCAACACAGAAGATTGAGTAAATCTTGAAATATATAACATAGCACAGGATACAAAAATATACATTTGGTTACAGACATTTGTTTGAAATAACATACTCCGTATAACACGTTAACATACGATACAACTTAGAAAAACAACGAAATAAAAAAGCTCAGCAATGCTTACTGCTTTGCTGTACATGTAAATGACGTTCTAGTAAACATTAATGGCAGTGAGTTACACATATATATCACCAAGTCAAAAGCAGAGAGGAGTGTATGTGAGAAATCCTACAGTTAGTTACACATCCTACATCCAATGTCATGCGAAGAACATGACGGTCAAAAATCAATGAAAACAAAGAACATGACGGTCACAAATCAATGAAAACAATGTGAGACAAAGTGCAGAAGAAACAGAACAACATCAACATTCATACAAGTGTTACCAGATAAGTCGGAATTGAGAAATGTCCACCACGGACTGACCAATTGTACAGGCCTAATGTTGTGGCGTCACAATTTTGAGTGGCTTTGACCCGATGCCTGCACATTCAATGCATATGTATAGAGCTCAAGTCGACCTCTTGTGTGGTCATTGTTAATAATTAACACAAAGAAATACACTTCCAAGATAGCTGCCAAATGCAATTGGTCTATATGTGAAGAAAACCATCTTACTACGCCCACAAGGTAGTTCATTTGCCCATATCAACTGCCAGGAATAAGCAGTCCATAATTGTATCAACTGATGGTTAAATTTAGAGGTTTTGAAGTCAGCTCCATGTCCGCTTTGATTTTACCTGTTAACTTTCACTATTGTTTTCTATCATAATATATATCAGGAATATCATAGATATGTAATACAATTATGTCACCATACATTGGTCTTAATTTTGTATGAAAAACGTTTGGAAAGTATAAAAAAAATAACAAAAGTGCCAAGTTAGGCTTGTCACAAACATGACATTTGAAACTTGGGAAGCATAATCCTGCAATTCAGCTTGTATAAATGAGCATAGAATATTACATATTTGCTGTTTTCAGTCCAATTCTGTGTTTATTGCATCTTTAGGCCTACAGTTTAGAATAGGTCTAAATAAGCAATAGACACAAAACGTAACAAACGTGCATATGTAAAGGCGGCTTAAATACTAGAGAAGCTTTAAGTCAGATACATAGATAAGATAAAATAAAGTACCCTTTAAAAAAATCATCTTCCCCATTCATTTCAGGAAACTATGATGAATTTGACTTTAAGAAAAAGATAGTTAAGTCTACTTTTTATCTTCCTAGAAGTTTCATACTTTCAGGTGTATACCCATTACACCAAAAGTTTCTGCCATTTTTGGAGTGAAACGTAAATGCATCAGTAGAAAGATTAAAACAAGTTTCTGACAACTGAAAATATGCTGTCAAATTTAAATAAGCATAGACTAGCAATACATTGACTAACTTGACCTTGGGAGTATTGCATCCAAAATTTTACACTGCTCAAAGATGGGAGTAATTTCTTGAGTTTCTGCATTCAAACTGTTTGAGTCATATATCATTTTGCCTTGGGCTGTTGGTTACATGTGTCTCTGGTAAATTGTATGTATTACATGCAAATTAATTCACAGAAATTCACATTTCACTTTAGAAATAATATGCCGTACAGCTTTCTGTTACAAAAACAGTTAGACTACAATGCAAGTAACGTATTTGTTGCATAATTAATCAATGGCAGCACGTGGACGGAGTACGATTGCCTTTGCAAAGCTGTGCTGACTTTTAACACAGAGGCAAGTGATGAAGTGAGTGCAGTTTGTCTTAATGAAACGCAAGTGTTTACTGTACTGACAACTAAATTTGTCTCACACTGTGTGACATTTTCTCTGCTTGGACTGGTTTCAAGACGCTCACTGCAAAGCGCTATCTGTTGCTTTGGACTTTGTGCACTAGTACCCCCTCAACGGTTACAAAGGGAGAGTTGGGGGAGACCACCGGGAGGGACTATTGTGAACATTGTGCCGTTCGTCTAGCCCTAACAGGTTTGTGCATATTTCAAATAAAAATAAGTCATGTGTACACGTACTATGCACCATGTGCGGGCGAACTAGTACAAGCATGCAGTGTGTCCCTCCTTCTGCGGCTCTTGATAGTGGTCACAAAGCGCCCTCTACTGGTTGTGCCTGGAGTCTATTTGAGCCCACAGATTTCTGGTGTGAGTGTATATATTTGTTTAAATAATAACATTACATTTTGGGACTGAGTATTTTTTTAGTAAATGCTACATAGAGTGATCTTTGCATGGAATAATTTTTAAAAAATTAAAAACGTTCATCATTAATCAAGGACACAGCTCATGATGAAAACTGAATGACTGGTTTGGAGACTTGAAGGCAATATTGAGAACCAATTGAATGAAAATATGACAAGGTTCGGGTATCCAAAAACAAAAGAAGTGCATAATTCATCCAGAGAATGGTGTTAGATTTTGGACTTAAAAACATCCAACCAAAAATTTTAAGTGTTAATATGTTAGCATTTTTCATTAATACCTTTTCATTAAGTTTGCCATCAAGTAACAAACACCCATATGCTTATAAATACTGTAAGTAGAGTTTGTACGATTACCAATAAACAGGAGTTTTCTGTCATCTTGTATGAGTTACCAAAGTGTCCAAAACAAAGTAGTGCAGCTTTTTTTTAAAATCATTTTAATGAATCATCAGCCCACGTTTCATAAAAGCTGCCAACTGTTACTTTTACCACACTACCTGGATTCATACACGTAGGTCTGGGTACGGGTACTAGACGTTCAGTCATAGAGTATCAGAATGAATCGCACTGTGCAGATCTTTACAAAGAAATAAGCATGACAATGATGCATGGTGGCAGGGTGGATGTGCATCAACCAATCAGATGCCTCAATATGATGTGCATCAACCAATCAGATGCCTCAATATGAGGTTAGAAGCGACAATGGCGACCATGTTGATCACTTTGTATTCACAAGCCAGGCAGTTACAGCGCGTTGAGTTCAGCAGTTCCTTCTCTTAATCAGCGTTGATCAGCATTCAGCAAATTAATTCAGAGAACTAGTCAGAGCAATGTACATCAACAGCGCACTTTGGTTGGTAACCCATTCTCGCTTAGCGACATTTTGTCAGTGCTAAGTGAATCTGACCCAAGCTGTATCAGTTATCAGTTCTTGAGCTGGATATCCATTCTCGCTTAGCAACACTGACCGCTTAGCAACACTGACCGCTAAGCAACACTGACGACTTTGCAATCTGACCCAAGCTGTATTAGTTATCAGTTCTTGAGCAGGTAATCATTTCTCGCTTAGCAACAATTGGCCAGTGCTTAGTCAATCTGAATCAAGCAGTATCAATTCTCAGTTTCTGAGCTGGTAATCTGACCCCAGCTGTATCAGTTACACATAGTTTTTTGAGCTGGTAATCTGTTCACGCTTAGCCCCATTTTGTCAGTGCTAAGCAAATCCAGCTCTATCAGTTACAAGTTCTAAAGTCAGCAGTTATCGCCTCTCCGACGCCTGTCATAGTTTCTGGGTGTCCACGTCAAAGTCTAGCACCAGTAGTTTAGTGTCCTCCGTGCCGTTGCGGCTGCCCACAGCACACACTAGCTTGGTCTGGTTGGCCCGGACGCGCCACACCACGCCTCCGCTACCTCCACTCTCCAGGGTGACCAGGTTGCGGATGAACTCCCCCGTGTGAAGATCCCAGAGCTTGACTGTACCGTCGTCTGAGCTAGTGATGACAAACTTCTTGCTGAACTGTAGACAGGTGACTGCACTTTGGTGTTTGTTTGGTCCTGTGAAAAAAATACAAAAATCAGGGTTAAATGAAGCACATACATATTTGAATGGTTAATCCTTGCTCTGCTTCATCCCAAACCCTTCAATGTTACGTTAAAGGCATACATGATTATTTGCATTTGTCCCGAAAGTAACCTACCAAATTATCTTCAAAAAGTTTGCTTGGATTAAAGATCGCACTGGTACTAAACATCCTGTGAAATTATTCCATCTGGCTTGCAGTCGATTTCCATCCTATCAAACAATTGACTGGTTTTTGGAAATTAAAGGGTACTATTGATGGAATTATATTTCGTGATCAAACAGCAGTGCATGGTTTTTCACTGTTTTCTTGAAAAAGGTTAGGTTTTGAACATTCTTCTTTGGATTTTGAGTGGAGTTAGTATTGACCCTTGCTCTCACCTTGTAGTGTCTGTAGACACTGGCCGCTGGTGATGTCCCAAATTTTGACCGTGGAGTCAGCGTTGCCAGAGACTAGGATGTTATCCTTGAGTTCCATACCGCTGGTCAGCGACTGGTGCCCCATCAAGGTGTGCTTGCATTCCCCCGTCTCTGCATCCCAGACACGGATGGAGGTGTCCAGGGAACCGCTCACAATGTGAACACCATCAAACTGAGGGGAAAGGAGCAAATTGGATATTTTCAGTTGATTTTCAAAATCAGGAAGACTGTGAACAAAGTATGAGCTTTTAAAGGGACCTTGAAATGAAGTTTACACTAAAACATTTTTTTTGGATAATTTTCCAGTCTCCTGAAATGTATGAACGCTATGAGACATCCTTTTCTGGTTAAAAGTTCTGTAAAGTGCAAGTTTTAAACTTAAAAAATTCAGATGTTTTCCTGACAACTGATGTCTGTAATGTCATTTTAAGGCACACACTTATCTGTTTAGGAGTTTTCTGTTCAAGGTGTGAACCCAAAATTTGCTCATCAGAAACCCGACTATAAAGCTTGCTCATTGAAATTACTGCAGCCAAAAATCCAGCAACATTTGGTGCTGAAGCGGATTTAACACTGACATTTCTTTCTTGAATGTCATCACAATTTTTCTCATGGATACAGAAACTGACAAAAGCATAAGAACCCACAAAGCACCAACACATCCTTCAATTGGCTAAATAAATATTGAACAATAAAGTTAAATGGGACACAAAGGTACGCTTTCAAGGATTGCATCAGAAAAGTTATATTTCATTCGCCCTGTAAGTAGAAAATGTATTCCTCCAAAGTACGCTTGGGTGATGTCAGCATTTGATTCCATTGATGCTGATACCATACAACGCTTGTTAGCACTCTGGAAACTTAGCAGTTCAGTTCTAAGATATAAATTTTGAACAAATGACACTGTGCAGTCTGGCTCCTTACCTGCAGTGAATAGACCCTGTTTGTGTGCCCTTGCAATGTGTGCAAGCATTCCTCGTTGTCAGGGTTCCAGACTTTGACAGTGTAGTCATAGGCACCGCTGACCACTCGCCTGCCGTCGTACTGGACGCAGCGGACTGCAGCCACGTGACCCATGAGAACATGCAGGCACTGACCGGTCTCTATGTCCCAAACTCGGAGGGTTGCGTCCCTGGAACCACTAACGACCCTAGGGGGACGGAGATGGTGCAAAATGTCAAAGGCAACATATCAACCCTTGCAAAAAACTAGGCACTGAAAGAGAGGTTACAAGTGATTGATAGGATCATTTGATATTTTTTTTCGTTTGAAAGAAGCAAAATTACTAATGACCTAAACTTCTTGCCACTGTTCGTAAACACATATATGTATGGCTTTGCAAAATTCACAATTTTCTATTGTTGACACTCACTTGCTACCGTGGAGATGCATGCATCTAACCGTCGACGTGTGCCCATACAGTGTGTGTATACACTGACCAGTATCTGCATTCCACACTTTGAGCGTCCGATCTGTTGAGCCGCTGATGATGATGTTGTTGGACATCTGAGATGACCAGACGCCGCCGGTGTGACCGACGAGAGTTCTCAGACACTGCAAGGCAAGACAAAGGAATCAACTTTCATCAACTGCTTATGTACATTTTCGCAGATTGTGGATGTCCCCTAACACGGTACAGCCCCTAATGTGGAGTACTTTGATTTTCTCCACAAGTGCCTCGCTAGGGCAAAGATTTACCTCAATATTTTTACAGTGAGTGAATTTTCGTCAAGCTCTAAACATTGCTGTTCGTAAACTATGAGCTAAACTACCTGTTACAAAGTTAAGAGACAAACTTTGCTTATTTTAAAGAGCGCAGTGATGCCCTAAAATAGGAAAATAATTTCCTGACAACCATGTAGTTGGATATGTGAGTGGAGATAATAATGGTTTATCAGCATTTTCAACTTTAAAAAAATTCTTAAATGTTCACATAGGCATTTTCCAAGATTCATAGATTCGTGATACGTAAGGAAATACTCTATCAATTTTGTGCCCAATTTCCGGATGCTACCATTTTTGAGTTTCAAACTAAATGTCAAAATTCTAAAATTATCAACAACGGTTTAACAGCAAGCACTATCAAGGTAATGGTACTGGCAGTAAACTAAATGTATTTAAAGCTTGTCAACAAAGAGGTTTGGCAACACTGCATGAGGAAAGTCAAAGGAAACGTTGAAGTGCGCCACACATTAGGGGACTCTACTATAAATCCATAACAAAAAGCTGGTTTTGCTTTTGTTTGAATTATTCTGGATCCCGACTGCCATAATCTTAATCCTTCAAGTGAATCATTAGCTGAAATATCTTTCTGTACCTTGCCCGTAGTTGCTGACCATACTTTGAGTGTGTTGTCATCCGAACCACTGACGATTCGTTGACCGTTGAACTGTAAACAGGTGATCACATGATCATCGTGACCCTTCAATACCTGCAAAATCAGAAAATAAATATTAAGTTTTTGGCACATAACTACATTAAGAATGAATCATACTTCTGAATTGAATTCAGAGTAGGGCGCTCTGGAATTGGAACGGCGCTGGGTCTACTTTCCATTGACTTCATCAACACCAGCCCTGCAGCACTTCTTTTTCCAGAGGAGGTAATCGTCTTTCTCACCTTTGGTTGTTTGATGTCTGCAAACCTCCAGTTGTACTCGATTTGGTGCTGCCTCAGGTACATACTCTTCCAAGGGCTGCGGGGCACTCCGGAATTGGAACGGCGCCGGGTCTGCTTGCCATTGACTTCATCAATGCCAGCCTCCCGGCACTTCTCTTTCCAGAGGAGGTTATCTTCGCAGAGGATTCTCCAGTAGTGGCAAGTCTGGGCAGCTCGTAGGAGGTCGCGAGGTTCAAGAAATGATAGCACATATAGAGCAAGCTGTGAGAAAAGACCAAACATGAGAGAAATTATCTGCAAAAACTGCAAACCTTGCCGTCAAAATGTTGCCGTCTTTTACCGACTGAAACAATCTCTTTCCAAAAATCATGAAGAGACCCCATGAGTTTAAATTGAGATAATAAAAATGCAGTATGCTATTTACTTTGAAAACATATTGTGAATATTGTTGCCCATAGTGTTAGCACAATACAAAAGCCTACATTTTTTCCATGTACAAAATAAAACCAGAAGGTACCTTAAGACTGAATATTATAAAAATGATGGACGCATAAGATTTGAAGAACACATTTGCAGGTTTATTTACTGAGCTCCTAAAAACTCTGTCAGGGACATTCCATACCACGCTGGAATTGCTCGATTGAATCTAGGACTTTTGGTTGTAGAAATATTCAAAATTCACAGGGCTGAGTGTTTTTTTATACAATTGTCAAGACAGTCTTACCTCTCGAGGTAGTAGTGAGATGAAATCCCTTTGGAATTGAGGTTCAATGATGGACATGACATGCCTGACTAGCGTGGGCTCACAGTGGTTGATCAGCTCATCTAGGGCCAGTCTCTGCTCTGGTACATTCCAATTCTGCCAAACGATAATCATTGAGAATTGAATTATGTGAGTGTTCTAAAAACAATCAAAATATGTTCCCTATACTACATAAGAAATATTTAGCAATCTATAAGGTGCTACTGGAATACATTTATAGTTGATTTGTTCGATACAAAATATCATTGGGTGCCTGGAAGAAGGTCGTAAGGGTGAAAAATGGGTCAAAAGGTCAAATTCTGATTTTTTTTGGTAATCGATAGAGCTTTGAAATATCTTTCATTTGATATACATATTGTCTCAAGGGGCTATGTCATTCTGATGTAATTAACAGTAAACAAAGGACGGAAGGAGGTTTTTCATTATTTGTGCCCAGCGAAAGGTCGTAAGCGTGTAATTACAATGTAACAACAAATGTTCGAAGTGCCCTAACGTCCCATTCAAGTAGGTACGCAAAAGCCAATTTTGTTCCCGGCAAAAGGACATACGGATTTAACATGCCGCTTTAATAAATGTACGTTTAAGGCTTGGGAAGTCCCTGGTAAAAGGATGTTAGCATTAAAATTGAAATAATTTTCACAAGTAAGTAATATTTTGACATAAAAATGCACAATATTAATTTAATCAGTCAAAATTTCAACCTTATGTGATTTTTAATCTGGAAATGGCAGCACAAAACCTTTCAACTTGATTATCTCCAAAATAGGGTAAAGCAATTCTTGAACTAACCTGGAAGGTTTTCAGCCATTCATTGAGGTTGGAGGGCAGCTGTAGTCTAGAGGACAGACGTCTCCTAGGTGCCTCCAGATTGTCTTGTTGGTACTGAGCCACTCGGGACGAGTTGAATTTGTGGGGACTACTGCTGCCTGGCAGGATGGAGGTGGTGGTGGGTAAATGCCTGACAAGGAAAAGAATACAACAGTCAATGCTGTGATCAAGTACATTTCTGTTAAATCATTTCCAATCCATCGAATGACAGTTTTGAGTCAAATCTCCTAGAAACTGAGTGACCATAGAAGTGGAGAGATTAAGACCATAAAATATAAATAAACAGTGACCATAGAAAAAAGGAATAGTAACGGGGCCAAATACTTGGATAATATTGCAACTGATCAATTTGTGCTACATTTTGTTAAGATTCTGTAACAGGCGACAATGTAATAACTGGGTTTATTTGCATGATATCAAATGATTCAGTAGATTCGAAGATACTGATATTAGAATTTTAAACAATCTTAAACACAGACCTAGCACAATTAAATCTCATCTGTCATATGCTTAAGATGCAAAATCTGGCCAAATTAATATGGGTAAATGAGTTGATGCATGTCAAACTTCTATTTTAACCTTTTGGTCTTGAGCACAGAAATCATTACTGTAAAAAGGCAATGATGTCCAAACTTTTGCATTCTGGTTAACTGCGCAGTGTATAATTTTGAATTTGCCTATTTGGAAACATATAGGAATCGTTAAGGTTAGGCTGATGATTTTAGCAACACGTGTACCTATGGCTGAGAGCATCATGAGTTCTACACAGCTTCTTGGTTGGGGAGGCGTTTCCTTTCGGGCTCTTCTCATCAGCTGCAGAGGACGACTTGCGCTTGATGCACTACAGGGCAAAATAACAAAAAAATCTGCATTTTTTTGCAACAGGTTTCAGGAGAGTAAGGTGTGTTTACAATAGCACGTTTATATATTTAGTTTCATGCAGATGGCAGAATTGAAGAATCACAACCTTACTTGAAAATGATGCTAACCTTCTTTAAAAACAAATTAGAAACTCGTAATTATAGTGATTGCTCATTATTATACGTGCAGCCAATTTCACAAACCTTTACGCAGTGGCTAGGCTACTAATACTACACATTTTGAGAAAACATATGCAAAATTTCATAACTGGATTCTGTTGCTAATGCACATAGAAAATATGCTAGTAGGCACCCTATTCTGTAACCACCTCCATTTTTTTTTATAAATGATACCATTTCAAGCAGGAAAAATTTCACAGGGTATTTGATACCAGTCCTAACTTCACATGGTCTCATTCCCAGTGCCTTTAACTGGATGACAAAATGACCAATCCCTGACTACAGAACCTGTAGCCTGCTTATGTTGACTGTTCATGCAGTCATGTACTTACCGATTTGGGCCCTTGATTTGGTTCTGGTGAAGCAGCTGACGATGCTGATGAGGTGGAAGCCCGACAGCTCAAGTCTCGTAATGATACCCTGGACCTAAGATCACTATCCTCCTGAACGTCTGGTAACGATTTATTCCTCCTTGTTGCTCTACACGTGGAGGGAGAAGTGGAGAATCGCTGCAGCGTGGCCGAAGCTCTTCTGCCAAGCTTGGCATGTCTGTTCTGAGTTCGGCTGGTGCCAGTCTTAGACGTGCTCAAGATAGACCTAAGGGTGCTAGTCCTGCCTTTGGAGGCTGCCGCCTTTCCGGCCGATCTCCGCACGCCGGCTCCAAAAGCAGCGGTGCTTGGTCTCAGTCTACCGAGTTTGAGTCCGCTGGAACTGGGTCGCGAGTTTCCGGTACCCTGTTTGAGTCCGCTAGTGCTTGCCCTGTGTCCGCTGGGACCGGCCCTGGTGCCTGCCGGGGGGCTGGCGCTGGATGCAGGGGCGTGCCGATGAGGATGCAATGAGGAGGAGGGTGGGGAGTGGCTGATGTACGCACCGCAGGTGAGTGCGTTGCTGTTCTGGTCCACCACGCCATTGCCGATGCCAGGTACCGTGGTCAGGTCCAGAATGCTGTTGAAGCCGTTGATGTTCTTGAGGAGAAACAGATACCAAGACATCAACTTGTGCACTGTGTGAGATTGCTAAAGTTGCACTGTCATTTGAAATAAGCTACCTTACAAACAGAATAATTACTCGTAATGGGAAAATCTTTGGTGGGACCGCTTTGTGTCCATCATTCAAGTCACAAAAGTGGACAGCCATCACTGAAAACTTACAGTTTAAATTTGTAATAGTCCAAACACTCACCATTTTGAAAATGTTCTTTTAATTTCTTCATATAATTTTTTCATGTTTATTTTAATTGAAGATATTCCAACGCGTTGAAATGTATGTTAACAATAAAAACAATAAAGTACACCCATACTCTATGGGTCAGTCCTATTACTGGAAACACAGTATTTTGTTTTCTAGGCCTACTAAGCAGTTCTCGATGCAGGTAGGACTGTTGAAGAGCCTGTTTGCCTTACCTGTCTTCTCTCCACAATGGCTTCAGCGCGTGCCTTGCCCACACCCAGCAAGGTGGCCAACTCCTCCACCCGGGCTGTATTGATGTCTACCCGCCGACCGGACATGGCTGGAAGGCGGCCTGTGCTTGCTCACTTATGACTGCACTTCTTGACTGAAGTTCATCTGCATGTCTAGAACACAGGTCAGGTAATGTTACTTTTGTTTTTTAGAGTTTTACTCTACAGTATAGCATCATTTCACAATCTTGGGTGCATTCCACTACTGCGCGTGTGTCAACTTGACCAAAGTCAGTCAGGAGGTTGCAGGACGTCAAGATCTGGGGCACTATTTTCCCTCAAATTTCGTTGAATTGGCGTAAAAGCAGATTCAAGAAAGCTTCATATGTGAGTACTTACCACACGGTAAAATAATGTTAAGTTTTTGTCATGGAGGGACGATTTCCCTAGTTTCAAAATGATACCACAACGTGGCGTAGTTTACAAGCGTGTTGTAGTTTACAAGCTTTACAAGCCAAGTTTAACTCGTTTAGGTAGTTTACGAGGTAAGTTCACAGGTCTACATGTAAGTAATTATCCACGGTAAACAATGTTCAGTTTGTGTCATGGAGGGACGATTTCGCTAGTTTCAAAATGACAACAGAATGTGGCGTTGTTAACACGTGGCGATGTTTACATGCCACGTTTCAGGTCTAGCCTATTGCCAGCTTCATTAAATAGTTGAATACTCCCCCTTTTACTAGTCTGAGTAACTAGGACTCTACGGATCGCGTTTTAACATTTGGACATGGTCGGGCGATAGTAGTCCGAGATCGATGGCCCTATTGGTCGTCTGATGCTTGCCAGGAAACAGTGTAGCCAGAGCTATGCACAAGTCTGCTTTTCCTGAATCCAAAATGGCAGCCTCAAACAAGGCGTTTGTGACAAGGATGTTTCCCGAATTGAAGGTGAAATCTCTCTTTTCTTCCCAAAGGTATGTAAACCTATCCACCACCATTTGTATTTTCACTTCCCACTGAAGCCTACAGCATAGCTGCCAACTTTTCAAAATCCCAATTAGTAATCAACCCGCGCGGTCATTTTCAACTGCTCCTATTATCAAAAGTGTATGTACCAGCTTTACCAACATCGAGTACAGGTACATGGTTTACATGTGCATACCATTCTTGTTGTGAATAATAATGTACTGTAGGCCAAAAGATAATTAAAAAAAAAAAAAAAAAAAAAAATTGTTTCATTTTGTTTTACTGTCTGTGTATGTTTGTTGAAGTCAAATAAATAATAACAATAATAACGTGCGCATTTTTTTTTTTGAGATGCATGCTATCGATGTTGAGTTTCGAGTTCGTATCGTGTTTTTACACACAATGATTTAGGGCCACCGTATGCAATAGAAATACCCTGTCAACATACCTTGCAAACGCATGCTGATTTATCTTTTCTGGACGTTGTGATAAACTCAAACTCTATTACCAATTATTCCAACCATACTCTTATTAAATTCCATGATTAAAATCTTGCACTGATGGGTCTCATCCCGGCAATAAGCGACCAAATGTGCTCACGATCGTCATTGAAAAGTACTCACACATGCAGTACACACACCCCACCACACATCCACGAGATTTACACAAATGGCACACCATTGAAAAATATTTTTAGTCTGGTCCTCAAATACTCCACTGCGCACACTGCATTGATGTCTATCAGGTGCTTGACCGCATTGCTTATAAGACTTGTCACCAGTCCATCCATTATCACAACATTTCGCCAGAAGTTTACGGTCAAAAACGATACTTTAAGTAAAGTATTTTTTTTTTTGTTAGGGAGAAAATGGGAAATTCGTAATGTTTTAATGGCAAATCGTATTTTCGTAATTTAACAAACAATTCGTAATAATTACGAAAAAATCATAATAGTTGGCAGCTATGCTACAGGGGCGCATAAGGCAGTTTGAAGACCGTTTTAGGGGTGAAATCTGACGATTTTGATTGGGGCATCGAGTGAAAATGGTAAAAAAAATTATTTGTGACCGCAATAAGGCCATCAATCTGGGACTACTATCACCCGACCATGTCAAAATGTTAAAAAAGCAATCCGTAGAGTCCTAGTTACTCAGACTACTCTTTTAGTTTTAGTTTTACTAGCTGAGGCAGCCATGGCAGCTACTTGAAATATGAGGAAACATGGGAAAAAAGTTAGCTAAGTCATTATCTGTGTAAAAAGAGAAATAGCAATTTGTGGGATGAAAAAGACAGGCAAAGACAAACATGATAAAAAGGAAAAGAAAATTGTGGAGATACAGGGACTCGAACCCTGGGCCTTGTGATTATAAGTCACACGCTCTACGCAACTGAGCTATATCCCCAATTGATTAATTCTGGAGGAACCAAATTGATAATATCTATATTAATAATTCATTTGTTCATTTGCACTGATAAATTTTCTATGGGGCGAAGATAGGGATAACATGAACGATCTGACGATGATCGTGTATATTTAACCCTGGAAGCGAGTATTCTTGACCCTCCAGCAGGCTCCAAAAATGACCATGCAATGCAACTCCCCATTGTCATGCACGTCATGAGTGGCATTGCATGGGCTGATTCGGCACGCAACGCCAGTCATTTCACGAGTGACGTGACCTAACTCACTAACCATAATACAACTATCAAAGAAAACAAGAAGGCATCTGTACTCAACAAAATGTTTCACTGTTAGCAAATGAAGTATTAACGGAATTCTTTTCATAACTTCTTCTACTAATAAGGTGTTTAAATATGAAATTTCACCTCTTTTTTTCGCCACCCGGCCGTACAATCCATCACGAATCGGTCGCCATTTTTCGATACGGCTCTATGACGTCATGCTCTAGACATACACTTTGTAATCAACCTTTTTTTCCTTACTAGCTATTCAAAACAGTAGTCATTGAAATCAAATAAATAAATAAGCAATACATTTTATTTTATTATTGAAATTAATTTTAATCATACTTTAAATAATAACTGTCTTTTGGTAAGTTTTTGAACAATGGCTGAACGAGGATGTACTAACAACTTGTTATATTTTCTATATAAATTATTATTTCTTCTGTCACTAGCATCGGGGATGTAGCTCAGTGGTAGAGCGTGCGCTTTGCATGCGCAAGGCCCGGGGTTCGATCCCCCGCATCTCCAGGAATTTTTGTTTTCCTCCAAATTGTTGTCTTTTTCATTCCCCAATTGTAATGTCTCTTTTTACACTCCACTTCGATATTTTCATCATATTTCACATTTATTTAATCTTTTCTATGCCAAACCATATCCCACAAATTGCCAAAAAAATCTCAAGGAAATTTGTTGCAACGAATAATTATGATCACCTTTCATTATAATTTTTTAAAAAATATTCTTTGAACAAAATTACATGAAAAAGGTTTTTTTTTCTCATAATCATACTGAGGCCAAGAGACAGCATTATGGTTCCACTTATTTTCATTTTCAGTCCACCAAACATTCTCATGGCAAACATTTTTTGCATGGACGGAAATTACCATTTTGCTGATATTTTCTGCTTTTAGAAAAGATCAAAACTTCCTTATCTAAATTCTGGAATTATGTTTGTTTTATGCAATTGTCATCTTTGAAACAACAGGTCCAAAAGTTCTAGGTAATTGCTTTCTATAAAATTAAACCTAGTCACGTTTCCATCATCCATAACCTGATAGTGATACAATTTTTGTCTGGGTGCTGCGAACAAGCCTGCCTCTACTTTTCTTGGGAACAAAAAAATATATAACCTTTTCAATGATATTCCAGTTCATATATAAATGCCAACTGGCACAATATTTATTTTTCATGCAGGGATTTCACATATTTGACATTTCACAATACAATGGGTGCAGAATTTTTTTTCACAAAAATTAACAGAATAAGTGAGTACATAGAAGAAACAATTAGTCTCACAATTAAATTTTCTGTAAATAAATACTAGATATTTTTCATTGCTTTTTATACTTTACTACAGAGTTTAAATAGAAAATAATACTTCTACATGTTATTTTGTGCAATTCTGTAATGTGCAATATCAGCGTCAAGCAGTTTTTAACAACAAATACCAGTTCAGCAGAAAGTTAATGTGAATCAAAAGATATATCAAAATGCTGCCATTATTGTTTGAATAAAATATTCAAACATTTCTATTATAAATAAGGTGCAAGTAAAGACACTTATTAATGGAGTCATGAACAATAAGTGTACTAAACCAAAAGTGTACAATATATTTAACAGACCAAAGGGTGACACAGTTCCATTTTTAGCTTTTTCAGAATATTCTGTCCAATCTTTGCCACAGACACCACAAAAAGTTGTCTATAAATGTCAATTAACATTTTCTGATAAAATACTAAGTGGGATGACTAAATCGAACCAAATGTCAACACGTTCAAAATACTCCCCATCCAAATATTGTACTGCACAGAAATTGCAAATTACCTTCCAATGAAGTTTAAGTATAGACTGTTGAAAACTGCTAGTGTTTAAAAAAACACATGAAAAATGTGAACATCCTAATTTTTCGAAAGAATTATCAAAATTGAACACAAAGTAAACAGGAGACAAAATATAAAGTATATCTTAAACAAGAAATGCCCAATTCATAAATTAAAGTATAAAATTAGTTTTGAATTCTGCAAAATCATAGATACCCTGGCTTGTTTTTTCTCTTAATCCTCCATATCTCTCTTTTTTTAAAGAATGTATTCAAAGTGAACAAGTTAAGCATTGCATATTTTAACTTTGCTTAGTATGATAACGTTACATAAATACTGCCATAATTCTTCATATGTTTGGAATGACATTGCTTGATAAACTTTTAAACATATACTAATATTACTTTAAAATAAACAAAAAATATGTTTATAAACAAATAAGAGAATTGTAAATTGAGGACCTGAGGATGATAACACACTATCATCTGGGGAAGAAGGGAACGTCATCAACCTCGTCTCATGATCCACTTCAATGTAAACAAGTGAATCTAAACCAAATCCAAATTCTCTTGTGTAATCTCAGCCTCCTGGTTTGCGGTGGCAGAAGTGGGATTTTCCTGTCGAGCCTCGGCCTCTTGTGCTCTATCAACCGCACCTGAGGATGATGGTACACTGTCCTCTGGTGATGGTGGGAATGTCATCAACTCTATCTCATGATCAACCTCCTGTGGACTCTCGTTAACCTGCCCACAACTCACACACTGTCGGCTGCCGCTCTGTTGCCAGTTCTCCATCCAGCAGTGAATGCAGTGCCAGGAGTCAGACACTGCCAGCGTCCGCAATTCTGCCAAGCCAAGTCTGGATCGAGGCTGGCGGTCATGCTGGCGCAGGCAGCCGCCGCGCTGTATGTTGCCGTAGTGCATTAAGTGGTGGAGGCGCTGGAGCACCTGGTTGTTGTTTAAAACAGCCGAGGCATTGTCCGGATTCACCGGGATGTATATGAAGCTGTGGCCGCGGGGGCGCTTGTAGCAGCGCCGGGCGCTGATGGAGGTGTTGACGCACTTCTGGCAGAAGAGGCGCCCGCAGTTCTTGCAGCGGACATAGAAGCTGCAGTTGGTACTGGTGCAGTTAAACACGGAGCACTTCAGGCTACCCTTAAATCTGATTGGATCACAAAAATATGTAATTACTAACTACATTAGCAAAACAAAAACTCTTCAAACTCTACAAGGCATCCTTGCTAGAACATTCCCTGAACCATCCAAAAGCCCCCATGGTGCAAGAAATAAATGTCACATTCTATGTTCTTAAATTTCAAGGAGCATCAAGTTCTATAACAGAAAGCCTGCCTCAACCCAACGAAATCCATCAAAACTTTCAGGAGGATTTTGCAGGATCTGCGAGGATTCTAATGGTATCAAGAGATTTCAAATTTTGAGAAGCTTCCTTCCACAAATCAGGGTTCCCACAAAGATATTCAAATAAAAATCCATGACTTTCCAGGACAAAATAAGGGCATGCTGTAACCAATGCCTATGCAGTTTTGACATCTTAGGATTGTCCAGGCTTCTTTCCATGACTGGGGATCCCTGACTAAGAAACATCAGGAAAATGTTACGGAAAACAAGTAGATGGCAGTCAATGCGCCAATATTTCCCACGTCCATCAGCATGCCTACCTTTGGTGTTGAGAGGATGAGTGACCCTGTCGACGTCCTCGGCGTGGGGACAAGGATGCACTGACCTCCCACGAATTGCCTTCATCCCTCCTCTCCTCAACTTCTCCTGGATACGGGAAGAAATAAAATACAGATTATGATAATGGCAGAAACAAAGATGGAAAGCCCGTCTTTGTCTGACCGTAATCCAAAAGAAAGATTTTTAGTACCCACTCAACCCCATCCGCATGGTTGCATGTGTACGCACTGTGTATAATACACATTAGCCTAAACCCCTAGTACTTCCTCAGGACTACCCTGCTAAATCCAACAGAGTCCAACCGGACTTTCCTGTTCAATCCACTGTGCCTCATTTTCAGTTGTCTGCTGAATCCAACGGAGTCCAACAATATGTTATAATGCGGTTCAGTTGCCTGCTGAATCCAACATTTTGCATGAGGAATGTACACAAGGGGTTAACTGCTCAATCCAACAGGCTCCATCGGGTATGTGACATAGTTGGATCTTGTTGGATTCAGCAGGGTTTGGGTTAGAGACTCAAAGTGTAATCTGATGTTGGTGCATGGGATCCAGATTACAAATGCACACACCTGTTTGAACTCTATCACCACCACTATGAACCACTATGGCTGCTTCTTCTCCCTCCTCCAGCGCAACATCGTCACCATCTGCATCGGCAGTACCCACCCCTGATGGCACATCCCCAACCACACTCCCAGACGCACCCTCCACCAGAACACTGGTCGTGTCATCACGACTGGCTGGAAGGGTGCCGGTGCCAACGACCGTGGTGGACCAACCTCCGCGATTGGCCCACGCCGAGCGAAGAGGGCGCTCTAACTCCATGTCGCTGAGTTCGCTTACGCTCAGGTCAGGGCAGTCATCCTCGTCCGAGGAGCTGCTAACGTCCTGGTTTGTGTCTGGGTATTCTTGTGCTTGATCAGGGGCACAGAGTCTCCCTAATGAAAAGATTCACAAAAAGATATCAATCACAAATTACTTGGAGAGTGTTCCGTCTGTCGAGCTCATGAAAGTGGTAAAAAAGTGCCCTCTCTTGTTCGCGCACCGAGCCTACATTTAGCCTACCAAGGTTGGTTGCTCATGTATGCATTCATTGTATGCCCCTTGACAAAAAAGGCCTTTACGGATCTTTAGTCATTCCAGTTTTCACTGTAGCAGATGAACGAGAAAGCTTGTGGGATAATAACTAGTGTGAAGATCTTATGAGAAGCTGTCTATAGCCTGTTGTCACTCTAGTCCCATAACAAGAAGTAATTCACAAACTGTCTGTGTTCATGCAATTCATGAGGAGATGAACATCACCCCAACGCAAAATTCCATATTATGAGATGAACATTGTGCAATATATTTTGTGAACACGTATCGAAGCAAGAAAATACTTTTAAGAGTGCACAACTTCCACGCGAGATGGTTTCACCATGTACACAACAAGGAATATTTTTAATAATGAGGGCGTTTTAACGACGCAATTTCGGGGTATAATCAGACATGAAACCAAGCTTATTGAAATATTTTACTCATTGCTATACAATTCAATTCATCAATATTTAGACTGAAGTAAGGTTACTAAACTGCATTCATAAATGACATTGTTCTATTGTTTGTACACAGGATATGACATTGTTGCACTGCCCTCAATCACATGAAATATGACCAATGGGAGATTAATTACAATAATTACGTAACACGGAGTACAAAAAAATAACATGTTTGCTACACTTGTGTGCGCATCTTTCAAAATGACACAAACAATAGAAAAGGCCCTGCGGATGTGCTGCCACCAAGCGTCTCTAAAGTCTCCCATTGCAGTTAGACAAAAGACAGACGTACCTAGGAACTGGCCTGCACTCAATTTTTTGCGAGGTCGTTTCTGGGTCAGGTTTCCCATTGTGTGGCTTTGCCTGGAGGGGGATCCTGCTGCCCCATGGTGGGTGTGCTGAGTGTTTGCCTGGCAGGCTGCTGCTGTGGCTGTGGCTGCTGCTGCTGCTGGTAGGTTGTTACTATTGCTGCTGCTTGCTGCAGTTTCTAGGTCCATGTCGTCATATATGACTATCACGTCAGACTGACTGCTCTGCTGCCTACAAGGATAAGACTTTATATTTTTAAAGGGAATATACAACATTTGCAAACATCAAAAAACGTTTCTCCATTTCATCTTAAGTAGGGTCAGGGAACCAGACTACAAGAACATGATTGGTTTTCTTGGTTTTTCCAGCATATACAAGCCCAAAACGTGAAACAAGTCAGTTTAACAATATTTGCTATAACATACTAATCCTCCAAATCCATATATATTTCTGAAAATTACAGCAAAAGCAAATGTTGTACATTCCCTTTAAGGGAATAGGGAGCCATTTCAAAACTTGCTGATAAGGCTATGCCAAATATACTGAATAGTTGAATATTCAATCATCAACTGAACATCCGTATGGCGTTTTTTAAAATTCAAATATATCAAACGATGGGAGCAATTTTCAGGGGATGATGAGAAAACTTTTTGACTTGTGTGGTTAAAGGTAGAGTAGATCATTTGCAGCTATCCAAAAACTAACCAAATTTGTATTAAAAAGCAATGGCACAATACTCCCTCTGAAGTCATTCCTTCTGGCGTGCTATCACTTTAAAGAAAACAGTAAAAGAAGGTCATTCCAAAGATGAATCAAGTGGAGCATTTTTGGAAATTTCCATTCATGGTTTGTAACTGGGCGAATCCGTGAATGGGTGCATGCAAGCGTTGATACGACACATGCGCATGTGTGGTTGCTATTATTCGCTGGTTCAGTGCGTGACATCTTTTGAATTGAAATCGATTTCGAGCTGCTGCAAAAACAAATCTCATGGCCTGATGCATAAGGGTACTAATTGTGAAGCGCTTTGAGACCTTTGGTGTAAAGCGCCATATTAGCCGCCGTAATTATTATATAGCCGAATGAGTTCCCATCAGGAGAAATTTCCCCACACATTGATATGGACTTGAACACTGATTTAATTTCATTTATACTGTACACTCTGTTTTGCCAAAGGACTTGCAAAAAAAAATTCACAAGTTTACTTGGGTGAGACTCAGCATGAAATCACGTCAATGAAAGGCAACACAGACTATTGAATTTAGCATAAGAAAAAAAACAAGTGATTTATAGGTACCTGTTATTGCGGTCAGTGACTTCCATTCCTGGTGGCAGTTCTGCTAGCCATTGGGGCTCACCGTCCCCCTCCCATCTGTCTGCATCACCCCCTGATCCAACAGACTCAACCACAGCAGTAGCACCCTGCATGGGCAAACACATGCTTTTCTTTTTTAATAATAATAAAAATACTGAAGTCTTATATAACGCAGGTACATGTATCTACCGACAATTAGGTACTCAAGGCGCTGGGAATTATGTCGAGACAGGTAAATGAAGTACATGAGAAATATGAGACCCATTACGAAGCACGTTTATAAAGGGTACACAAGGTGCTGCGGCGCATATTGCAGCCACTGCCACAAACACAAGGGCAAACCCCTTCTCTTAGCGATAAGTGTTACTGGGTTCTTTAACATGCATTACACAACAAAAGGGATCTACGGTTTAACGTCCCATCCGAAGGACGGAGCAATAATGGATACAAATATAAATTTAGACCTAAGGGCTTATTCACACAGAAGCATGGTAACGAAAAATGGAATTATAAAGCAACGTATTGCACAGTACCTAACAACTGCTATAGGTTAAAAAAATAATTTCTCTACAAGAAAACTGGAATCCTCGATCCTGATTGGTCGATTCATGGCAACAACAATGTGGTATTATCTTATATATCATGGTCCATACCGCAATCCGCGTGTCAGCCAAGCCTATGAAAAATTCTTTTCATTAGAACGTGTATTTTAATCAGTTGCTATTGTGTTACCATTCAGCACTCCAGACTCAAGAACCATTGAGTTTTAAGTAAAACATCTGGGAGCTAAACAAACCAATGTCAAAAATTCCTGGACGTCCGCGTCCTGCCTAGTTGGCCTACTCGCAGTTGATGTACTAGCAGCCGACTGAGTGGCGACGAAATCTGTAGATAGTGGTCTATAGACTGGTTCCTTGACTAGCATGCCATGGCCGGAGACCTGGACTACCATGGACGGGTCTAGGTGACAGTGCAGATCATCCCTAGTGCATGGACGGAGATCACGGTCCTCGATGGAGGACGACAGACTCTGGAAATCATTCTAAAAATTGAACCAAAAAATGGGAATTTCTCAGATTCACATGGGCTAAGCCTGAAGAGCTGAAATTATAGACCTTTCTTTAATAGACCTTTCTTTTCTTTTGTATGGGCTGCCACAAGGGCGTATATTCATAGCGGAGTTGGCAACAGAATTTGCAAAAACATTGCAGATTATAAGTATTTCTTACATGACTCTTCTCATTTCTTACAAAACTCATGATTTTTGTAATATCCACTACTATATATTACTTTTTAATTTAAAAATTAGGCTTCCTCCTTTTCAAAGGAAAAAAAGGAGAACAACAGAAGGGAAAGAAAGTGTCTTTGCATGAACATCAGGTGTCGTCAGCCATGTGTTTGAATGTCTCTCCCAGTGCAACCTCCTTCCCATGGGTACGAGATCTTGCTGCGCCATGCTGTTTCCCATCATGCCTTGCGCGATCTCAACCCCTAAAATTGTGTAATTTAAATGTGTCAAAATACGGCACATTATAATTAGGCTGCAGTTTATCCGTTTTACGCGCCGATGCCATCTTTAAAATGTTGAAAGTTGTGTTTTTGAAGAATCAATGCTTTCAAACATAAGGTTTGGACGTTGCATTATTTAGCAAAAATTTGTATTAAAGGTACGTACCCCTTTCGTCCCTTTACAACCGCAGATACAGGGGTTTTTTTTAGCGAAAAACGAGGCATCGTACAGGCATCGCGCAGTTTTGAATATTCGTACGTGACATGACGTGCAAAGCACGCGAGCGCCCCCCCCCCCCCCATCTCAATATATTACATACCTCCAGCTTTGTCTTTTGTTGGACTAGCTCATAGTCAGGGCCGGTCAGCACAGATTGACATGAAGTGCTCAGCTGGTCTACCTTGCTGATCAACTCACGTAGTTTCCTGTGGGCAAACAATTATTAAAAAAAATCATTGTAACAAGGTTGAAAAATAATTTAGAATTAATCGGCACCAAAACCCAAGTCATCTCTTTTAACATTAATTGCAAATAACTCAAAGGCGGGCAAACAACTGCACTGCACTGTAAATTAAAATAGGCCTAGATATGCATCGCACACAAAACAATAAATGACAATGCTCATAACCTTACCTTTTTTGTTTATCCAGCAGCATGACTTTGGCTGATGTTCTATTTTGCAGCATAATTTTGACCTGGTTCTCACGCTGATACAGCTTACGTCGCAGCAACTCAAAATGCTGGGTCATCTCATACATCAGCCTGTTCTCCTGCAACACAAATGGGAGACAAAACTTCAGAATACGTATTTCAGTAGCAAAAACCTGCATGAACAAGAAAGCCCAAAACTTCTAGTCATAAAGAGCAGACCAAGCCCGCTAGCTATCACAGAACACTCACGGATGGCCCCTTCAATGGCGCAAGCATTGTGCCAGCTATTGTCCAGATAATCTGTCTTTAAAAAAAAAGTCGTTTTTATTACCACTGACTCTGTCTGAAACCACTAACAAAAAATAATTTATGGGGAAAACTGAATATCAAATTCAAGCAGTCAGGCTATGTGTCACTTGAAAAGCTATGGCAATTTATTTGTAAAATATTTATAGATATCTCTTTTTCGCCAACTAACTAATCCTACTTCAGAGCCCAAGAAATATGAGAACCATAGACATAAAAAAAGGAAGACGTAATGACTGCAAAAGTCGATCAGTCAATCGCTCAAACAGTCAAACAATGAACTTTTCATCCATTAAATTTTAATCTTTGGAATTTCGTTCAGTGTGACTTTGGAATAAGACCTCAATTTTTCCCAATGGACTTTTTTTTTTTATAGAATTCTAAAAGCTAATGGATGAGTACATGTTTGGGTACCTCAGTCTGGTACCTGTTGGTCCCTACCTTAATCTGCACAGCTCCTGTTGCGTCATTGACTGCTTGGCTGACAGCAACCATGCTGTCCTTCTGGATGCTGAGACGCTCTATGTAGGATCTGATGGTCTGTCAAAAAGTCAACAAATAAAGTTTATTTGTTATGCATTTCAACTGATCCAATTAAATAAGGGAATAAATGTGTGCTCCGGAGGTTTTTATTACTCTGTTTAAGACCACTTAGAGTCTGGGTGCTGATAATTACCCGAGCCGGAGGCGAGGGTAATTATCAGCACCCAGACTCTAAGCGGTCTTAAACAGAGTGATAAATACCGACGGAGCACATATTTATTCCCATTCATAAATACCTTTTCGGGAAAAAAAATCAAATAATTTTGTTCAACAAATTCACTTCATGCTTTTCGAAACATCCCTCTTGCAAAATAGTGGAGTGTTCAGCCGTGTTGTAGTGTTGTAGCTGTACAGATTGTTTATAAGTTTGCACAATAGTACTACCACATCGGTGCGTCGCTACAGCAAGATACAAGTGTATGCAGTAAGCTTATAGCTTCACGGTGTAAGCTGCAACTTTTGTGAGCTTCACAAACATGAAATATGTTTGGTTTTCCCATGTAGCCTGGTTTTCATTTTTAAAATTCCCCACAAATGACTTCAAAACCCTTTTTTTTTTATTTCTGAGTCGTTACTAAGTAACTTGTAAAGTTGGTTATGCCCCGATCCCCCAATCTGGAACCAGTTCGTGACATCAACGGTTGGGTACTTGGGCATCTGATTCCGAAGCACAGCCTATCTGAGGCTTATTAGCGATTCAAATCTGTGAACCCAAGAACCGTGTACAGACAAAATACCAAAGCGTCCTAAGTTGACAATATCTCTATTATTTTGTTGATGTCTTTGAAACATCCCAACAATTTTTTTTTTTCAAACCTTGCGACTCTCTTCAGCTAAGATGGTTACCAGCTGACACTGGTGCCCCTGATGCGCACCGTACACCTGGCAGTAGATGCATATCAGATGATCGTCCTGAATGCAGAAGACTTTCATGGGTTCGTCATCATGATCACTGCAAAGTGGGAACTGCACCAAAAAAAGGATCTACGTTAGGCCAAATCAAAAAAGTCTCCGGTTTCTGGTATGCGCGCGCGTCGCCGTAGCCATGCGCGTCGGCAAAATGAAAAAGATTTTTTTTCAATGAAAGATGATGTCTCAAAACCGCCAAACTCACTGGTTTGACTGGAATCCTGCTGCTGCACAATTTTAACGTGTTTTTAGATTGGGTTATGGTTGAGAATAAGCTTTATGTGGCCTCTCTGGACTCCCATATATTTGCACTAAGTTTAGTCGGGCACCATTTGCAGTCATCAGCCGACATTTGAAGCAAAAAAGTCAGGTAAAAAAAAAAAAAAGCCGCGTCGCCGCACCACTTTTTGGGCAAGCTCCATACCAGAAACTTTTTTTTTTTGGCCTTATAGTACACCAATCGATGAAGCCCAGCCAACTGCCATAGCACATGCAAGCATGTCAGATAAGTGGATACGTTTAACCACTTTAAGAGTCCCTTTCAGTGGTGCCTGCCAACTTTCTCTTTGTGACCACTGAGTGTTTGTTCATGGAAGCCACAGGCTTAGTTACTTCTGCATCATATAAAAATCAAAATAACTTTGACTGTTCGTCAAGACTCACTGGAATAGCTGCACCATTAGCCCCCCTTGATCCATCCTCCATGCTCTCCAAGATTTCGAGGACTCCAAAGTTCTTGGAGAGCTTGTTGATGTCATTGGAGAGACCTGGTACCAGGGTGTCGCCTTTGCAGGTGGGGCATCGGATGTGGCCATGGGCTAGCTGGCCAAGCAGTCTACTCAGACAGCCTGGAAAAATGAAACGGCAGCAGAAAGGTTGATTAAACACTACCGATGCCATCATCAATTGCATTTTTGAACCCTTACTGCCGAAGACCTGTTGACTAGGATGCATCCTCAATCTTTCTTTCCAAATCCTCCAACAATCACAGTAATTATGTTGAGGCAGTGCCAAATTAGTGATGTCATCAGCAACTATGTCCTAGCCACATGCAATGTACCGGTACATGTACATCTATCACAACTTCAAGATGTTACATCCCAACTATAGCAAATACACCAATTAAGTTGGGAAAGCCCCAACTCAACTATGACTATATAACCATGGAGCTATGGGCTCCATGCGCCAACAAAAGAGGGCGTGTTTTTTACCGCTTTTGAGAGCTCCGTGGATTGGATACGCAGCGTGCACGTACTGTATTGCTTCGGGCGTGAAGTACGCACGACTTCCTGAATGTGCAAAAGCTATTAGCCAGCGCGTCTTCGCGTGAGCGTCAGGCGTCGTCGGAGCGAATACGTTTCAATTCAACTTGCGATGGTCTTCGAGACTAATCCCCGTCTCCAATAAGTTTGGATACATTCGAAATACGCAGTGGATGGATGGGGAACCAGTCTAGGTCACCCCCAACTCTCCTTTTCTGGTCGTTGATGGGGTACTTGTGCACGGAGCTCGTAGCCCCATGCTATAACATAGACACAACTTGGATGTTATACATTACCAGTGCAGAAGCTGTGTCCACACATCAATATTCTGGGCACAGCGTTCCCATGACATGAGAATTGATGGTAGCAGACCGTGCACAGACGACCTCGCTGCTCATCATAGATGGAAGCCATGACGTCCGCGTTGACTATCACAGAACCAGGATGTTATAGCATACTGCTTTACGAGCACATGTTATCACCTGTATGACAAGACCGCAAAAAAAGTAACAAACTTGAAAAGCCAGTCACAGATCGTGGGTCAGGAAACAAGTGACGTCCAAAAAGAAAGTGGGAGCTTTGAAATATTTTCTAAGAATTTTAAATGCTTCTCACTCTCGGTCTCAAATTCCATTTTCTAAACTTAACTGCAGTGAATGATCATTAATTCATTCATATAAACATTTGTTTCCACAATATGTTAGTTACAAATTCAAACATTAATTTAATAGAGGTAAGAATAACAGTGGCATTAGAATACAGCACTCTAGTTTTCCCAAGAATTTATCCCGACACCACTTTGGAGGTAGTCCGAAAATTTGGGACTCTCAATACTGTGTATGAGTGCTTTGGAGGTTGCGAAAGTTGTAACCAAAGACAAGTCCAAATTCAAATATTTTATTTCAATTTCTAGCCCAAGTTGGATTCCTGTGCTGTGTCATGTCAGTTTGTACGTGTTGAAAATGTTGGGCGCCACGCCATCAGTCGATTAGTGACTACCTTTTCTTTCTACCCTATTTCATTTCACGCCTCTTTACTCCTAGAACTATGAGGCTCCGCGTGAGCGGAGCCTCATAGATGTAGAAGCCCGCAAAATTGTCTGCAGCACAAAACACTAATAAAGTACAAAAACGTCCATCAAAATGCAGACATTTCACACAGAACCGCTGCACAGTTTGCCCCTATACTCCGTACTTTACCTCTTGACATACTCACGTATCATGGGCGGAACTAACATAGGTGGATTCTGTCGGTGTTTAGGCCAAAATGATGAAAATATGCCCTTTCCGCACTGAGCCAACCGAACACTTGAAACGTGCACGCATATGATCGAGCGATGATTTCCGATTCGCTCGGAGCGCGCCGCGGGGGGTACGGTACAGGCGAAATGATAGTATGTGCATGCGTACAAGTGCATGTACCGTACCCCCCGCGGCGCGCTCCGAGCGAACCGAAAATCATCGCTCGATCATATGCGTGCACGTTTCAAGTGTTCGGTTGGCTCAGTGCGGAAAGGGCATATTTTCATCATTTCGGCCTAAAAACCGACAGAATCCACCTATGTTAGTTCTGCGCATGATACGTGAGTATGTCAAGAGATAAAGTACGGAGTATAGGGGCAAACTGTGCAGCGGTTCTGTGTGAAATGTCTGCATTTTGATGGACGTTTTTGTACTTTATTAGTGTTTTGTGCTGCAGGCAATTTTGCGGGCTTCTTGATCTATGAGGCTCCACTACGTGGAGCCTCATAGTTCTAGGAGTAGCGGCCACGGTCAGTAATATTGTTGATGTACCCTAACGTGGCGCGGCCCCCAACGTGGCGCACTTTGATTCTTCGCCTGTAGCGCCTAGCTAGAGCAAAAGTTTTAACTGAAATTTCACAGAAAGGGAAATTTGATCAAGTTCTTAACACTCCCGTTCATAAATCGCGAGTTTATTTACCCGTTACAAAGTTAGAGGAAAAATTCATTTTGGCCTGATTTTCATATTTTATTTTGAAGTGCAAAGTGAACCCTTTGAAAATGCCCCGAAAAATATGGAAAAAAAATTCTGACAAACTTTTGGTTGGGTATGTAAGTAGAGATAATAATGGTTTATCAGAATCTATCAACTTTACAGGAATTCTTAAATGTCAATTTGGAATTTTCCGAGATTTATTCAAGTGCGTCACGTTAGGGAACACTCCACCAATTTGTGCCCACTTTCCGGACGCCACCGTTTTTGAATTTCGGATTAAATTTCATGAAACCGAAATTGTTCACAGAGGTTAAATAGCGAGCATTAATAAGGTCAAAGTACCAGTATTTCACTGCATGAATTTGAGGTTTGTCACCAAAGAGGTTTGGCAACACTACACGAGGAAAGTCGAGTAAACGTCGAAGTGCGCCACGTTAGGGAACACCACCATACTAGTGTCCCGGTCAACTGTGGTCTTCATAGGTCAACAAACATTGCCAACAAATCATCAACTGATCAATGTATGGAATGCTCTCCCACAGCAAGTAGTGAATGAGAACTGTGCTACTGCTAGCCTGCTAGCCCCACTTGTGTGGCCTCGGTATTGCTGCGCAGTACAGTACAGCCATGGAGAATTTCTCCACAGCGCAGCAATACAAAAACCACACAAATGGGCGAAGGAGATCGACTCACATTGGAAGAGAACAAATATAGGCCATGGGGTCACAAAGGATATGCCTAAATAAATTACCCATTAAACCGTAAGTAAGTAAGTAAGTAAGTAAGTAAGACAAATACCTGCTCCAAAAAGATTTAACTTCATGAATGCGCGAAAGGAAAACAATCGAGTTTGACACACTATTTGCAGACTGTTGAGGGCGCTATGACCGTTCATCGGCGCGGTGCATTCTGCGCTGTCGCATCATGCACCTAGTCTGAGTATCACCCGTTCTACGGAGCAAGCCGTACGAATCTGCACGCATGTGATAGACGCTCGTCTTCAACGAGCGTCTATTACATAGACTATCATGCACCAGGGGTCGGATCGAATGGGGGAAAAAACTTTACACGCAAAAAAAAGAGGAGTTTTATTCAAAGGAAAGAACTGCAGAACACCTTGTTTTTATTTTGTTTTTAATATTATTTCCAGATAGACTGATTTTTGTGTTTTAACATTTATACAATATTGTACTTTGTAGAAATTCATTCGGCAAGGCAGCAATCGGGGAGGGGGGGGGGGGGGGGGGGGGCACTGCAACCCCTAAATGTGAAAAGACAAATCCTTAGCTAGTTCATTTCGAAACAATCGTCAAGTATTGATATAGTTCACGAATCTGTGCAATTCCAATCTTAAACAGAAAAAGTTAAATAAAACTTAAACAAATTATATTCTAGAGTGTTTTCTCACCAAAAGTCATGGCCTCTAGAGAGCTAGCGCTGTACACAACAGATTTTTCGTAGAGGAGAATCTTAATAATGTGACAACTGCTCATCAGTTTCAAGTTGGAAGAATATTTAATTTAGTCCGTTTATATGTTGTATATAGAGAAAGATGAAAAGTAGTGGTACAAAAATAGTCCTGGTATATGACAGAGCGAAAAGAAGGAAACAGAAGTTAGACATATATTTCCACTTGCCTTTAATTTGTCTGGAAATCTTTCAAACCAATTGAAATCAGTTTTAAACCATTTGAAGATCCATAATATTAAGGCAACTGGGTAAGACTGTCTTTGAAATCCAACTGGTGATATACAAACTTTTTTGTATCAATATTTAATCCAATATATCCATGTTTTATTTTAGATTACATGTATCAGTGAACTACATCACATGATTACTTAGAGCACTGCACCCTCTATCTTTGGTTCGCCAAACCTTGCAAAAAGTGCTAAACATAGCACAAACATGCTAAATATAGTGCAAAAGTGATAAATATATAGCACAATCGTCTCTGCAACCTCATATTACCAAATTATTATATTTTTGTTGCTCCATGAAACCTGATCAATCAAAAAGGACACAATCTGACCAAATACCTGATATCTTGCACATAAAATAAGCCATTTAAGCTCTTATGCTTTTACCGATGAACCAGCATCTTAAAACCACACAACAGTTAACAGCAACATTGAAGTTTATCCCCAACCCCAGCCAAAATCCAATCAGAATTTAACAATTTATAAAGTTCCAATGGAAAATAGTAAGTGATTAAGAGAATATATCAAATAAAAACTGTAAATTTATCAATTCTATATTCAGTGTTGTATTTGAGACAAGATGTGAATTTCAGGTCAATTGATTGTTTTAAATTTCATCTTCAAATCCACTTAATTGTTTAAGCATACAAACAGTGGGTTAAGGCCTTAGAGACTTGACCTTACAGCTACAGCTAAAATTAAGCTTGAGTTGATTCCCCCAGCCTATTTATTTGCAGTATTGGACCCATTATGTGAACTACAAGTTTACTTTTTAATTGTTTGTGCCTGGAACTCAGACGCAGACTTGACTACAAATTAGTCATCTTTCTTAGCCTCTTTATCTTTAAATTGAGCACTGAGTTTCATTATTTTACAACTGCAAGAAATGGAGAAAAAATATGCCTTCTCTATGTACAACCATTGTTAACAAAAGATATTTTCACACTTTCAGTTGATTTCACAAGAGAGTAATAATAAAACTACAGCTAATGAAGTTATTCAAAATATAACTAAAATTCAGCAAATTTTAAAATTATTTGAGGAAGATTTGATGGTCAGCTGACAGCAAGTACCAAGAGTTAAGTGATTTCAAAAATAATATAAAATTAAAATTTGTATAAACAATTTATAAATCACGCTACTTTGTCTTTTAAGGCCAAAAAAAGTCAAAAGGCCAAAGTCAGTCTCTGGTCAGCACGCGCGTCGATTTTAATCATGCGTGTCAATCTTTTTTTTTTCCAAAATGATCCACGGTAACTCCAACAGCGCCCTCTATTGCCGCATCTCCTCAAATTTTTGTACCAAAGAGCACCAAGGAATGGGAAATTGCACCAAGGCAAATGATCGAGGGCACCAAGGCAAATTGTGGAGGACACCAATGAACACGAGGACACAAAAAAAAGCAAAATAGTACCCCACCTTGTCTGTACAATCCAAGCTTGAAAAAAAAAATAAATCCGCGTGGCCGCATCAATTGCAGAACTTTGGTCTGACCAGAGACCGAGTATTTTATATTTTTGGCCTAAGTTTTGGTTTTTATACAAGGTCTGGCGAGGACACGGCTAAGACACCCGTCGGTCGCAAGCATTCAATCCCACCATGCATCACGCACACCTTGGGGAAGCCTAGCCTCACAAGCTGTGTCGCAAACTGAAAAAAAAACAAAAAAACGCACAAGTATAAAAAAATTATAAACGCTGTGCATCAAAGTAAATACGGAATAATAAACACTTTTAGATTATTCCCAAATTGTAACAAAGCAGATAAAAGCTTTTTACCAAGCTTAAGGCCAGTTTCGTGAATTCGTGACGTCTTGTCACACTGCAAATTTGCAGAAGTTGAATGCATTTCAACTCCAGAGAATTTCGTAGTTAAAGGGACACTAGGTCCTGGAACAGCCCAATTGGGCTACAAAACGCGCTTTGAACGAAATGATTTTAATCGGAAATAACATTTAAAAGTAGGATAAAACATCCACACAACTATCCTTTCAAAACTGGGCGTTTTTGTGTAATTCCTGTATTATGCGTGCGAGAACGAATTTCGGGGTCCACTCTTGCGACCCCATAAATTCGAGCTGTTTGGATGCTAGTTGTGATTTCATTCCTGAAGTGTTCGTCTTTTGCGGACGTTGAAGAAACCACTATTTTTGCATTGGTGATTGGTCACCGTTGTTCCCGAGACACACAACGTGTATATCGTACACTGAGAACGACATGAAAAACGTATTCGTGCTCCGTCGTGTCCGATGTAAACAAGCGGGTTTTTTTCGTCTTTTCTCGGGAACGGTAAGACATTAGGTTGGTTTCCTTTCAACCAGATGTTTGAAATAGGCTAAGTAAACAATCTAAAACATGAAATTTTCGAGGATTTCAGGACCTTGTGCCCCTTTAACGTTTCATGACGATAAATTCGCTTTTCGTTATTATCCGCATTTGTGTTAAGCATAAACTGGGCTTATTACCATTTTTAACAAAAAATTTTGAGTCTTTTATTCTGGCCCAGGAAGGATGACCCTTTTTTGCCTTAAATTTCTGAAATCGCTATTTCTGTCATCACTCACATTAGACGCATTCTTTCCTCTGTTGCCGACCACAACCACCACCCTTCCTTTGTGGTTGTTGAGCAGCGTGACTGCCTTGCATGGTACCAAGTCTCCCTCAGGGGAGAACGCCTGGTTGAAAGGAATGTTGACGCTGCCAGGTATGTTACCACGGACGAAGCTAAAGGGTCAAAGGTCAAGGAAAACCTCAGGGTTGGTGCGCCAGGGAAACATGTCACACTTTTGACAGCGTGGAGATAAAAGATGTCGAATGAGCTATCGAATAAGCTGGCAAAAATACAGCACATTGAGTTACATCCAAATTTGATGGAAGTTAACGTATGTCATGGTGCTAGTGTTCTTGGGCAAGACACTTTACCACAATTTCCCCTGTCAATCCAGGAGTATGGTTAGCATAAAACTGACTTGATGACCTGATGAACATCAGTAAAGCAAAGCCCTTTAAGAGTTGTATACCCAAATTTGATGGAACTTAACCTATGTCATGGTGATTGTGTTCTTGGGCAAGACACTTTACCACAATGGCCTTTGTCGATCCAGGAGTATGGGTAGCATAAGACTGAACTTGATGACCTGATGAACATCAGTAAAGCAAAGCCCTTCATAAGTTGTATAAAGCAAAGTTGTTTACAGTGGAACCCCATTATTTGGTGAAGAAGTAATTTTTTATATCAATTCCGAGATGTCTTCCGTGAAACATGCGCCCTCTTTCAGACTGTTGCTGTATTACAGTGCACCTTCTTTAGGTGACTTTGAAAATGTTATGAAAATGGCTTTGAAACTGTTGGCGTTCTACTACTTTGTAAAGGATACTCTTCAGAGCTGCGTACATCCACAGACAGTATGAGAGGCCTGCTGGTCCTGGTTTTCTTGGTCGGTGAGCGTGAGCCGGGCGTCAACCCTGGCTTGAGGTCACACAGCTCCAGGAGATCCTCAGCAGAGATGCGAGGACTGACTTCAGTTTTCAGCTCAGTCAGGCTCAGTGGCTCACGGGACTAAAGAATCAAACAAACAGGTTCATTTATCAACCCTAACTAATCCAGAACCTTCCAAATCTACCAGACGTTGTGAGGATTTTGCACAATTTTGGACCAAATTTACTGAGAGAGAGGTGTCCTCAAGGTTTTATGGGGGACCTTGAGGTTCAACTTTGAGTGACTACTTCTTTAATTTTGCATTCTTCCCTAATGCAGCAAGCATCAAGATCAAGACTTCAGAAGACTGTGTACTTGTGTTTAAATTTTCAATGTCAGACGTGGGAAATAAAAGGAGGAAATCATCTGATCCGAGGGCCGGAAACGTTGCATGCCTGATTGTTTAAATTCAAGTAAAGTAGACGCTTATTTTTACATTGACGTCCATCAAACTGTCACAATGATCCACCAAAACTGCAAATAGATCTCGGTAGTTCTAGATCTTAACCCTACCATTTTCCCCATTTCATTGCAGGGTTGAATTGTTTTCGTGTTGAGCCTTTGGGAGTATTTAGACTGATGTCTTGTGTATATTTTGAAACCAATGTAATAAAAAAAAAAGGCAATATCTGTTGTTTTTCATTGATCATGTATAAGAAAATGTGCTCATTCATTATTGGGTAAGTAGAATAATAAAGACCACAATTACAAAGCAGTGTGTCTAAGTTTAGTGGTGGGTGGCCTGGGGGAGAGGGGGGAGGAATGTAAGCTCCTCCCCCCCCCCCCCCCTTCAGCTGTGATTAAAGTAAGTTGGGGTGATGAAACAGCTCTATAATGAAGTACCGTCTTACCAGTTCAGACAGAGGGACATCATTATAGTCAGTACTGTAGTAAGAGACAGGTTTGATCTGCGAGGCAGCCGTGTTCTCTTGATCAGATCTACGCGGTGGTCTGGCATGCTGCCTGTATGTAGCACTCTTGGGTGTGTTACAGAAGATACGGATGGACTCTCGCACGCATTTCTCAATGTCAATCTCTGTTGAAGAAAACGGCACATCACCGATATGAATAGCGCTCAATAAATAGTTACAATTGGCGTGTCAGTGTATTAGTTAAGGCCATCATTTCACTGGGTAAGGTCAAAAAGAAGATGTTGGAGTACGTACCAGGCATGTCAGAGAACAGCAAGATGCACTCATTGAAACCGAAGCTAAGCAAGCCCGCCCTCAGCTGCTGTAAGATGGACACCCCGATGCAGAGTGGGAAGGAGGAGTTGCCTAGCAACAGGGTATCCCATAAGTGGAAGATCTTGTGCAGCGGGAAAACATCTGGAAAGAAAATGAATTCATAGACATGAAGATAGAGTATCGGTCAATGGTTAGTATGTATGAAAATACAACTTGTCAGGTTTTATATTTGACAGCCTAAAAGTTGCTAATTCGACCAGATTTAAAGGTCCAATATGTCTTACATTAAAGCTATAGTCCATCATTTGCAGCCATGCGAAAAGTAACTGGCGTAATTACTGTTGAAAAACACACTTGGTTGAAAGATAGTAAGGGAACTAAACTCCCTGTGAAATTATTCTTTCTGGGAAGCTGTCATTTTGAAGAAATCAACGAAAGAAGGCATTTCCAACGGTGATTCTTAAGAAGCACCATAGGAAAATTTAAATTAGTAGTTCGTTTTGTTATTCGGCGCAGCGCGCGCAAGCATTGGAACGACGCACACGCGCGCGCGGTTGTTATAATTCGTCGGATCAGTGCGCGACGCCGCGTATAGCTGCAATTCAAAACAATTCAAAACATGATTCAGTAACTTTTGATTTGAAATTGAGATCCTAGAATGCTGCTTTTCTCGGAATGTACAGCTGAAGCTTAGCTGAAACTTCATCAGGTTAGTTGCTCAGTATCCTTCATTAGATTTTGAACACTTTTGTTGCTTCAAACGAACAAAATGCACTAATTACAAATGATGGACTATACCTTTAAAGGAGAAAATGTTGGAAAACCAAGTTTGATCATACTTGACACTATACATATTTTAGGTGCTATACATTTTCAAGCAGTGTCAACAACAAAAATTGTGTCACATAAAATGTTGCAGGCTGCAGTAAAATGGGTAATGATTAGTACAGCAAAGTAACATCAGAACTTACGTGAGAACATCGTCAGGAACCAAGGAATAGCGTAGAGTTCTGGTATAAACCCGATGCTGTTCATGTGATTACTCAGCTCAGGATCATGAAATGCTATCAGGTGGGAGAACACTGCTAAGTACTCTGTAGACAAATTTTTTTTTTAAAATAAGCAATCTGAACGAAAAATAGTACACTTGCAAGACATTTTACTAGAAATACATCCCCCTCCCCTCCCCGGCCATGCCTACAAATGGATAATTCTGTGAGTGTTGAAGACAGATTGAACAAACTGGCATGATAATAAAAAAAAATACCTGCGAAGCACCTTGAGACATAAAGCAATGTAAGGATTGCATCATTCGTATAGTATATTTTTCACATTTGGTAAATAATTATACAAACTAAGGCATAAAATGGATATCTGAAAGTGCAGAAATGATGATTGTGTTTTGAATTTAATAGCAGTTTGTGCCGAAACGGCAACAGTGATCTGTATACTTTTCTAGTAAGCCAAGATTGGGTTACGAAGCATCTTCTGTAAAACTCATTCTTTTGTGGCCCTTGGGAAATTATATGCCTTTGATAAAGATTCGGCTTGGATTTTTTCATCAGACCCTTTTATCATCAGACCCTTTTAACAAACCTTGTATGACTGCCGAGTTGTCCTTCATGAAGAACTTATACAGGTACTTGGGAATGAATGCTGACAGGCAAGAATAGGCCAGTGCTGTAAGTAAAAAACCAACAGGGAAAAACTCATATCTGGTTTCGTCGTATTGACGGATAGATGCTCATAATACAGCAGTCAGAGTTTTACAGGGAGCCTAGGGGCCTATAAAATGCAACAAAGGAAATTTTTTGCATTTTTTTTTAAATTCCTATTTTTTATTTTTTTGCCAAGACTAATTTTTTTTTTCAGCCACGCCTACAAGACGGAACATTGAAGGTGTAACTTTGCTACAATGACCAAGAATATTTTGAATATTTTGATGAATTTTGAATGAGTAAAATACCAAGAATGTTAATTTGCATAATTATCATGAAAAAAATCCTTTAAATTCTAAGTAAACATTGTTTTTCATATGAAAATTTGTAGATCATATAAAAATGGTAAAACGAACAGTATTAAAGACCATGTCAACCTGGTGATTGGCCCAAATCTATAATACTTATAACCTAATTTTAAGAAAGTCTGAAAGAGAAGTGTGTACAAAGAAAAAAAATTATAAATCAAAACCATCACCAAATTTACCTTCATTGTTGAAATTGAGATACAGGAATGGAGCAGAGAGGGAGTCAAGACCTGTAATACAAAAACAATCAATTTAAATTAAAATATTTATCAAATGTGACCAGTGTGATGTGGAACATCACACTTTTTTTAACAAGAGATAAGGCAAAGCCAAGGGTGCCATATACACAATGGATGTTACTTATATGCTTTTTCAAAATGCCAACTAGTCAGGAAGATTGATGCAAAATATGATAGAATTGCTCATTTGATGATAAAAGCATGAAAGTTGGCACACAGTAAGAACATGCCCTAGAGAACCTTTTTTAGCTATAGGGCCATTGCAGATTTGTACTTTGAAAAAATATAGGTAGAATTAAGGCCAAAAAATAAAAAATACTCGGTCTCTGGTCAGCGCGCACGTCTATTTTAATCATGCGCGTCAACCTTTTTTTTCTTTTTCAAATTAACACGGAAGCTACAACAGCGCCCTCTATTGCCGCGCCTCCTCAAATTTTTGTACCAAGGAGCACCAAGGAATGGGGAAATTGCACCAAGGCAAATGATAAAGGGCACCAAGGCAAATAATGGAGGACACCAATGTATAATGAGGACACAAAAAAGCAAAATACACAATGTAGTACCCATCTTGTCTGTACAATACAAGCTTGAAGAAAAAAAAGCCACCAAAAAAAAAAAAACTGCGTCACCTCATCAATTCCGGAACTTCGGTCTTACCAGAGACCGACTATTTTTTTTTTTTGGCCTAACAAGCTATTTCCGCAATTTTCAAAATGGCTGCCATTGCTTGTTATTCTACCTACAAATCTGCAATGGCCCTATAGCCAAATATCTTTCTCATGACATACTCCGACTGTGTGCCAAATTCCATGCTTTTATCATCAAATGAACAATCCGATCACCTAACTTGCATTTTGAAGCAGAATAACACAAAAATGATATCTTTTGCTTTGTGACACAAGCCAGGGGTGTGAGTGACCACTGATAAATAGAGCTGAAAACACCTGAAAAAGGCGCAAAAAAGCTGAACTTTGGAAATCTCCTATACTTCTGTACAAAGCAAGTGAGCAAAAAAAATACTGAAATCCAAAACAAAAATAGCTGAAATCAGCTTTAAAGCTGAGATTTCACACCCCTGAACAAGCCCAACCCACCTTGCCAGTAAGACAGATGAGGATGTGACACCACCCAAGCCTTGAGTATCCTCTTGAATTTCCGGTGGGCCTCGGGGGAGGAGAGGAGCTCACTGTACTGATGACAGCGGGGGATGTCCACCTCTATCTGCCTGTCTGTGGGTGTAGGGGTCTCCTTGTCGATGCTGTCATACACGGCCTGGAAATCACCCTGGGGTTGGTATTGGAGTTGGTTAAAGCTACAGTCCATCATTTGTAATTTGTGCATTTTGTTCGTTTGAAGCAACAAAAGTGTTCAAAATCTGATGAAGGATACTGAGCAACTAACCTGATCAAGTTTCAGCTAAGCTTCAGCTGTACATTCCGAGAAAAGCAGCATTCTAAGATCTCAATTTCAAATCAAAAGTTACTGAATCATGTTTTGAATTGTTTTGAATTGCAGCTATACGCGGCGTCGCGCACTGATCCGACGAATTATAACAACTGCGCGCGCGTGTGCATCGTTCCAATACTTGTGCGCGCTGTGCTGAATAACAAAACGAACTACTAATTTAAATTTTCCTACGGTGCTTCTTAAGAATCACCGTTGGAAATGCCTTCTTTTGTTGATTACTTCAAAATGACAGCTTCCCAGAAAGAATAATTTCACAGGGAGTTTAGTCCCCTTACTATCTTTCAACCAAGTTTGTTTTTCAACAGTAATTACGCCAGTTACTTTTCGGATGGCTGCAAATGATGGACTATAGCTTTAACACAGAGATGCCAACTTTACAGACTACAAAATAGTAATGATTCTTCCTGCAAAGAGTACTGCTAATGTAAATACATAGGACAACAGTCAAGTTTAAGAGTAACCACAGTACTTTTCAGAGTAACCACAATGTTGGCGTACAGGACAGCTGGAATTTTCAAGAGTAGTAACATGCCTCAAAATCCTAATAATTACTCCAAAAGAGTAATGGTTGGCATCTCTGTAATAACATGATGCTGAAATAGCTGAAATACAAAAGCTGAAATGTTGCCGCCCTGTTCAAACTGCTATGTCCCTGCTAGTTTTTAGATCATCAACTTCACACGTTAGCTTACATGGATACTGGACATTCCTGATTCCTTGCAAATATGTGAAAAGAAAGTAAATGGTATTCTCTGGCCTACTAAAGCAAATTTGATTAAGATTTTCCACTTATATATGTTTATTCCAAGCAAAAAAATCATTATTTTTTTGGTCTCTCTTTGTTTTTTTGCCAAAGCATCTTCATATGAGCTTCAGGTGTCAGAAATACATTCGAATGTCTCTCCAAGTGGTCTCCCCAACTCTTCCTTTGTAACCGTTGAGGGCGTACTTTGCATGGAGTCTATAGAGCTAACAACTTGCTTTCTTAGTAGGCGTAACTGCCACACATTTAACATAAATAACAAGTAGAACATGATAAGGGTTGGATAGTATACAAATATTGAGTGGCTCAGCGTAGAATGTGAGGAATATTATCGCAAGGTAAAATCTGGACTTCCATTTCACGAGGCGAAGCTGAGTGAACTGGAAAGGTCCAGATTTTACCGAGTGATAATATTCCTCCCATTTCACAATTTAAAGCCACTCAATATTTGTTTTATATAACTGACATATAGATCCTTGTCATTTGATATATTTGAACTTTTATTTCAATACAAAACTGGAGGAAAATGTATTTCTGTCTTCCAAACCACCCCTTCACGAAAATGTTTGAACCAGACGCTGTAGCGCTGGCTCTTTGGAACAATACGCGCTACGCGCAACGCTGAACGCGTACACCAGCATGCATTTGCACACAAATACCGCGTCATGATCCTAACTATTCAATAGTATTTCCCATTCCCCATGGGCGGATAGTACTTTTTGAGCCGCGGCGTGAATGGGAGCAATAACGAATGTCACGTGATGTGAGTTCCACCAATCAAATGACAAGGATCTGTATGTCGGTTATATAAACAGGATTTGATATATTTGTTTGTTACTATGGTAACTCACCTCCACTGCTAACAACGCAGCCCAGACCTCAGGCCTGTACAATGGCGGCGTGTCAATGCGCGACTCACGGAAGACACGACCGATGGTGTATGGGTAGCCACGCAGTAACCGGTCGTATAAGACCACACGGTGAAACTACAAAGGACAAGCAAACCGTCAATTAAGATTACGCTAGCTTTTGAGCAATTCCGAGGGAGTGCGGCAGTGGTTAGGGTTCGTGACTCATGATCAGGGGTTTGAATCCAGCTACTGGCCTTATGTTATGTCCTTGGGCAAGCCACTTTACCCCCACTTGCCTCTTTCCACCCGGAGTATAAATGGGTACCGGCATTAGCTGGGGAGTAACCTGTGATGGACTGGCATCCAATATTCTCAATCGTTTCATGTCAAGGAAACGGAAAACAAAAACAGGCCTGATTGGCCATATTGGCTTATGACTGACTTTCCTTTTTTTTGAGCGATTCCTCTCGCATTTTATATAAAATTCACATCGAGTTATATTAAATTATTGGCTCGCCATAAACAATGTACCTACTCGGTGCATCCATGTTTGTGCACAAACCTACAGAAAGCTTAAAATTGTGTACGGCTATTTGCGGAATCAAGTTTTCGCACTGCGAATTCGCAGGAGTTGAACACATTCAAACTCTTGCAAATGTTTTCTGATGTCTAAATCGCTTCAGCTTCGCATTCGTATACATGTGAAGTATGAGCTGCCATTGATACAGTAAGTTCCCTAGCTACCTGATACTCGATGTCTTTTTCTCTGATGATGAGTGGTAGATTGGCGGTCTCTGACAGACCATTAGAGCTGGGGGATGTCGGCAAGTTTATTGGGTTCTTCCTGCATTGAAAAAAAAGAAGCTTTCATGAATCTTTACAAAACATGTGTACAAATGTTTTATTATCAGATAAGACAAAAGATTGTGATGGTGGCCAAAAATTTGGGGGGGGGGAACAAACAAACAAAAAGAAAAAAGAGTCAAGCTATCAAACAGTCATCACTGTGTGCCTTACATAGTCTGATGACCTAATTTAAGATTTTTACCATGATTCTTCTTGTGGGCAGAGCTTGAAATATAATTTCACTACAAATTTGTGACTCTAAATATGTCTAAAAAATACTGTAAAAGTTGCGGGTAATTTTCCATCTGAAGGTGATATTTGTGATGATTTGTAGAAGTGTATCAGTTCAAGAAATGCAAAATCCAAAGTTTTAACAGGCAATTTATCTGTTTTCAGATAGCTACTTTTGTTTTCCTGGGTTAGAACGTAGACCAATGAAAAGCGCGCGTTTGGTTCATATATATGTATGAGATGTACAAATAGTTAAATCTGAGTGTTGAACTCACTCATCTTCTAGTAGTGGGTAGAAGGCTGTATCGTCAATGTTCTCCATGCGTGTTCTGAGCTGCGTCATAGAGAGGGTCACCACTGTGTCATCATACAGGGAGCTACTGTCTCTCTCTAGTCCCATCACATCACCAAACTCTGTCATCAAACTGGAAAGAAAAGTAAACATTTTCCTGATCCGATGTACATTCTTGCCCCCAAAAAAGTGCCTAAAGGCACAAGATAACCCCATTCACTGGGACTTAGATGTCATGTGCATAGACCGAGTGCTGATTTAGTGATTGTACGTGTGAGGGTGCATTTCAAAATCTGAAATGGCAATTTTTGAATTGGAGTTATGAGCAACAGAAACTATTGACGAGACCACACAAATTGTGCCATTGATTTCCTCTGTTTTCTGAAGATGATTAGAATTCCACACGCAAGAGCTACAAACGAAAGAATTTATAAAAAGCAAATGATCTCATGTATGTTTAAAATCTCAAAAAGGGCTAACATAACTTGTTTTTAACCCTAACTGCCCTGAATCCTTCAAAATCCTCTTTGCCAAAGTGGAGGAACTTGGAGGATTGAGGTTACATGGCAAAAGTGCGTTACTGATTTTGTAGGATGCACTTTGTCAAGGTCTTGGGCCGGACCTTGTGTAGTTTTTGCTCAGCCATGCATAAACATAGGCCTGGATTAAGCTTGAAATCCTCCGTACTGCTCCAGGATGTCACTGGCCAAGCCTCAACATATTGACATTCACTGCCGCAGGAGTTTGCAGGATTCAGGCAGTGGTCACCCCTCCACGGACCATACTCAAGAAATAATGGAGGAATTTGCAGAATTGAGGCTATATGCTATTTTTCCATGAGGCCAATTGGAGGATTTTGCAGGATTGAGGCTACATCCTTGCAAAAAGGCCTAGGGAGTTAGGGTTAATATTATTAGGGGTACTGGAAAAGCTGTGCCATCTACACATCATGGATACCTATTAACTTGATTACATTTCGACCGATACGCTGGGCTTAACAGCTTCACTGAATTAGCCCCTGGATCCAGCCTTGGATTGTATCTGTACTTACTCTGCTAGGTTACAGATAGGTGGGCTGCTGCGTAGTAGACCCTTCTTTCTGAGTTCAGCCTCTAAGTCTCCTCCTGCTAGACCCCACAGGTAGTACACCTCAGCGATGGGCCTCAGCTCAAGATGATCCTCAGTGGATTCTGTGGATAGGTACACAACACAGGGCGACCAAGCACTTTATAATTAGTCCAATAGCTACAGTGTGCGACTCATTCGCAATGGTATGTGGGCTGAAACTCTGACGGGAAACTGGCATTTTGGCAAGACACTTAACTACAATTGCCCCTCTTCAGCCAGGAGTGTAAATAGGTACTAGTGAGCGTACAGCCTTCATTGGGTAAAAAATGGATAGCACAAGGCTGAATGTGGGCTGCGACTGAATCTCTTGTCTAGGGCTATTGGCTATTGCTCTGGTGTTTCAGACGCAACAGTGGCGTGGGTTTGAGCCCGCCGGGTGGACACTTGTGCCCTTGAGCAAGGCACTTAACCATTATTGCTTCGTCCTTCGGATGGGATGTAAAGCCGTAGGTCCCGTGTGTTGTGTAATCCAATGCACGTAAAAGAACCCAGTGACACTTATCGCTAAGAGAAGGGGTTAGCCCCGGTGTTTCTGGCCTCCTATATAAACTCCCACGCGGAGCATTTAGGAGAAGAACCAACCAAGAACCAAGAACCAAGAACCAAGGTCTTTGTCAATTACAAGCACATGGGAACAAGCAGACAACAGACATAGCCGTAGCCTCAGTTGCCCGGTTGGGACAGGGTCTTACCTTCTCTGACACTCTCTATGTACTTGTCAAGCTGTAGGTCCTCTGATCTCAGGCCTGGGTACTGGAACATGGTCATACTGCTCTTAGGATGCAGCTTACAGGTGGCGTAATCTTTGAAGAGATCACTGGCAAGAAGTTCAGAGGGACTTGGCCTGGAAATACACAAAAAAGTGCTCAAAATATGCCATGTTGTTCAATTGTGAGAAGATAACACGGACCCTTGTTCTACTACACCCTCGTGTTGTAAGTGAGTTTATCACAAGACTTGACAAGTCACCTTCAGTCAATTCACAAGCTATTCGAAGGCATTCACTTGAGACTGGACTTATGACAGACTTGTGACCAGGCTCGACTTCAACACTGCTAAACCCCTAAAACAATTTGATATTCAGTTTATGAGAATTTTCCATTTTACTACAGTAGAGAAAGGAGGGGGGGGGGTAGCCATTACGAAGAGGAACAGGCAGGGCGGTTTGAGGTGGTCTGAAAATGAATGGTTATGAAGTGCTTGCATAATTTAAGTCTGTATCCTCACCAAAACACCTATGCAAATGTAAAGCGTAGTAAACAGGAATGAATCCTGGGAAACTTCGTGTGAAGTGGAGGAGGGGAATTCAGTCTTGTACCAAAAACAGTGATCACACTTTAGTAGTGAGATGTTACAAAACGTCTTCAGACTTTATTACACCGCTAGCACTGTGCTACAATTGTAATGTACATCCTCTCTCTTTCCATACCAAACACCAACTCCTTCCAAAATTTCTTTTAATAACAAAAACGAATTCCTTTCCGTAATATTATTCTCGAATTACTTTAACGCACGCACGCGTGCACGCGCATGCACCTGTATAATGCAGCTGTTCATGTGCGCACCTGTTCACTTGCCTTGCATATTTATAATTACTTTTCACATCACTACACACATTTGTATAATCTGTGACTATTTTCTCACCTTTTGTCAGGAGAAACCGTTAAGCACTGCCTCAGAAAACTCTGCAAAGACTGTGGGAGCTCCTATGGGCAATTCAGACATGGTTACGAAAACAGTTAACATTTTTAAGTCCTAAATAACTGTTCAAATCTTATGTGCTCCTCCATACACGCTATTCAAAATGGTTTAAAGATTGTTTTTTTCTTTGTACTACAAAGACATTTTTGTCACAGTCCCTAGAAACTTTCCAGTAAGAATGGCATGTAAATCCTTCTTTCAATCTACCTCTCTCAACAGGGTACAACAGTAATTAACAGGTGTTTTTTGTTGAGGGCACTTCCATGGTGTCGGACAATTCAACAGTGTGCATAATAAAAGATATCAAAAAATAGATTTTAATTCTGATGAAACGCATCAGTTAGATACTACAAATGATAAAAAAAATTAAATTATTCTTCCAACTTTTCTGTCGTCATATAAATCAACTTGAAACACTATGGTGCTGGAAATACTCAGATTGATTTTTGCGTATCTATCAATTAATTTTTCAGTTACTAAAACGTAACAGCGTGACTGTTGAACTTTGTTAGAAATAAACTATATTTTAATAAAATACAGGTAAAAAGCTTCAAAATGAACCATCTGTTTCATTTGGGCATTAAGATTTTCTGAAGTTTTGGCATTGAAGATTATAATTCCATGGAATTGACGTTCATCCAAAAAAAAAGAAGATTTATTATGGCATGTGTAATTCTGACCTGAAACTTGTTCTGTGTGCCATGCTCTCTGAAGATTGTCTCCAACGAATGGATGCCGTTGCTGTGTTTCCCTAGCAACAGCACCTTGGAGATGAGCTGAGGCAAGGTACAGGAGGACCAGAGCTCCAGGCCCAGACAGATCTCCATGACGACGATGCCTAGTGACCAGATGTCCACTTTTGGGCCGGACATGGTTGGGCGCGTGCCAGAGTCGTCAGGCTGGATGGGGCCACTGGATAGGACCTCGGGGGACATGTAACGGGGGTGACTTTGGAGGACAAAAACATGAAAATTAACACCAACCCCGCGATAACGTGCAACACGTATCAAAATGAGAAGTCTACCCAGTGTAACAAGATCCATTGCTGTACTGTTTAAAGAGGTTGTGGAATGCTGGAAGACATTTCCGTCATTTTTCGGGTATATGTAACCTAAGGTGTGATGAAATAAAAACGACTATTGTTTCGGTCATGAAATGAATACAAAAGGTACTTTTGAGAGCTGTTTTTCAGGTCCTGTTTCGACCCGAACGTGCAATTTGTGTAAAAATCATCGTTGGGGGCAGCAAACAAAACATAGTAAATCGTGACGTAATAAACAGGACTCCCTATGCAGCGTAGTATAAAAGAGTCCTGTTTATTACGTCACGATTTTTCTGATTTTAAGAAGAGCCCGACGACTGTTGATTTCAATTATGCGCTCGCCGACCAACATATTACTCGATGAATTTCAGTTTTATAAACATATAAACGCACATTACAAAAGAATGGGAGTTTGTCATTATGATATATATGGGTCTACTCTACTATAAAAAAATTAAAAAACAAAACGACTTTCAGCATTCCACAACCTCTTTAATGGCACTAGCTCGCATTGTCGGCCGTGTATGTAATGATGTTGATAGATCAACGCAGCAAGGCCCAACAAAATATCGTAACTGATGCACTCGGTGGCATTAATTTGGCAGGGATAGGGTTCATGTTTCTTGTTGAATGGTGAGAAAGTGCAATTTGGTCTATGATATGGAAACAAAATATTTAGCAACTTCTGTCAAGACATTGTGGGCACCAAAAAAAGTGGCAGCATCACTCATCAAAGCAAAAAGATATGCTAAATACATCAGAGTTTGATGGATGGGTATCGAGCATCCCACAGAAAATTTGTAACCTTGTGTTACAAATTTATTTCCACGTTAACTAAAGCTTTTGTGAAATTTTCTGTGAATCTCCATTCCTCATTTCATGTGATTTAAGCCAAACTTGATGTGGTTCAAATTGGTTCTCCGGTTTGTCGGTATCTTTGTTCAAGGGTGTCAGTCAACCGCCATAATCCCAAAAGCCGTATCCTCTTGAAGTGTACCCGATTGGTATTTCCCAGATTTGTTTGTGCGATATTTTGTAGTAACTCACCCGATAGGAAAAGTGACACAGGCTCCATATTCTGTCATGTGATACAGTCCATGATTGGCCAGCTTGACGTGACCCTGCAGACAATTTCAAACAAGGAAAAGACAAAATATAAACTACCATTTTCTTTTTTGCTTCCAAACTTGTCACATACAATTTTCCCATGCAGTAAAAATGTACAGTGAACTTCTTTCCCTCTCTAAACAGAGCTGGCACACTGGAACCAAAAGTGAGACACTGTTGGACTCTGATTATGTTGGTATGCCTAACCCCAAATAAAGCATAATCAGCTTACTAGTGCAGTACTCACTCTTAAGGGCCTGTCACACTGTCTGCGATCATATGCGCTCTCACTGCGTCCTTGAAAAATGGCTGGGGCGCAACAACAACTACTAGATCGTAGCGACAACTACATAGGTCGCCTGATGGGCGCTGGAGGGTCTTAATGGTCTCAGATGAGCGCTAAAGTTTTTTAAAAAGCTCAAAACAATCGCACCACCTCTGCGCTCTGGCCAGGGTGCCGTAATGACGCAACTCGGGCGCTGTGCGAGCGTGAATCGTGCGACATTGAAGTGGCATTGAGGCAGCCTAGGTGCAAGGCAGTCCATGTAGTCTCCATGAGAAAGTAACTCGACTGCAATGAACTTATCGAATAAATTTGAAACTGGACTGCGGATTGACCGTTTTGTCGTGGTATTATACAGCGCAAGTGACGTCATGTGAGCGTATTTTGGTCGAATAGAGAGCGCGACGCGAGCTACTAGGACGTATTAACAGCAAGCAGAGAGTAGTGTGAGCACAGTGACAGCGCAGTGGCAGCGACTAGATCGAGTAATTGAGCTTGACAGGGGCGAATAGAGAGCGAGTTGAGCTCATCGTAAGCGCGGGACGAGCGCAGTATGAGTGTAGCTTGAGCTACTTTCTGGCCACTTGAGACAGAAAATTGTCATTTTCTTGCGTCCTTGCTGCGATTGTTAAATTGATTAAATATTTTTGGTCGCTGTAAAGTCTCCTATGAGAACGCATATAATGTGACAGGCCCTTTACAGATTCCAACAAACCCTGGTGGGATTGGAGTTTGACTGGATGGGGATTGTTAGGGTTACATAACCATGCATACAGTATGTATGCTCTCAAACCTAAACTAAATAGTTAGTTTTTAATGATTTACTTGCCTCTGTATCCAGAAGAATATTTGCTGGCGACAGCGCCCTGTGCACTAGACCGTGGTTGTTCAAACATACCAGTCCCTCTAGAACCTCATAGACTAACTGCATTACACTGGGCCAGCTGCGACGATTTCATTTGAAGATAATAGTAAAATTGCTTTGTTAAACTAAATCTAACGAAAAAGGAAGGATATCTGTAACTACAAGATACCAACTTTGCTATCCATTTAAGGTTGGCAATCTTCCAAACTTGACATAAGCTGCAAGGATTTTTAGAATTTCAGACAAGTTTGAATTTAAAAGGGCTTAATTTAACAAAATCTTCAAATAGCCCAATTAATATTTTATTTTACACATGTTAAATGTGATGACAATTTGTCTCCTGTGTTTTTTGGGTTTTTTTTTTGCTTAACTTGTTTGTTCAACTCATTTATTCCTTTTCTGATAATTTCACCTCCTGGCTTCACTAACATGAAGGTGTTTTTCTTCAACTTACTGTTTGAAAGTTCCTTTCTTTGCTGCCAAGTGCACGTTGTTCTTGTAATGTTCGCAGACAACCATAACTCTTTCTGAAATTTAAAAATGGCAATGTTTACAGGCATATAGGATTTTTTTGCTTTTTTATGTTGAAGTTTCAGCTGTGTGAATATTACACCTTTTGAGAAAACAGTGGCAACATCAAGGAACCATGATTTTGTCAACAGCACTCCAAAACTCAGTCAATTGACTGATCATGGGAATTTTTTGATTTCTTCTAAATGACAGCAAACCAGATAGAGTAATTTCATTGGGTGTTTAGTACCAGTATCACATTTAATCCAAGTCAGCTTTTTGATAACAATTTGGTTGGTTACTTTTGGGATAAATACAAGTGATCCAATATGCCTTTGACAGTGGCGTATACCAGGGGAGGGTGTTTCGAACTCTCCTCCCACCCCCTCCGCATGACCAAAACTACACAAAACGTGGTGCACTGTATGCAGAAATGTTTGCTTAGCAGACACTGTCTACCAGCCAAAATGTCATAGGATGTTTACTGCTTGTAACTGGTACTCGGCTGCTTTTTTCCTGTTAAGAAAACATGCTAAGTAGTGAGAGATGGCCTTGCGGTTTAGAACACTGGACTCATGCTCTGGTGTTTCAGAGGCAACAGTGGCGTGGGTTCAAGCCCGGGACCGGACACTTGTGCCCTTGAGCAAGGCACTTAACCATTCTTGCTTCGTCCTTCGGATGGGATGTAAAGCTGTAGGTCCCGTGTGTTGTATAAATGCATGTAAAAGAACCCAGCAAATGACTTATCGCTAAGAGAAGGGGTTCGCCCCAGTGTTCAATACTGGCAGTTATCCTCATACATACACCATGAGGCTGCACGCGATAGCCACACCAGGCGTTTGTACAGAAGCTAACAGATACAGTTCCAAGAGATTTGGCCCTGACCTTACCATGCTTTCCCCTGACAATGTCCACATACTGGCACAGCCTTGGATGGCCGAGTATCTTCAGCCTCTGCAGACGACCAAGGATTCGGATAGAGTTTGGGGTCAGCGGTAGTCCGTCCGCCCCACATTGGTCGTGGGGGTGAGCTGCAGCATAGAAGGTTGAGACGCCCAGGTCTGCTTGACCCAGGGGCTGCATGATGGGTGGTCAAGACTTGGGGATCCTATGGAAAACCTGTTAAAGACACGGGAAAAGTCATAATCAAATTTTCATATTGAACAGAAAACTTGAATGATAAGTGTTGACGTCAAGCCAAGGTATTTGTGATGGATCAACAGAACATTCAGGTCGCAAGTAAATCGCACGTCAATTTACAAGTCAAAATCACAATCCACAAGAGGCAGTTTACACTACAATACAGACTTAGTCCGAAAATTTGGGATAACATAACATAGTTGCTGCAATGAATAGACTGATAATCAAGAAAATGGTCCTTTGCCTCTGAAGGTCTTGTTGTAAAGACCGAAATGTCAGGCCCTCTTAATTGTTTGATTGATATAAAAGACTGAGGATTCAAGTTTTCTTGACGATTAAAATGACATTCACAATGTTCATGTTAGGTGCAGGAAATGTTGCGAAATCAGGAAAAGTCTCGTGTACACGACTGCAATTGTTCAATCACTTTTCGCTATTGGTCAATGTACCATCTGGTGATCTATGATGGTGCAAATCCAGCAAACATGCCCAACATTCAATTCACATCATTCAATCACTGACACAAGGGTCATTCTATAAATTTGGGGTCCACTTTTTTTCCCGTCCCTGTTACATCTGACATCTATGATTGTATAATTCTGATGCACTCCTAAGTGCAGTCGTCCTCCAAGAGTGATTATGAATAGCAAACTACCTACCCAACAAATAAACAATCATTTGAAGTCACTTTTAATGATGCTTGAATGGCAAATTACAAAGTACCAAGGTAACAGGGACGGGAAAAATGTCACACTTTGGACCCCAAATTTATAGAATGACCCACAAGTCATTGTTACGCCCCAAGACCATTGGTCCGAACTTTGCTAACCGTCCCAACTAAAGGGGGAATACGATTTCTGCGGACGAGTGATGGCCAGATAATGGGAATCTTTCCCTAAAGAGTTCCAGTTGGGCAAGTCCATCCAAAACATCCGCCCACAGCTTTGTGCATAAAACTGCATTGCTAGTTTGTCATCCAAGTCCAACGAATGTCAAAAAAAGGTTTATCGATATATTTGTTAACAACCTGCACAGAATCTGAATACACACAGGTCGATTACTTTCCCCATAAAGATACCTAAGCCATAAAAAGAATAGATATCGAAAGAACTGAAAACAAAACACATTAACTGACAAAATATCGGAAGCATTTTTCCCGGCCCGGCCGGTGACTTACCAAAAAATACTAGACCATTATTCATTCATCAAACTATAGAGGGCGCTCTTCAACTACAACAGTCGAAGCGTCGTAAATTTACACAGCATCGACCTTTGACAAAGTTTGAGGAATCGGCAATCTTTCAGGTCCTAGAAAGGCAGCATTGGCTATAAACCATTATCCAATCATCCTACCAAGGCAGGAGGTAATATTGCACATTTGAAAGCGTCGATTTCAGTGGTATACCTTATCGGTAAACGTAGTTTGAGGGCTTGTTCGGGGTCGGGAAATTTCGTCATGTTCGTTGGTTCGCAGTGGCTATTGTTACGGCAGCCGTAATGCATTTCCCATTTTCTATCGTTACGGTAGACTGCAACCTGGCAACTTTTATAAAAAAACATGACAAGAAAATATAAAATTAGAAGGAAAAAAGTGAATTTGAACTTTATGAAATTCGGACTTTATTTCCCTTTTAAAAAAAATCCTCCAAAGCCTCAGGTTAGAAAAGGAAAAAAATTCGAGTGCAAAACTGAGATCCGAACCCGCAACCTCGCGTTGCAAAATCCTACCCTCTATCGGCTGAGCTGGCGCACTGCTGGATAAAACATGTGGAAACAAATAATTATATACCTGCGTGCGTACCAAAAAAATATCGTAGAGGGCGCTAAACAACGAGTGCCGTAACGATAGCCACTTCGTCGTTGGTTTGACAGTTCCGTTTACAGTGTTGAAAAAGTGGTGTCCGGAAATTGGGCAGAAAATCGGGAAGCGGTTGCCAAAATGGGTAAACGTAGCATTGACTGGTTCACTAAGATGAACACCGCTGCCACCTACGAGTACGAGTACGAGAAAACTGTGAATAAATGATATATTTTTTGGTTTTTTTTTTCTTTTTTGGAGGGGGGGGGAGGGGTGTTCCGCTAGTTTTGCTTCAGTCATGTCAGTGTGTTTCATATTGATTTGAAAATACTGAGCTGTTTGTTTTACAACTTTTCTCTTGGTTTGGAATCAGAAAATTGACTTACCTGGTAGTTTAAATTGAGTTTGGCATTCCTAGATGTCTAATGACTAACGTTAGTTTCTGTGAAATTCTAAAGGAAATTTGACAATTTTGTGGTTTGTTTGGTCGTGTTTTTCTCAAAAACATGTCAACCTGCCATTGCAAATATTGATTTACCCAAGACATACACCTAAATTTGCCCCACTACTCCACTAGTGTAGCAATGGTATTGCCATGCTGTAACTTCCAGCACAGCAATATAGTCCCCACACTAGTGGGGCTAACACCTAAATTTGAATATGATTTAGATTTGTTTGTCTGTTTGTTTCTTACACTACAGCATCAAGATTTTTGCAACACAGAGTGGGAGAGTAATCCTCACAATGCAAGCAAGGTCTGTTGACAGTTCCCTGCTGGCCGCCTTGCAGAACATCCAGAAAGCCTCCGGAGCTGGGAGCAGTGTATGTGATGAAGGGGTCCGGTACAAGTTTGTCCCCACCCAGAGGAACAAACGCAAGCTGATAGACATCAACGCTGGCCACACATACACGGTCAGGAAGGTGTACAAGAACACCACGCTATGGCAGTGCACCATGCGCAACAAGAACATCTACTGCAGGGCCACCCTCCAGCAGTCTGGTAACAAATTCAAGAAAGGCAACAACGACCACATCCACCCAGGCCAGCTTGGAGTTGCCGAGTTTACAGCGAGTGGGAAAGTCCGGAAAAGACGAGCCCACAAGAAGAAATCAACTAGGGTAAGAATTAGGGGAGTGGAGGCCCGTTCCCACCCCACCTGTTCCCCCTTCCCCCATACTCTGATCTAGAGAAACAAAATTAAGGTTGCTAGATATTGACAAGGCCATTGGTAAAAAGAGGGTTGGATGAAAGAATTAACCCAAAAAATGAACTAACTTGTCTTTACCCATCTTTTTCACTGTGTTTGTATTTATGAATGATATTTGTCTCCTTTTGTTTGCAATCAGGATGAAGCTATCAGTCAAGCCGTTACAACGATATCTGAATCTTTTGGGCAACAGAGACAAGAAAACATCCTGGAAATGGTGTGTACTTTAACATTATCGGTATGAATGGCTGCATGATTTTTAATCAGTATAAGATTATTCATGTATCTCCATGGGTTATATTTTGTTTGCCTTTTTAGCACTATTCTGTGCCAATATTTATCAACTTGCCAAGGGCAGAGTTAATTTGATCAGTTTGTATTTCCCTTTTTTGTGGCGGTTGTAGTCCATTTCAAGTCAGACAATTATACAAAGATTAAATTTGCCCTTCACCATGCATAAGAAATTTTAATTCAATGGCAAACATTGAAAGGGACATGTTAATTCATGAAAAATTTGACTAAGGTTCTAAGTGTTGGACTTGTTTGGCATTAAACAGGAGTTTTTACATCATCGAAACAGGCTTCATTGCAAATAATTTAAATAGTGGTGTAAACTAAATGATTTTGCAAGAATTTTATTGTTTTCTTTTTTTCTGCAGCCACAGTTTTCTGGGATCAGTACAGGGCCCAGTGGTTTGGGGTCCGAAGTCAGTATCAGCCAGGCAGCAGCTGAGGACTCGGATGATTCCTCAGACGATGATGATGATACAGACCAAGTCCAACGTTTTCGTCCAATCCAAGTCCAATCAGAGCATTTGCAGCCTGAGATGAGCACAGGATCCCAACCTGTGCACTTTGAAGGAACAATCCAAGATGGAACAAGGGAACACGTTGTTGCGTCAGCTGATGGCAGCGTGGGGCCTGGTGTAGTGTCAGACGCCGACGTCATTGAAACTATTGCCGAGGAATTCAAAGAACAGAGGGCACCAGATGCAGAATACACCATCGTTGATGGGTCCTCACAGAGACGGAACGCCAAGTTGACTGACAGTGCTGGATACACGTACTGCCTCAAGAGCAGGAACAGTTATACCAGCTACTGGCGGTGCAGCATCCGCAACAAAAGCGTAATGTGCCGGGCATCAGTCGTGCAGACTGGGGAGGAATTCAGGAGAGGGCAGTTTGACCACATCCATCCCAGTAATCCCAACGGTGCAGTGGCTGCCAAGTTAGTGGCTCAAGTCAAGGCCAAAGCTTCGCTGGATCCCGACGCACCAATGAGTAACATCGTCGGCGAGGCCTTGGTGGAGACGGTGGGTTACTACCAGCCAGGCCTTGGTATTCCCAAGCCGTCTAACCTCGTACGTGCTGCCAAACGTCTGCGTCAGAGGCTGTCGCGGGGTTCAGATAGCATCCATGACAGCTCCATCCCGGCTGATTTCCTGCAAAAGGTCATCGAACGTGGGGATAAATCCCACATCTTCCTGGCCTCCCCACAGCAGCTTCAGCTTCTGAGTCAGATGACCCGATGGTACATTGACATCAATCCCAAAGTCGTCAAATCGCCTCTCAAAGAGCTCGTGTCGATCCATGCCTTTGTGGCAGATGACAATGAGCCCAAACTCAGGCCCATGGCCTTCCTGCTGATGTCCCGCAAGAAGAGGAAAGACTACAAAGCAGTTTTCAGTGCCCTCAAAGAACGTCTCCCCGGAGATTTAGCCGTCGCGGAGTGTATCTTAGACTACGAGCCAACCCTTTGGAGAGCAATCAATGACGTCTTTCCGGGCGTTCAGTGTTCTGGGAGTGCCTCCCACTGGTCACAAGCTATCTGGAAGAAAATACAAGAGTTTGGGATCCAAGGCAGCCAGGCTTACGTTCATGAGCCTACCAGGGCCTACAAGCTCCTGAGAAAGCTGATGGCTTTGTGTTACCTCCCAGCAGACCTCATCCCCAGAATGCTCAACAAGCTCCAAGAGAAGGCCAACACAGGAACATTACACCAGCTGCTGAACTATGTAGAAGCCACGTGGATAGAGGGACCTACCTGTATGTGGTCGCCATCTGTCTGGAGCGTCTACGCACAACCCCAGCGGATAAATAATGACGTGGAAGCCTGGAACAAGCAACTGAATAGCAGAATCAAGAAAGGCAAGCTGCCTCTCAGTGTTCTGATCATGCATCTGCTCAGTGAGTCCAAGCCAGTCACCGCACAAGCCAAGCCGGCGTCCAAGAGACATCTGAAGCGATACCACAGCACCGTTGGCAAGAACCACCAGATCGTCAAATTCTGGGAGGAGTTTAAACAAGGGGACAGGAAACTGAAGCAACTGCTGAATGCGTGCGTTACGTTTTGTCTTCCGGGAAGCAGCCACGTCTGAACCAAGCATAATGATGCCAAGACAGTACCCAAGCTTACAAAAAAAGTACATGTGCACAAATCATCCGCCTTAGTGTTCATTCAGGATGAAGAAAATACTCAAGCAAAATGGTCTCACTTTTGTTGTTGTTGTTGTTGCGTACATGTATTGCACAATATGCTACGTTACTGCATATACAAATTAAACTGGGAAATTGGTTCTAATAGCATTCTTAAAGTACAACTTATTTTTTTCAGTGCATACATGTATAACTTCACTGGATTTCCATGTTAAAAATGTATGTAGGATTTGTAGTTTGTACTGCACGTGATGATATGCAGAACATTCGTCATCCTGGATGTACATATTATACAGTACATATGTACATAATTAATACAGACAAGTACACAGAAGTATTTGCTTTAGGTTTTTTTTTTTCCATTCAAATCACAGTTTTTTTACTTTTACTATTTTGACGCATTTTCTATACATCATCAGCAATAAATGCATTACAGTTTGGGTTTTACAAAACTAAATTACATTTGCTGAAATATGATTTCTTAAATAGGCATTCCATCTGCAAGGTCTACACACTCAATCAATTCAAACCTCAATGAATCTGATTGTCTTAATGTTTAGAGCATTGAAATTGTACTTTGTTTTTTAGGAGTTTATGACACACCCCATATTTTCATTATTTTTCTTTTGACACATGACACAGTTGTATGCTTCCCCAAAAGTCATTTCAAAAATGTTGTTCTTGCAAAAATTATTTTCACAGAACATTCTTTTCAAGTGTCTGATGCTGTAATTAAAATTCACAAATTCTGACTTGATTTAACATTAAATAATTCATTGCAGTGTACAATATGTAATAAGTCACATGTTACATTGTTGGCCGCTTTATTTCTTGTTAAATATTTCATTAGAACTGCCTGTGGCTCAGAAATCACTGGTGGCGATAAACTTGGCAACGTTACTAAAAGTTATCTGAAATTTACGATTAACATAAGTGATTTTAAATTTTTCATGTTTCTTATTACAGTAGAGAATTATTTGTTCTAAAAAAATTAATTTTGAACAGTTGTGAACAGGAAGGTCATATATTGCCATTATTGCAAAGTCCTTGTTTCTTGGCTGAGGGGGATCCAGAAATGAGATGAGAGCTCATTATTTGTTTACTTCAACACCAATCAGTGCTGGGATCGAAATTTTAGGCCCTCAAACTCCAAAAAAAAATTTTTTTAAAGGGTGAAGGGTGCAGTGAACTAATTCAAGTGAGAATTTCTACGCGAGCTGATTAGCATAAAAAGTGACCCCACAGTTTCTTTTGAAAACGGAGACCGTTTGGCCTAAAAAACCGATGGAATTGTGTAAATGTAGCCAAGGATCAACTCCCTGGTTTTTGGGCTTCCATCTGAGGGCAGGCTTGATAAAATTACGGTTGAAAAATGGGTCCTATTTGTCTGAGAAAGTGGAAGGATGCTACTTGTAAAACGGCTACATGCAGGCTTGGGAACTATCACTTTTCGAGAGGTGATTTTGTTTTGGTGTGAATATTTAAAAATGTAATCAGCTAATCTACCCAAAATTGAAAAGATGAAGTACGAGACAATAATTTAATTTTTGTTTGAGAAACCCCAGTGATGTCGGCTTGCATGTTATTTGGCCCTGAACTTTGTTGATTTTACACTGTTTTCAATGGGGCTTGAATTGGTTTAGTGCACCCTGAATGGGTTGAGTATTTAGCGGTCGTGTAAATTGCGCCCTCTGTCGCTCTGTCGAAGATAATTTCTAAGTCGGAAAGTAAACACAAACATTTAATAGAACTGGAAAGACAAAACCGTATCCAACTTCCACACGCTTATTATCTGCCAGCTCTTCTTCGATGTTATTCAAATTCCGTAGTAAGGTTGGTTTGTGTTTTATTACATAAAAGTGATAATGAAAACGCTTTACATTGAATGATCGCAAGCTTTTTGGTCAAGATGATTGCCCGAGTATTAACTCCAGCTGCTGACATGTTAGTTACTACATGTATTACTAAAGTATTAGGAATTCACATATGGGATTCCCGCCACCAGGCCTGGACTCTGGAGGTACTCGGTGAGCATTTGAGCTGGAGTTTCTAAAAAGTGAGCTGTGCAGTGTATGTGCAGCTACAGCTGAGTGCAAATTTATTCCGTTTATGATGTGAGTCTGTTGCCAGTATTTACTTCAATTCAGCCAGTATTTACTTTAGCAAGATTTAAAACCTGTAATTTTTTGTATAGCCCAATTTACATATCGATACATGTGTATTCCTAATGAGAAAAACAATGTTGCCTCACAAAAGATCCACATTTTCCCACTTTTTGTTTTTAGAGAGAACGACATGGAGAACGACATTGATGTGCAACTTGATGAAAGGTCTTCATCTACAAGAACCACTGCCTCCGGGCAGATCACTATAAGAAGGGATGCAGTCATGGATGATTTGACGGCCGCTTTCTCTGATCCAACAGTTACGAATTGCAGACTGTCTTTCTGCATGTTTCAGCCACATGGCGAAGTGGAGTATGAGCAAGGGGTTAACCTTGACTTCAAGGATGTCCTTGACCTCTTCTGGCCGGAGTTTATAAGCACCATGACAAGAGGCAATGGACTTAAGATACCGATCCTGCGAGGAGACTTTGATAGATCGAGATGGGAAGGTGTGGGGAGGATCATCTGCAAAGGCTGGAAGGATCTCAACTACTTTCCAAAGATGTTAGCACCAGCTTTCATGGAGACTGCCGTTTACGGCAAAACTACGGTTGACACCAAAGAAGCGTTTCTACAGTGGATCCCTGAAGCAGAACGGGAAGTCCTTGAGGCAGCGCTGCATGAGTTCCCAACCGACACGGCCGAACTTGATGATATTTTTCGGAGATATCGGTGCCGTACTCCACCAACTGAACAAAACCTACCTCGTCTGCTCACTGCATTTGGTCATGTGGAGTTTGTACAGAGATCCTACTATGCGGCAATGACCATGAAGCCTGTTCTGAAATCAGTCTTTGGGCAATTCTCCCGTGAAGAGTTCTTGGCGTTGTACGACAATCCAAGAGAATGAGGCCGAAGAAAAAAAGGGTCGCGACTTACCGTGTTGATTGTTGTTTCTTTAGTTCATCTTGCCATTAAAAATACATTCATGTTTTGTATTTAAGTATGATTTATATTTATGTTACCGATTAAAAATGCAAATTTAAAGAAGGAAGAAGAATATGGGTAAAAACAATATTCTGAAAAACATATGTGGGCATCATTTTGCACCTTTGAAAGCAGAGCCAGTCCTTAACATCAAGCCAAAAGGAGGGAATGTAAGCCATTGACTTTTTGTTGATCATTTACTTCTAAATGGTGATGAATTAAAATTGCAAAATACTGATAGAACAAGAGATTATTAGGTGTGCCTCTAATAAAGAGACAAGAGGACTATTGTCAAATAATAAATGTTGACCATAAACTGTTTTCTAAGTTGGTTAAACAATTAGTCATCACCCAGCCAGAGCCACAAAGTGGAAGAAAACAGTGTTAATTGTGCGACTACATGGAATCCTGTTTGTAGTAGATAGGAAAATGTTGGTGCAACCTTTAATTCCCATAAAAACAAGTGCTCTTTTCACTGCTTAAAGGGAAAATACAACATTTGCAAACATCAAAAAATAAAACTACCAAATCATTTTGAAATACCTTGCTGGACTGTTAGTGAATGACAGTGTAAAGCATCCTGTAAAATCATGGCACCTGGTATACTGTCATTTTCAAGAAAAGTGGTATTTTTGTATCAATTTCCAATGCTGATCGGCCGATCAGCGTTGGAAACAACTGGCTTTTTTTCAAATACTGGCCCCAATTGGCCATCACACTTGTTTGCAATCGATTACAAACCTATGAACGGGTACGAGCCAGCTAGACTGGTTCCCTGACCTTACAATTCCCCAATGTATGTTAAAGGCTCTGTTTCTTCTTATATGGAGTCAGGGAACCAGACTACAGGAAAATGATCGTTTTTCTTGGTTTTTATAGCATTTTCAAACACAAAACCTCAAAAAAGTCAGTGTAACTATATTTGCTATATATTTCCAACCCCCCAATTCCATCCATTTATGAAAATTACAGCAAAAGCAAATGATGTATATTCCCTTTAAAGAACTAGGTGCAAAGCATACTCGGTAATCTGTCATATAGGAAACTTAGACTTTTGATGAGAAACAACTTTTCCAACTTTTGAATAAAATATCTGAAAGAAAATAACCAATTTTAATTTGTGGTAATTATTGTTTTTGTTTGTTGACCCCAGTATACTGAGTCAGGATTTTTTTTTTTCAATTAAGGGCAACAAGGGGGCACCAGTTTATGGAGGAGGGCAGAATCAGGACTGAATGTTCCCAAATTTGTGAGTGGCCTGCCATTTGCGGCAGATTTTAAAAGGTTTTTTTGGGGGGGGGGGGGACATCATTTGCCTCATCTTTAAAAAAAAAAAAGGAAAAAAACCTTTCTTGGGCAAGGGGAAAATGCCTTCTTTTTGTTTGAAGGGGGCACTGGGAATTTGTGAGGGGTCGACACTGCTTCAAAAGGATGGAGCATAATGACTTCTATTAATTAAAAATCCTCTACAACAAAAGAGCGGTATGTTTGAATCACTCCACTTTGATTTCGTCCCACGTGTGCTCCACATACGGACCGAATAGCGCCCTCATGCGTTTACCAAGTAAAATATCACTTCCGGTGTCTGTATTGCGAAATTCACTTGGACTGGTACCCGATCTTATATTAGTAACTCGACTATGTAGTCGAACCGGCTGCCTGACTAAATCACACTAAAGATTTTTTTGCAGCACCTATCGAGTGCCGCCTCGCTAAACCATCAAGATGTAAGTAGTTTCTGTTTTATTTATCGTTTTCGAACGATGTGGAATCAATATATTGTTTCATTTTAACTTAATCGTGTTTAGAATTTGTGTAGTTTTCACATTGCTGCTACCATGACTAAAGTGCTTTGCTCACACACTGATCACACAAAAAAAGGACGGCCATATGGACAGAAACTGTCACCAGTCACCACTGGCACTGCACTGCTAGGGGGCGGGGAGGGGTGGGGCGGGGAGGGGTGGGGCGGGGAGGGGTGGGGCGGGGAGGGGTGGGGCAGTGAGGTGGGGCAGTGAGGGGGGGGGGGGGGGTTGGAGGTCGTGGCATGCTAGGATTAGTGCCTTGGTGGTATAGGTGACTGATTGTGTAGTTACGGGGGAAAGAATTCCATATAGGGGGTCACTTGACAACCTGTGTACAAACCCTATGAGTATGAGACTGGTCTGAAAATTCTGTGTATTCTCACTAAATGCTTCAATATTTTCCCTGCTAAAGTTTACTTTTTAGGACATGTTACCACTTTCTGATGGCTGATAAGTCATTGCAGGGAAAAACTAGTGGCATACGTATTTGGAATTTCTTTCCGTTACGGGATCTGTTCCTACTAAACTAGATAGCGACATTACAAACGTATGTGGTAAGCATGAATGATGAGTGTTGTAAAAAAAAGGAGGTGGGCAAAAACACAAAAATTATGGATTATAAAAGTAATACTGTTTCCTTCTTTATTCATTGCAGGTCGAATTCCAAGGTGACGTTTAAAATAACCCTCACCTCCGACCCAAAGTTGCCATTCAAAGTGTAAGTATATGCTGTGTGACTCTGAGGCTGTGTGGCACACCCCAGACATGCCAGATGCGTCAATGATGCATGAGACTTGATATGTTGGGCAAAATCTTTCCGATAGGTCTGCTTTTGCATTGTGAGCCAATGTATGCAAAGTTTCCCGTTATTTCATGAAAATATGTGTTACTGAAAATGAAATCAAACTTCAGAAATTTTTATTTGTCCTGTTACATTGTATTTATACATTTTTTGTTTGATTTCTTTTTATTTTGTAGGTTAAGTGTTCCCGAGTCAACACCGTTCACAGCAGTTTTGAAATTCACAGCTGAAGAGGTGAGATAAAATTTGACTGGTGGGATTGTTTAAGAAATGGGAACGGACTGTTGGTGACTAGCCTGTGTACAAAGGCATGGCAGGGGAACAGGATTGATTTCTTGACTGTCTGTGGCTGTTTAGATTTAGGTTTATGATCTCTCAAAGTTCTCGGTGGTTTAACAAAAATATTTCTTGTACATATTCACAGTTTCGAGTACCACCAGCAACGAGTGCAATTATTACCAACGGTAAGTTAACATTTATAATGACTAAAATACACCTCTGCTTCTGCGTGATTTTATTGAAAGTGGGATTTTAGTTCCTAGCAATTTTTGCTTTACTTGACATAGCATCACTTGCAATTTTTCGGAAATTATCTGAATTACTGATGGAAAACTCGCATCAAATACACTTTGAAATTATTCAGCCTGAAATAGTATCTTATAAAAGAAAACTAACATTGAAGGAGGTTTCTTAAAAGGGTGCCCTTATGTTACGTGTGTTAGCAACAGAATCCAGATATGAGGCCCAAAAAACTGTGCATATGTTTTATACCCAAAAAACTGTGCATATGTTTTATGTGTTCTCTCAAAACGTATAGTATTCATTAAATTTCAACAGGTTAGTTGTTACACACACTTCTTAAGACTAAAAAAAATACTCACAAAGAGTAAATGATCCTTGTACTTTTAAGCTATTTTTAATCAGTGTTTCTGATTTTGCTCATCATTTTTTGCTTTGTTTTTCTCAGATGGTATTGGGATCAACCCTGCCCAGAGTGCTGGCAACGTTTTCCTGAAACATGGCTCGGAACTCCGGTTAATACCAAGGGATCGAGTGGGACATTGATATTTGAATATACTTAAAAATGTACAGAAATATATTTGATAGGTCTTTTAAACAGTCAATATGTTTGGACACATAGGCAGAGGTAATTAAGGTGTCATGCAAGACTACGGACACCTATTGACCGGCTGCTATGTGCTAATTGGCATATTCGCTTTGAGGCAACTGAAGCACAATTTCCACCATCTTACTTCCCCCAACTGATGTGCTGTTGATAATTACAAGATGCAAGCATGTTCCAATGATCAACAGTTAAAGCATGGGTCACGGGGGAACAAAGATGGCGGGCAGATGCTTCAGTAAGCCTACTTTGTCCGCTGGACCAGTTAGTATACAGTGCAGTGTTAAAGACAAGGCATTATGGATTTTTAAAGTTTCATGAGAGACATGAACTTTTGAACATTTGGCAAGGCTATCTTGAATCTTGTGGGCTTGGGTTCTGTGTGGTTTGCTCATGAAATCATTCAAACCCTGCACTTAGAATGGTACAACTGATTTCAAGTGCGTGTGCTTTCATTTGAAATTGTATTTATGTGATAGGTATGCGCACAAGCCTTTGAGCATACCAATGTTGGGGTATTTTTACCATTGAATATTCAGTTCTGTTTGGAACCCAAAGTTAGATGGCATGTTACTCTTCATATTGACAATGCTCTTTTCCAGGATATTTTTTTTTCTAACAAATATGTCTTCTCAACAGATAGAATTAAAAAACATCCTCATAGTAGATTTCTTGTAGTAGAATTTCTAACACCAAGTTGGTTTGGATAGATCGTGGGTACATTAACTTTTAGAGTCTTGTTGCACAATACTAGCTGGTGAAAGTACAATTTTATTCGAAGTTTCGACTTATTTATTCTTATGTTTTACAAAATATGTCCCGTAAATCATGACATTCCTCCACTTGCTATTTCATGTTTACATTTTGTTGTGAATTGAAGTGACTGCAATTGTGACTATTATACTTATTCATTACTTAGCCCCTACCCCTGAACAAAAAGACTTCTGTGAAATACTTAAATTATTTCAAGGATTTAATATGATTATGAGATGTAAGAATGTGGTTTTTTCACTTGTCTATATGTTTTCATGATTGGCTAACCCTAAATCTTGTACATTTGTTGTGTTATTTCAGAGCCAATCCTTAAAAATAAAAAGGGGTCCAAAATGAGTAAATTTTCTGTGCATATTTTGTTTTAGGTACCTAATCACCAGTCCCATTTATTGTCCAAACAATATTTGTAGGTTTGTTTATTCAACTTCGGATATGAGAAATAAACACAGAATTCTAGCTTTCCCTAAACATCACAGCAACTCGGGATGTTTTTCAAATGATGTTGGCCCAAATTTTTCTCTGATTACAAACCAAAGCAGGTGATGAAACTCCACACTTTTTTTTAAATGCTTATAAATTTCTATAAAAATTCACTTGATGTTGTTACAATATCCTTATAAATTTTCCCTTTATATAATGGTTCGGTATCTCCCCTTATAAAAAATGTAAAATCTAGCAAATATTCCGCTACACGACCGTACAGTAGATAAGAAATGTTGTTCTTCCATGTCAAATAAATAATAAAAACGAAACAAGAATAACTTACAATAGAGGTGACAATTGTTTTGTAACTGTGTAATGTCTAAGGGAAGTGTGGCCTACTGGTTAGGGTTTTTGACTTGTGAACAAAGTGTTCTTGACTCTCTATAGACTTTGTACGCAACTGCCGAAGTGGCGTCGGGATACTACATTCTTTCCTGAAGCAATGTAGACATGATCAAACATTTGAGAAAAAATGGCATTTAAATTATCAGTAAGTAAGCTATTATTCATAAATACCTCAGACAGTTTAGCTATTCCTATTGGTCGAGAGCCCGTCACGTGGCCGGTCTTAAATGGATGATAAAGACATGGCTAGCTGGTCTTAAACACTTTTCCAGTGTCACAATAAAATGTGGACTCCTAAAAATCCAGTGCCTCTTACCGTTTCATTGGTTGAACGTTCACAATCCTCACGTAGGCATGCGCAACACTACAAGCGAGTCAGAATTTTATAGTTCTAAATTCAAAACGCAACGCCCCAGGTGCGTTCTGCGTGACATCGCGCAGAACATGTTACGCGCGCGTCAATCTCCATAAAAGGGTTGTTTACATCTTACTCGCCAGCTGAACACTCCATTATTTTGCTAGAGGGATGTTTCAAAAAGCATGAAGTGAACTTGTTGAACAAAATCGGGATTTTTTGAACGAATTATTTGATATTTTTTTACGGATAACGTTTTTATGAATGGGAATAAATATGTGCTCGGTCGGTATTTATCACTCTGTTTAATACCGCTTAGAGTCTGGGTGCTGATAATTACCCTCGCCTCCGGCTCGGGTAATTATCAGCACCCAGACTCTAAACGGTATTAAACGAGTGATAAAAACCTCCGGAGCACACATTTATTCCCTTAATAATACTGACAACATAAAAGATAATGGCACATAAGATATCAATATTCGTCATCTTCACTGTCGAGCTTGGCAAAATAAACAAAGTTTTTAAAAGTTGAATTACAAAAGGAATGTTTTCAAACTAAAACACTGCCCACCAAAAATGAAAGACATCCGTATGTTCTTCATATTTTGTTGTATATTTTTCGTAGAAAAAAAAAAGTCAAATGATGGTAAATCAAATTAGCTTTTTCCCCTTCATCGACTATAAACACTGTATACTCAGTGTGTTACCTCCCAAATGAAAGTTGGAAAAAATCACTCGGGTGGGACTCGAACCTATGACCTCCTGCTTTCTAGTGCAGATGTCTTACCACTCGACCACCGAGCTAATGGGATCGGTTGGCTGGTTCGAATCAAATGATGGTCTTTCGTAAAACCAATGCTGCTGCTGCTGCTGCTATGTTATGTACGGTATACCATATATAATAGTTTTGACGTGCATGTATTAACATGCTTGTATCTACAAAAATATGGAACATACAGTTTGTGAATATGAACCTATAATCAATGCCTTCCTATTATATAAGGAATTATTATATACTGATATATCATATTAATCTGAAGCAAAAAATATGAATCTTAAAAAATTAATAAGTATCATTGTACGCATCAAGTACTCATAAGAAAACTAAATATGATACGCTTTATGTCCCTGCACAAATGTACCTTCTGATTTGGATAAAACTTTGTAAGAAAGCTGCATTTCTGTCATGGCAACCTTTGTAAATTGCAACCAATTACACACAGAAAGTAAAAAATGATATAACGATAGACCGGTTTGCGTAGCTGAATAGCTCAGATGGTAGAGCACTCTTGCAGCGTTTTGAAGGTTGCAAGTTCGAATCCTGCTGCAGTCAATGTTACTTTGTTCAAGTTAAAGCTGAAGAATGTTGCCTTACAAAACGTTGTAATTTGACAAAATAGTTTCTAAGTACATTATTCTCATTACTGAAGAAAACCTGGTGTCAGGCCCACTACGTGTGCTGGCAAGGGTGGGGCCTTACCAAGATTTGGGGGTGGGGATGGGGGGGGGGGCACCAATAGGGTGATAACAGAAACAGGCAGCTGTCAGTAAGGCTCAGTCAGACTGCAACCAAAACAAAACAAAGAACATTTGGTATAAATATGTGCACTGTGCAAAAAAATACCCAGTCCACTAAGAACTTTTCGCATATTCCATATTACAGTCTCATAATACACGTACTTTGATGACCGCAGCATTTGTGTCACCTTAAAGGCACATATTTACGTTTTGTGGGTTCTTTTTCAGCAAAGTTGCTCAAAATCTTAACTAGGGTGTATAATAACAACTAGTCTATTGAACTTTCAGCTCAGTGGGTACTATAGGTTTTGAGAAAAAGTGTGCACAAATGGGCTAAAGCATGTGAAAGAGAGTGCCAGCGGGCAGCCCATTTTAATTTTGAAACCATCTTCAACGTTAGTTTCTTACAAATGATACCATTTCAGGCAGAACAATTTTACAGGGTATTTGATACCAGTCCCATCTTCACTCTGATCAAGGTTTCTGTCATTAAATTGGCTGGTACTTTTCCGGGTAATTGCAAATTAATGCTCGTGAATTAGAAAGTGTGGGGTTAGGTGTATAATTAACTGTAAGTGGTGCTATGTGGTATATTAAGCAGGGTTCACGTGAAGGAAAGTCTAAGATGTACAAGCCACACTCACCCATTCATCTTCGTCAACTCCTTCGCACAAGTCCTGGGGTAGAGGTTCATCCTTGGCCTCCAGTTTGTTGGTCATGGCACTCAGCAACTGAAACAGAAAGACAAAAACAATTGTTTTTTCTTTAGCATCTGCCTAATACATTCCCTGGAAAAAAACCCACGAAGGATGAAATGAAGGCATGAAAATTTTTACCTCTTCCTTCTTTTGTTCATCCGTCTTGTAGTTGAGCTCAACCTCAGCCACGTATTTCTTGGGCGCTGGACCCGACTTCGGTATGGAGCTCACTAGCAAACAGAAAACAAATTGTTTAGTCAAAAATCAAAAATATCAGGACTTCAAACAGATTGCCTCAAGTCTTGAAAATGCGAACACTTTGCTATTTTTTTTTTCAAGCACACAAGAAGGATAAATTGTGTTGGAATCAATGAAAACTGCTTTCCTAGGCCACACTTAAACATATCTGGTTTTCCAGTAGTGTGATTAGGACAGTGCAATTCATTCACTTTAAATTAACGCGGGACTTTTTTTCTAAAGAACTAATAGTTCCACTCTTTTGATGCACAGTTTTGGATTTGGGATAATGCAAAATATTTTCTAGCAAAACAAAAAGGTGTGTTTTTTTTATTTACAGTTAATTCAATGCAATCTGACTTAGTGACAAGTTAATTTAAGAAAATTATAAAAAAAACGGATGTGACTGAATACTGTTAATCTTACAAAATGCAAAAGTGCTAAAAGGTTAAGTTTAATTGCGTTCTATATTCAATACAAACTTACTTTCGCAGCGCAGCCATGTAATTTGGAAGAAAAAATACCCAAGACATAAAATACTTGAGTGATGACTTACAACAATTTCAGATGAATTTTGGTCACTGTTTTAACCTTTTTAACTCACATAATTTCATGTCAGGCGGGCAGAGGCTCATCCTGCGCTGGATTCCATTCTTCCCATCCAGCCACTCATGGCTCGTCAGGACCGACTCCCACGTCACTCTGGTGTCTGGAAAGATGTCGTCCTGAAAATACTCTCTCTGGAAAAAACGGTTCAAATTATAGACTTTAATTAACTAAAACTGGATTCAGTGATCACAGTCTCGTCCAATGGAGTAAGGAGTAAAGAATTTTTCCGGTTCTTTTCAGAACCACACATACTCACAAAAGAGATTTATTCACATGGTGCTACCGCAAACTTATCTTGTCTTCGTAAAGAATTTTACTTATTTCAGCCCCCCCCCCCTCCCCCCAAAAAAAGCTAATTATTTTTGGTGGACCCAAAGGGCAAAGTTCTATATTAAGTTTAAATGACTCAAATATACAAAAAGGGCATTGAGCTTCAGAATGGGAGAAACTGTGTCAGTTTTTTTCACGTGATATTTGTGCCTTTCTCTCCGTAGAATTTCATCAGTCAGAATCTTTAGGTCTGGGAAACAGAAAGATCATTTCTGATTGCTGAGCTCATTTGCATACTGACCTTGACCCTTGGCACTGCGAAGGTCACCGGTTCAATGGTTGTCTTGGTCAACCTCATGGCTTTGGCAAACTCCACGTCTCGGACATTGCACACCTTCTTGGGCAAGAATGACAATGCCTGCAAGACAAAAGTTTGACTCAAAGATCATTTTTATTTTTTTCAAACTGAAATCAGGAGTAATAAGGTATTGACTTGACTGAAGCAGGACTCGAACCTGGAACCTCCGGAGTAGGGGGTACCAGAGTTCTCAGCCCTGCATTAGTGGTCGTTCTAATTGGTATTTCAATGTTCAAGGCACGCAGGAACATTGACAACTGACCCAGAAATGCATCTACTGATTTTTAATGGGGTAAACTTTGCTCGAAGTGAAGATAAGTCTTGTACCAAATACCATCTTAAATTCCTCCGCCAGATATGGCTTCGATTGAAAGAAAATGATCATTGAAGTTGGTTTAAAAAGTTTGTACATGCATTCACAACTGAGTTTTTTTTTCATACAAAAAAATTGTGCATTTCTTTTTCTCAAAGCATGTCGTAGCCACTGAGCTAATTAATACTTCAACATGTTAGTTGTAATGCAATCTACTTAAAGATTTGACACAAGTTTCTTGTTTCAAATGACAAATAAAAGCAGAAAGAGCAAACGATCTCTGTCTTGGACTAGAAGGCGAGACCGGCACTGTCGGCACTCACCTGATGAGGAACCAATTGCTGGAAAGGCGCTATGGTGAAGAAGTACGGGGACTCTGGGAGGATCTCAAAGGCTGAGGTTGTCAAATCTCCCTGTAACCATGGCAACACATCAAGGACTGTTACTAAAAGGCACAAACATCTTTCTTCTTTTATTGATGCCATGCTTAATGCCGTTAGTGTGTTTAAATTATTTTAATGATTATTTTTTTAGTCCTTACCTTTCCGGTAAGAAAGACAACGTTGGTATCCTCATCATAGAATGGAACCAATGTAGACGGCGACTTGTCAAACGAAATCCTCTCCAGTGCTTTACTTAGGTCGCTCATTGCGTAGAGATAGATGGTGCGCTCGCCTCCCCTAAAAACAGTGACAAGGGAGTAAATAATCAAATTTTTCATGTCACCGCAAGTATACCGGCCGTGGGTTCACTAAAGTGTTTGGTATTTCAAGTCAGGCAAATCTTGCTGCAAATGTCTCACGTCTTCATATTCACCTCTCGATCCTTAAAGGGAATATACAACATTTGCAAACATCGAAAAATAAAACTACCAAGTTTTTACGAAACACCTTACTAGGATGTTGGTAAATGACAGTCTCAAGCATCTTGTAAAATTATGGCACCTGGTGTGAAGTCATTTTCAAGAAAATGGTATTTTTGTAAACATTTCCAACGGTGGTCGGCTGACCAGCATTGGAAAAACCTAACTATTTTTCAACTACTGCTCCAAATTTACCAATTTTTTTCAGTCCAAATTTTGTTTGCTATTGGTTACATGTTCATGAACTGGTGCAGGCCAGCTAGACTGGTTCCCTTGCCTTTCAATTTTCCATCATCTATAAATTGATCAATTTTAACTTTTGTGGAGTCAGGGAGCCAGACTACTTGAACATTTTTGTTTTTCTTGGTTTTTCCAACCTTTTCGAACACAAAACTTCAAAAATGTCAGTGTAACAATATTTGATCTATTAGTTCATTTCTGAAAATTACAGCAAGAGCCAATGACGTACATTCCCTTTAACATCGGCATAAAGTATGAAGCTGCCTTAAAACACAAAATTATGTGAGTAAAAATAAAGGCACATTATGTTGATTACTACCTTTCAAATCCAGAGACAAACAGAAAGTCGTCCCCGCAGACCCAGAGAATGCGTGCCCCTCGGCTGCCTGGCGGACCGTTCCCCTCCTGAAAATCAAACCAAAATTCTCAATGTAAAACAGCATCTTTATTACTAGAAAAACAGCAATTAGAAAAGTAATTATTTTAGGGGTTAAAACTGAAAACAAAACCACTAGGAGAGCAAGTTTAAGTATTTATTCTCTACTGTCGAGTTATTCAGATTTAAATTGGGTGACTGGCTTACTTTGATGGGTTCAGTTGACGTTCTTGGATCGTATATCCGCATTTTCCCATCCTTACAGACTGTGGCAATCCTGCAGCCATCAGAGCTCCACGCAGCACTGAAAATCTGGTTCAAAAGTAAAAAATACATCATATTAACAACAACAACAAAATGTACACAGTACTCTAACTCCGAACTCCAATTTCCATGTGTGTGGTTAGGTTGTCATTGTTTAGCATGTTTCAGTGCTAAGCAAAATCCAGACAAAAGATCCGGAAATCAGGAAAAATTCTGACAAATCTCAACCCTGTGTTCATGACATTTACCTGGTCCGTGTGCCCTGTCAAGCTGATTTTCTCATCTCCAGAGCTTAAATCCCAGATTTTGACCGTCATGTCGTAGCTGGCTGACATCAAGATGTCTTTGGCTTGCGGGTGAAACTTGACAAAGTAGAGCTTCTCGTAGTGGCCTTACAAAAAAAATTAATAAAAAATAATTATAAATTTAAAATTGAACAAAGACATTGACTGGAGCGGGGTTTGAACCTGCGACCTCCAGATTACCATTCGGGTGCTCTACCAACTGAGCTATCCAGCCCTATGTTGGCAGTTCCCTATTTTTGTCAATGTCTTTATTCAAGGGTCCTATTGAAATCCGCTCCTGTTAAAAGCATACAAAGCCTCACTGCATATCCAAAACAAACGTGAAAAAGAAGACCAAAAATTGTACCTCTGAGTGCCAGAGAAGGTTCTGTTAGCGGTTCACTCCAAGCCTCGCTAGGCAGGTCCCATATCAGGATCTTAGCATTGTCACAAGCCACTACCAGTCGGCTGTCATTAAACGGGTCCCAAGCAAAGTCCATGACACTGGTGCCATTCTGGATGGATGGCAAGTCTCGCTCCAGCTTGCCTGGTTTATTCATCTAGAGAAAAGATAGTATTTGGAAGAAAACATGATTTGTAAAATATGTACCCCTACTTCCTTATGACACAGATGCACTACATTTTCTGTGTTCCACTAGCGCGAGTGGGATAACAAGTTTACCTTCAATCTTGACACAAAGTAAAGATGGCGCATGTACACAACAGTTATCCCATTACACGTGCTTGAAGTACGAACAGCGCGCATATTTTAGAGTAGTGCGATATACGGAGTGCGATATGGACCTTGGTATTATGTATACTGTTCATCTAGAACAAACTTTGCTGATCTATACTTCTGATCAGATGGCTAAATGAGTGGGGGTATTAATTATGAAGCACTCTGAGAGATGAATGTATAAAGTGCCACCTGAGCATACTTATACGATTGTTGTTAATAGTTTAAGAGTACAATGATTTTTAAAGCTATAGTCCATCATTTGCTGCCATCTGAAAAGTAACTGGCGTAATTATTGTTGAAAAACATACTTGGTTGTAAGATAGTAAGGGGACTAAACTCCCTGTGAAATTATTCTTTCTGGCAAGCTGTCATTTTGAAGTAATCAACGAAAGAAAGCCTTTCCAACGGTGCGTCTTAAGACGCACCGTAGGAAAATTTAAATTAGTAGTTCGTTTTGTTATTCGGCGAAGCGCGCACAAGCATTGGCACGACACACACGCGGGGCGCGGTTGCTATAATTCATCGGATCAGTGCGCGACATCGCGTATAGCTGCAATCGGCTCAGTGAGAACGCGTCTCGGACGCTGAATTCAGGCCCAATTCAAAACATGATTCAGCAACTTTTGATTTGAAATTGAGATCCTAGAATGCTGTTTTTCTCCGGAATATACAGCTGAAGCTGAGCTGAAACTTCATCAGGTTAGTTGTTCAGTATCCTTCATTAGATTTTGAACACTTTTGTTGCTTCAAACGAACAAAATGCACAAATTACAAATGATGGACTATATCTTTAAGGGAAATACTAACGTCCACAAATGCGATCATTCCGCCGGGTCCACCGAGTGGCACCGCACCCCATTTCAGGTTGGCATGGAAGACGTCGCACTCCCCAAAGATGTTATTGCTCAGATTGTACAGGTTGTACATGTGCATGCTCCGAGGCATGAGGGCGGAGTTCATGTGGCGGAACTTGGAGACGGTCGGCGCTATGAACTTGGGCTTGGCTGCTTGAGGGACATCCTGAAAAATAGTGACAGAAAAGTATGATTTTGCAAGCAATCTGCAAGTCGAAGGCATATAGGATCAAATGTTGATTTATCTAAAACATAACCTACCACATTATTATTAAAAAGCTCACTTACATTAAAGATTGTACTAAACACCCTGTGATAGTATTCATTCTGGCTTGATGTCATTTAGAAGAAATCAAGAAATATACTGATTTTCAACGATCAGTCAGTTGACAGATGTTTTTTAAATAAAGGGTGCTATTGACGAAATTGGGTTTCACGATCACTAGGTTGTGCATGGTTTTCATTGTTTTTTTTTCGAAAAGTTTAACATCCACTGAGCTGAAACTTCAACAGGAAAGATTTTGAGCATTCTTCTATGGATTTTGAGTGGTATTATCATTGGAAACGAAAAAAAAAACTGCTTGAAATGCAAATGATCCTATGCCTTTAAACACACTGCTACCACAAAGCATTTGCCTGGTGCAAAAAAAACCTCCAGAATAAAATTAATAATGCACAGCACACTGATTCATTGCACCATATGCAGTCAGCAAATGAGTATACGGAATCACAATCGGTCATCACTTAGTGACATTCACTGAGTCCATCGTCAACAAAACTTACACTGGGCCCATTATCCCCTGCACCCTGCACGCTGGGCTTTGGCTGGGATGGTTTCTGGGGTTGGAGGGATGATGAAGCAAGCTTGGCTGTGACTTCACTGGCACCTTGAGAAGGCTCGGGGGAAGGCTGTGGATGAAAAACACATCATCACTAAAATGCTAACATCATGATGAATGTCAATGCAATAACAGATTCCTTTTCTGAAGCCAAATTATATTGACATATGGACCCCATAGAGCGTCATGGCCTAGCGGTTAAGAGCACCGGACTCATACTCTGGTGTTTCAGAGGCAACAGTGGCGTGGGTTTGAGCCTGGGGCCCGGGCACTTGTGCCCTTAAGCAAGGCACTTAACCATTATTGCTTCGTCCTTCGGATGGGACGTTAAGCCGGAGGTCCCATGTGTTGTATAAGGCCTAATGCACGTAAAAGAACCCAGTAACACTTATCGCTAAGAGAAGGGGTTTGCTCCGGCGTTTCTGGCCTCCTAGTTATTCTCCCTTGTGGAAGTCCTTAGGAGAAGAACCAACCAAGTACAAGTACCCTGTCAACTTTTACAAATTTTGAACGTTTACCAAAGCCATGTTACAAACGAATCATCTGGAAGACAACAACTTTCTGAATTTCAAGATGATCCCGAATCTGTACCGCCCAAAACGCCCTGTCAATTACTACTTATACTGCCCTCAACTGCCCTATCACTCTATGGTTGTATGGATTCATCAATGAGTAAATACAATGTAATGCAGTGTAATAAATGTGCTAATTGGTTAATTAGGGGACTTTTGTACTTGGTTGGTACTTGGTTGGTTCTTCTCCTAAGGGCTTCCACAAGGGAGTATAACTAGGAGGCCAGAAACACCGGGGAAAACCCCTTCTCTTAGCGATAAGTGTTACTGGGTTCTTTCACGTGCATTAGGCCTTATACAACACACGGGACCTCCGGCTTAACGTCCCATCCGAAGGATGAAGCAATAATGGTTAAGTGCCTTGCTTAAGGGCACAAGTGTCCAAGTCCTGTACCTTTTTAGGTGGTTCATTTGGCTGCTGTGCTGATTCAGTGGAAGGCGGAGACTTGTTGCCTGGCTTAGCTTCAAGCTTTGGTTTGGAAGATGTAACCGATGGCAACCCTTGCTTCTCCTTCTTTGTGATTGGCTTGCATTTTGCTGGATCCAGGGATACCTTTTCAACCTGAAAAAAAATTGAGAAACACTCACAAGATTTAAATGAAAGTACTTAAAAAGAAAGCAAAAAGGTACAGCAACAACTGTAGGCCCCAGTTCTAAGTAATCACACCAACAGCCAATTTTAGGAAACTTTATGCAATGGCGTAACTCCACTTGCACAACAAATGATGGCCTAACTTGCAAAATCATTTTAGATGGCAGGGTTGTGGCATGGCAACTGAATATGAACTACTTTACTTGCAAATCGTGATTGTCAAGCCTGTTTTTTTTGCACAACTTATCAAGGTTGATAAAAGACACTCACAGCTTTGTGTTTGAGGTTAATGAATTACTACAAAAGAAAGCAAATAGGTAAATACATCGTCAGCAACAACTGTAGGGTCCAGTTCTAAGTAATCACACCAACAGCCAATTTTAGGAAACTTTACCTGGGGTGCTGTGGTCCAATGGTTATGGTGTTCGACTCGTGTGCCGTGGTACATGGGTTCGAATCCTGACTGTGGGAGCATGGTGCTTGTGCTCTTGAGCAAGGCACTTTACCATAAATGCTTCGTCCTTAGGATGGGACGTGAAGCTGTAGGTCCCGTGTGTTGTGTAATGCACGTTAAAGAACCCAGTAACACTTATCGCTAAGAGAAGGGGTTTGCCCTGGTGTTTCTGGCAGTGGCTGCAATATGTGCCGCAGCACCTTGTAAACCCTTGTAAGGTACTACATAATGGATATTTCTCATATACTTTATTTACCTTTCTTTAATAATAGACATAAATACCAGCGCCTTAGTACTAATTGTTGGTAGATACGTGCGCTATACAAGACTCCATTATTATTATTAGTATTATTACTATTTGACTTGTGACCCACCTGTTTGTCTGATCCAGCCAGCCAATCAGCCGCTGACTGAGCAGCCTCACCTCCATTGGTGTCTGGGAACAGCTCACCGTAAAAATCACGATGTGACTGACAGGAAGGAAGAACCAAAATGGAACACACAAAATTAGAAGGCAAGAAACAGAATCAAGCATCACACACGTGAAAATATTGTGTTTACTGTATGGATATTACTACAGGTGTGAGCAGCCACACACTACAAGGAATGCCAAGCTCATCTTCTGATGGGTGCACGCCTGTAAATAGGCCAAAAATCCGTCTGCCGAGCTCATGATTAAAAGTTATATCCTCAAAATATTCTATATTAGAGAGTTTTGAGAGCCATAAAATTGGTGAATTGAAGAGATATGGTAATGAACCTCTGGCCCGGACTTTGGGCTTCCAATTCTGAGCATTTTGGATGCTATTGGGCTCGAAAGTGGCGCTATTTTGCCAAGTTGTGGAGGGATCGTTTTTCAAGATGGCTACTCTTCAGCTTTGGGGAAAATAGGGGTCGTCTTCTTTGGGTGAGAATATCTCGAAAAGTCAATGGTCAACCCACCAAAAAGTGAAAATAAAAAAAAAGATGACACATTGATCATCCTTTTTCCGTGCAGCTTGAATACCTGTGAGAGTTCTAAGTATTTTTAAAAGAATTTTGAAGTATGCGCATTTAGCAATAGTGTCTATGGGATTTATTTTGCAGGGCTGCACCCTGTAAAGCAATGAGCATCCTCCGAATTATCACATTTGGGAGTCTTTGCTGATCTGGGTTCCCATCCTCGTAAGCATTCCTTGTGGAAGTTATTGGCACATCTGGCTAACTGGCAAAAAAATGATCCTACTAGCGTAAGGATTGAAGCACATGATTCAATTTCATTGTGAAAAAAATAGCAAAAATGGCAGAAAATAATCACATAGGATAAATTACCTTTCTGGGAACAGTGTACGAAATTGGCACCACGGCGGTTGCCGTAAGCAACAGTATCCTAGCAACCTCGCACGACATGACATCCAAGGCACGCTTGGGGACCGTGGCAACGCCTTTGGTCTGTTCGGGAAGTGACTGCGCGCTCCCTGCGGAACAAGTGCAATGACGGTTACAAAATGAAGATAAACTCAAAACAATTATTTTGACAAAATTAGCATGAGCTTGGTGAAGCCAAAACAACACACGTTCTACATCAAAGCAGTCAACAATTGTTTTGTTATATCATATCCTTTCGATTACTGTGAGCTTTCCCGCCAGACATGAGATTGACAGGTTGTAGTTCTCTGTCAGTGTATATGGGGTAATTTATATGCAAGGCAGTGTATATGAGATCATTTGCATGCAGTGTATAAGAGATAATTTATATGCAATGCAGTGTACATGAAGTTAACAGTCATTTCACAGGAAACGTGGTTGTTCTAGACCAATGAAATTAAAGTGTAGAAGACACGATAAAACAAGTACTGTTACTAGTGTTAATGCTGCTTACTATCGGAGATGTAAGGCGATGACATTGTGATCTCAGCGTATCTGAGAGTCGTGTCTCCCGTGCCAATTGTAAATAGCATGTTGGTGTCAGGATCGTATAGCGGCATTAAGGTTCTATAAGGAAACAACATAGTGAAAGAATTAATATTAATATACAGCATACTTGTAAATTTTTTGGCAATACTGAAGTTATTCACTATTGAATGAGACACGGAACAAACAAATTGGCCCATGTGTAGTTATGGAGACATTCCTGTACAAATTTCAAATTATATGATGCCGACAATAATTCAAGGAGCAGACTGGTCGATGCCTCCCTCCCTCCCTTTAAGAATCAATAACACGTGGACTGAAACCAGTCTACTCGCATGGCTGATCTGTTTGTAAGCAAGAGCAACCCAAAAGGTAAATATGTTTTCCAAGGTTTGCAGATGTCCAAAGCGATATACATAGAAGAGAACAGTTGTCTTAAAGTTGGTATCATGTGACCACAATAATGACAAACAATTGGCAATTCCACGGTTACTCACGTTACATTTTTGATGTACTTTTGAGTTTCCTTGGGCTGTAATTACCTTACTGAAAAGGTTTAATAACTGTTATCCTCATGGTAGATAGAGTAGACCTAGACCTACCTAAGCACCAAAGATGACATCCAGAAAAATGTGTTATGTATGACAAACAAGACGCACAAAATTGGTTGCTCACGTTACGAAAATGTAACGTGAGTAACCGTGGAATTGCCCATATTGGATTGTGTGTAGTACATTACCCAGTGGACTGGTCCACAGAATGCTGCTGAACGGCACTGCCAAACTGACGCTGATCCCACACACACATCTCACGGCTCCTTCCCTGTAAGAATGAAGATTGAACATTTTTTTGCCAAAAGTCTTACTTGGAAAACCGATACTGAGCTCCCCTCGGTATTGGAAGTTGACAAATTAGTTCCCTCTGCTTCGCCTCAGGAAATAACTTGTCTACTTCCAATATCTCAGGGAGCTTATATCGACTATCCACCCTCAAATCATGTTAATGCGCAATAACATTGGATGTGCAATAACTGAAATTAGTGACCAGTAACTCTTTACATATTAGATGGGATTAGGGTGACCAATATTTCACATCACCTGGCTAAATCCTGTAGTGAGAATCAGATCTGAGTTCCCCAGCCAACACACTCTGGAATCCTTGTTGTTGGCATGACCAGCTGTTTCCTGCAAGCATTGAAAAAAAAAATAACACGAATTCACAACCGAGGCTTGAATATGTTCATCATTGCAATGGGCCAATAATTAGGTGGGCATGAATTAGTGAAGGTTTGCGGTAACACCATGTAGAAATCTCTTTTGGGAAGATGTGTGGTTCTGAAAAGAGCAATACAACCAAAAACAGATTTCTACTTGCTATCGCAAACATTCACACCACCACCATGCAAAGTTTCAAATCTTACTTAAGTGGGTATGATAATAAACGAATACTGCATCCACCTATTTATCCAAATATGGGCTTCAAAAGACATGACGAAAGTATGTACAACTTATTTTATTCTGAAGGAGCACAAACCCAAAGCGTCATAGCATGATTATCAGGAATGCATTTGAATGTCTCCCCAAACTCTCCCTTTCTTACCATTGAGGGGGTACTTGCGCACGGAGCCCATATCACAGATGAATTTACCTGGAGAATTGAGCTTAACTTACCGCGCTGACTGTGTTTTGCCGTGGGTCCAGGATCCTCAGTTTCTTGTCCTTGGCTGTGGTTGCTATGAGGCAGCCATCTTGTTTCCAGCTGATGCCTTGAATCTGCTCCCCATGGACCTCCATGGCTGGTTATAATCATTAAAAACGGTTACGTTTGAAGGGAATGTACATCATTGGCTTTTGCTGTTATTTTTAAAAATGAACTATTTGAGGGGTTAGTATAATAGATCAAATATTGTTACACTGACATGTTTGAAGTTTTGTGTTTGAAAATGCTGGAAAAGCCAAGAAAAACAAAAATGTTCAAGTAGTCTGGTTCCCTGACTCCACTAAAGATGAAATGGATCAATTTATAGATGCCGGAAAATTGTTAGGTCAGGGAACCAGTCTAGCTGGCCTGCACCCGTTCATGAACATGTAACCAATAGCAAACAACATTTTGACTGAACAAAATGGTAAATATGGAGCAGTAGTTGAAAAATAGTTAGGTTTTCCAATGGTGGTCGGCCGACCACCGTTGGAAATTTATACAAAAATACCATTTTCTTGAAAATGACTTCACACCAAGTGCCATAATTTTACAGGATGCTTTAGACTGTCATTAACCAACATCCTAGTGAGGTTTTTCGTAAAAACTTGGTAGTTTTATTTGTCGATGTTTGCAAATGTTGTATATTCCCTTTAAGTAAGTTAACTTTAAAAAAGTCAAACTAGTTGCAAATACAATAATGGGTTTTGCAGAGTTGCAAACTACTCCTACAAAATGAGACTTGAGTTCCAAAATCAGTATAGGGATGTTCTATAAAGCAGCTGCAAAAGAGCAGTTTTAATGTGTACAACACCGTGATATAGTCGGTGGTAGTTGATCGTGGGTTTTGAAAATTTTAAAGAAATTTGGCAATTTTTAGAAGTTACTGATGTCTTATATGTACGTTATTTTTAAATTCTTCGTTTTCCCCTCAATGAAATGGTATAAACAAAGCATGAACTTTATGTGTAGTATTATGTTGATATGGACATGACTTGGTCAGTCTCTTGACGATGACTAGAGCAGGCTAGTCGAAACGTTGAGACCAAAGACAAGTTCTTTTAGAACTTAAAGCAGCACTGTTCTTATCACAACAAAAAACTACTAAGCAAAGTTGATAATAAGCAGGACAAGTTCTTTTCAGAACTAAATATCTTCTAAGCAGTAGTTATTACCACATGGTGTTACTGCAAACCGAAACGATACCGATACCCCAACATGCAAAGCCTCAAATCTTATATGGACATGACTTCTTTTAAAACTGTTATTAATACCATTTTGAACGACATTAAATTATTCAAAAACGGGAAAAGTTAAAGAGTACTTTTTCATTAGTGGTGCTAATCGCAGAAAGTGCAATCTTAAAATGCGAATGAGGCATTTTCGTGGTTTGGCGACTAAAACATAACTACATAGAAATATTCCACATTCAAACCCACCTACGCATTCCTGTGCCTTTCCAATGTCCCATATCTGAACGGTCTTGTCAGACGATGACGCCAACAGGCCTTCTGCAGTGGGATGGAATAAAACATTCTGGACCCCCTTGGCTAGCTTAGGGAGGGTAGCAGCAGGGGTGGACATGCTCTCTGTCAGGCCTCCTTCTGGTAGGTCCCATATCTTGATCTATGAGGTGACATCAAAAATACCGACAGACAAGCAGTAGCACATTTCAACTGCGATTTGATGAATTCTAATTACGAAAAGTAATTTGAGATTTTTTGATATTCTTACATTTCATGATGTCCTCTACATGATCTACCATACTTCAAACAGTTCTGAACTTCCATACCGAGTTCATCTGTGTTTCGGTATTCATGAATCATTAGTTGGTTTTGGTCGGTATTCAAAAAAAAACGTGACTATCCGGTAATACCGAAATACCCTTCAAGCCTATTCTGAAGTAATAAATAAATAATAAATATCTGATGACATCTTACCATGTTGTCATTGGAGCATGTGGCAAGCATGTAATCATCAAACGGTGAGAAATCCATGTCAGTCACTAGCGATCCATGGGCGTGTAGCATGGGCAGCGTTGATAGGCCCCGCCCACATTTATCAAGAGGGATAATGCCTAACGTGCCTCCACCTACAACAAACATACAATATGAGGTACATTTCTTGTCAATAATAGGTAAACAGCGATCATTACATTTCCACAACAACACAGTATTATCATGCCATTTAAAGATATAAACTGTCGGGGGAATTTTTAAATTTTATCCTAAAATCATATAATTAATTGCCATTTTTTTCAAGCAGGTACCAAAGTCATTCCAGCCCCATAGGAATCGATAACGTAAAAAAGCAGTCTGCTCGTAAGGTGAAGCTGTTAATGTGCAAAAGCAACCAAAATAAAAGCTTTTTTTCCCCCAGAAATTTGCAGTTGCCATACATTTTTTTTAAAAGGTACTTTTTTCATTAAAATACAACCTACAACTTCAAAATTCATTGGGGGGAAAAAAAAATGTTGAAGAGCATGGACGGTGCATCTTTAAATTATTTCATGAAGACTACATTAACTGACCTGTGTTGGTGGTGTTGAAGGCCATGAGAGTGCAGCTGGCTTTGATGTGGTTGCCACATGACGATGGCGATCCGACACGGAGATCACTAAACCAATGCTACGAAGAAAAAAAAACATAGAACACAAATTCAAGTTGTGATCGTTTGATTTAATAATGGTGATAATGGTCTTACTGTACTGGTCTAAATCAGTTTTTGGAGAGGTCAAAAACTTAAGAAAGTGAAAACGTGCGATACAAGAAACTAAACTGTTACATGAGAGAAACACAATTTGCAAACACTACTTCTTAACTGCAACAAGCAGGCCTAAAGTGTAAAAAGTGTAAAAGTAAAAAGTGTAAAAACCTTATCTTTGACTTTTTGGCTAAATGGTGAGTTTATTTGGCGATTTAATTTTTTTATAATTTTTGTGCACTCGAAGTTTCACAGTCACATACCTCTTTCTTGGCGATGGTCGCCGATGCATTCTTGAATTTGGACGCACTGAAACGGCTCATTCTGCTACTGCTAGTCTTGCCTTGCTAGCTAAATCTGATATTTAATCAAGGTAATTGTATAGTTTAGGACACATCTATGTTTTACACGTTCCGTTCATAAATCAAAACCCTGCCCTCTTTCCACAAAATTAAGCTAGAGCAAGTTCGGTTGGGTGACTAGAGTCGACTAGACTTATTTATAGTCGATCTAGATGTCACTCAAACGCTGCGTGGTTTGACTTGCTAGTCCAACTGGATCAACTAAGCCCCGGAGCACTATTTCTCCAGTCAATACTCGACTTACGTCACAGTTTCAAGATGATGGAAAGGTAAACTGGAGCAAATTTTGTAAACAGTTAACATTAACAACAAATTGTAGGTTTTGTTCAACAGTGTTCAATAACAACAAATCTTTGCAGTAAGATAATTATTTTATTGCGCTGAAGTTAAGTAGAGAAAAAAAAATTGAAAATAAACATGACGTGCCAACGTTTGCTTCGTTAGCAACGTGGAGGCCTGCTGTTGATATGCACTAACTAGATTTGACTGGTTGATCGACAAGACGCGTTTGAAAAATGTTCGAGTGAAAACCAGACCATGCGTGCGCAATTTAAATCGCAAATTACTAGTCTAGCTTAAAAGGTCAGCATCCAAACTTGCTCATAGCTAACAAGTAACAGTGATACATGTATCACATGGTTGGTATCTTAGCGAATTTTAGATGATCCCATGTCACATAAAGTGACTTTCCCGCTTGTATCATTCATAGCCAAATGTTTAGCCTTAGGTATTAGGTCCAAAATGATAAAACTAAAGTGTCTTTTTTTGTGTTAATGCCTTAATAATGGAATGAGATCCTAAACTACATCATACCATGGAGCTAGGATTAGGAACGGAAAGAATGTTGCAACCTGACGCTGCTTTTTTCTTCATATATGATGTCAATGAAGGTCAGTCTTTGCAAAAATGATGATAAGACATGAATCTGGGCCGGGCTGGGACTGAGAAATATTTCTAATTTTGTTAGGAAATACTTAGAAAATGTTCTCGACTCTTCATAGACTTTGTACACAATCGCTGAGAGGTAGCGTCAGGTTGCAACATTCTTTCCCTAGGAACACACATGATTACCGAAAATACTTTGAAAACGCACTCAACTCTCCATAGACTTTGTACACAGCCAGAGATGAGAGAAGTTGCGTACCGTCTGGACTAAGTTACAATCTTTCCTAAGTTTTTATCATTCTGACTTTAGTCTTAAAAGTTGTACCTTTTATGGTTAATGCTGTACTAATGAATTTCTGTGGTAAGGTCCCTGGTCCAAGAACTCGCAAAGCACTGATCAAAACCCCCAACAAACTTCCGTACAATTTTCGTGCAACTGCGGAAGTGTTCCTCACCTAGTCCCCTGCACCAACATGACACGCCCCCTAGTGTTGATCCGATCCATACCGACTCGCAGTGAGGGCGCCCTACTTCAGGACCGGACGCGGAGCTTGGACGTGAACACAAAGACAAAACCAGCGGCGGACAGAGAAGCACATGCTACATTTTAAATCGAGAGGGAAACGAAGTAAAGGAGAACCCAAACTAAAATAATCGGCTTGTAAAAAACAATGAAATAATGAGGAGAGAATAGAACTTTTACAAGACACTGAAGTTTGCATTTAAAAATAGTGCGGATCCATCTGAACATGGTGTAGGCCTAATCAAAAGGATCGTGGGTGGATTGTCATCACTTTCAGATATGCCAATAGAGAGGCATGACTATTTAACTGGATTTGGAATATTTTAATAATGACAATAAATTATGATAAATTCATCACGAAAAAGGAAACTCAACAGGTTGGATCGGAGCAGTTCTTTCCTCGCCTTCTGGCCCGGGTTCGATCCATGCCCTGTTCTATGTGGATTGGGTTTTCAGTCCCTTACCTGATGATTCCGTGGGTTTTTCCCAGAATATTCCTCCGGGTTTTCCTCCCACCTCTAAACCGTATTTTTTTCATTGTCTTCTCTCTACCGGTTTCTTCAGGCTTGCGAGCTACAGTGCCTTAGGGCGCTGTTGATGATTTTGTTTTGTTTCCTTATCAGAAATGAATAATAACAATTTTCCAACTTAAAAATAAGAAGCAGATCCCTGCAAAGTGCAAATAAATGCAAATAATTTATGTATTACCAAATAGCTTTTGTTCTTTTTCAGAAATCGAACCACAAGTGTATCAAGCAAGCTGTTGGACGGAAGACTGCGTTTATAGACTTCGACATTTTACACAACGACACCCGCAATTTTATTCTTTATTGAACAATTACAAACAGATGTTGATATGCAGGGAGTATTGGGTATTGTGTATGGTTCAAGGTCTATGACTACCCATACTACCCCATGCCAGGTGATGAGCGCTTTTCCATTGTCCATATTATGTCAAGATGATTGGCAAGGGCCACAATGCATTGCACGCTTCGTCAGAGCAGCACAGTGAGACGCTTGGGGGAACAATGCACACAATACAAGTTGCCATCGGAAAATAAAAATATTGATATTAACCACAAACTAGAAACTGTTTCCTGACTCAAACATTGGAAACCGATTGAATTCACAGTTCAGTAGAGTTATTTTCATAGTATGCATCCAAATTTTTATGAGGATGCACATCTTTTAATGCAGTTTTTGTTGTAAGATTATATCTGTACTTGCGCTTGAAAAGTCTGTCCTTAATTAACTTGACACATGTAAATGATGGTACATAAAACAGCCGTCGTATCTTAATTCATAATTATCTAGGTCATGCCGTTTCATTAACATAATTTACTGCCTTCGGACTAGACTGAATTCATTAAGGTTTCAGAATGATTGGATGTTGGAGTTCTTGTGATCATCAATGTTAATCCCCAGTCAACATTCGAAGTCACATTCAGACGGCTGTTGGAAATTACACGAACTCACCCAGCATTTTGTCCTGGGGCCAACCAACCTGTGGTGTGGTACATATCACTCAACGCATGGTTCTCGTACGTTCTCGCCGACTGGACGAATTGTCACGCTCGATGTCCGAGTTTACATTCGGCTTTCAACAGTTGAGAGTAAGTGCTTTGCCAATTTTTATGGGAGGTTAAATGTAACTGCCATCGAAAGTAACAAATTTGTGTTCAACTTTTTCTCCAAAATTTCAGGAATATTTAGGGTGGTAAATTCCAGATTCGTTTTTTTTTTAACCGAAACTCAACATTTTTGGCACTAAATAGTTCAGAAATGTTAGGCTAGTTGAGGGATCAGAAGGGAGTTATAGGAAGCTTAGAGGACTAACTCCATAATTATTATAATTTACATATTTTACTAGTTAATTGAGACGGGGCGCAAGCTGTCTAATACCTTTTTAAATCGTGTAAAAGCCGCATAATAAACGAACCCTTTAAAATAAATTAAAAACAACTTTGGGTAAAACACTGTTGGGCAATGTTATTTGCCCAACATTTAGTATGAAATTGCCGGTACCTCAATTGTTGGTCAAATCGGTAAAACTACACCAACATTTGGGACGAATTTGTCCCAAAGTGTAAGCAGTTGGTAGGTTGATCCTCATTGGGCAATATACCAAGCGATTTGCCCAACTTTTTGAGTGTAAAATCACCAGTGTAATGCGTGGTGTGGGTCTGGTCCACGCGCGCCTGGGTGGGGCATTGTGTCCATCCAAATTCATTTCCTGTCTTACGCCTTTGTAAACTGTAAACCAGAATAACCCAGACTATGTGTCCCCAGTTTGTTGGAGGGGGTGGGGGAGGTGTGGACACACATATACATGGTACTTGTGGGGTGGCAATGAAGCACACAGAGTAGCAATATGGACAATAAGACCCCACAAGTCAATCTTTAGACATCTATCTGCACCATAAGGAAAACGCTATGGAGTTTGAGATTTCAAAAGAAATCAAAATAGATAAAACGATAATCTATCATCTTTGATGTATGTGTGGTTTAATCCAACCTCAAAACAATTAAACTTATATCTAAAAAGCTATTTATCAAGATAACTTTCTTTTAATCCGAAATTGATTTAAGCGTGACTCACTCCCAAGATAGAATGGGCCATATTTTGGTTAGACATCCTTCAGTTGTTTGTCCATGATTATTTGGATATATTTTCTTTGGCCATTGATGGAATAAAGCTCTGAATCGTTGAGGCAGCACAATAGTATAAAAGTGGCCTTCAACCGCGACATTCCAAAAATATTTCAAGGTTTTGTAGCGATAGAATATGATGAGCCCATTAGAAGTTGTGTGTGGATGCTATTAATAATTAAATTTAATTATCTTGATCAAAGGAACTTCTCCATTTACCGTCAACAACTCTGTCTGTGGATTATATTGTATATGTTGTTTCTTGTAACGAATCTGTATTGCTATTTCTAACACCAAACAAGAAAGAATTTATATTAAAAAAAAGGAAAATGACCCCGGAAGCTCAGGATCCCCAACCAGGTTGAAAAATCCAACAGATAAATGCTTATCGTAGGTTTCCCTGGTCGCAAGTTGCATATACGTTCAGTGGGAATGAACGTGTAGTTGGTTCCACAGCATCGTTGGGCTTATTACTGTTAATTTCAATTTTAAATCAACACAAATCTCCACGTGAGAACGAAAAAAAATGAAAAGTGAGACGAATTAAAACGCTATACATTCATGAACTCCATGCGAACCGAACCATATTGCAAATTTGAAGGTAAGAAAAATTATGCCCGACAATCTTTCAGTATTAAACTTAAGTATATTTCCACTAAGTTTATTGATACAACAGTACTAGCGGGGAAACTTATTTTGTATTTGATGAAAACCGTGATGAAACTATAGCACACAAAAGCAACGCAAAATACACAAATATAATCAGCGCTTTCCTAGGAGTCGGTTTGAAGTACTATACAGCCTGCAAGTGGAAACCAAAATGTATTACTTCAGCCTTGTGACAAAGCGGTCAGTGGATCGAAAGCAATGAAATTAAATTGTTTGATTGAACAAAATATGATAAATGGCACGTCAACAATCACAAAAGGAAATTTCTAACTTTTTGCTATCCATAAAGCTGAGGTTGACCAAGTTAAGAGTCATTGAGGTAGAACACCGATAAAGTGCCCGTCAACTGTGACATTCCAAATAGAATATTGGAAGATTTGTAGAAATAGAATGATAAACTAAAACCTATTAGAAACGGTCCATGAATTTATCTTTCTGGGTGAAAGAACACTTTACCCTTTTTCTTTCATCAGCTTTGGTCGTTCCGCCGGGAACTAGTATGCTGTATCATAGGATGAAGAGCGTGTCTGTATGGTTATTTCCAAAAGTAAACAAAACAGAATAATATTCATAGAATATGAACCACAATAGATCTCTAAACAAGGATGAAGTCGCAAACTGGAACGCGATTTAAATTACGGGGTGTATTACACGAATAGCCTAACTGAAAATAACTGAAATAAAGAGACTTTATTTGAAAGTGATACAGTGTTTAATGGCGCAGTGTTATGGTGGGTCACAGACACTGAAGCTTACATTTTATTTCGACCAGAAGATAATTATGATAAGATGGAACTGCGCTGTCCTCAACAATAAGGAAACACCCAACGTTCAAGTGATTTTCCACCCCTGCATGCATATTATCCATCTCTGGCTTGTCACATGGAGTAAATTTTGCCGTTCTCCTCATCAAGTCTATTAATCTTTTCGATAAAAGAGCAGCTTTCTTTGCGCGGAAATTAAAATTCCAAACTTTCGAAGTAGACCAACTCGATTTTACAACACCCCTTCGGACCTTTGACTCTTTTTTTCAACATTTTCTTCTAAATTCAAGCAAAATCAGGCCAATGTAAACTTCACTGACATCGAGGTCAAGCACTATGTCCGTCAATTTCTTATTCTGGTTCTCTTTTCTGCTCTCCAAATTTGAAACTTCCAAGACAGTTTTCAGCCAACACTTCTCGATTTCGGCGTCGCATTTGTGAAACTTCAGTCCTGCGAGGACAGATCCCGTAAATATTACACAAACACCCGGCACATACCACCCTGGCACCGCTAACCCTGGCCCCGTTTTTGTTCTAAACGTCTTGAAGTCATTCAAATTATCGCACAAACACTTCAACTTCACACCTCGCTCCGTAATTTTTGATGAACCGCGAACGACTCCAATTTCCCGGCGGGGCCTTTTTGCCCTAGCGACGGGTGAGTTGGTCGACCATCCACTGCGATTCGTACTTGCCACGAGGGTCGTAAGAAAAGATATAAAAAAGTGACTCATAAATCGGCAATGCGTCGATGAGTGAGTGATGGCTGCGAGCGCGGCGGTCAAAATTCCTATACCCTGCACAAGGGGGGGGGGGGGGGCAAAACGGTACAAAACACGATCCCCAGGAACAAGAACCGAACAATGAAATAAAAGAAAACGGAACAATAACATGTTGGTTTTTGCATAATTAGAGGATACTTTAACAAAAAGTTTGTTGCCATCTTACTTTCTAAGTATAGTACCACGAAAAAAAACCTAGTTGAAATAAAATGTCACCTTTTTTAACATCAAGGTGCACAATTTTTGCCACAGTTGAACTGAAATGCTCTCATATGCTGCCTCTTTTACATATTTAAGACACGCCCACAAAATGGAGAAATATCTGGTGTTTAAATTGTTGAATGTCTTATCTCATAAACGTTTATTTCAGAGCATTAAAAACATGAAAAATAAATGTCAATTATAGGTTTTCCAAGTTTTATTTTCTGCACCCCATTATTTGAAACGCCAAATTCCATGCTTTTACAACTACGTGCACAATTTGGCCAAAAATGAACCTATGCCGCTCCATGCATCACTTACTGCAGTTGTTGATCTTCGATGATCCAACTGAGCACGAAAGAGTAAAGCTCAATTTAAAAACAATTGTAACTTTGCGAATGATAACATGGTTGGGTTGTTCAGTTTATCCAAATTTGGTTTTCATATATTCGTATCACTTATTTTATTTAACTTAACTACTTTGACCCACAGTTGACAGGTCATATCCACTAAGGTCTTAGGTTTAATTAACTTTGTGAATGATAACATGGTTGGGTTTTTCCGTTTATCCAAACATGGATTTCATATTTGAATCACTTTATTTAACTTAACTACTTTGACCCAGTTGACACATGAAAACGGGTTAGAAAATATAGGTATAGCAACCTATAAACTGGTCAAAATATGGACAGTTTCCAGAGCTTGTAAGCCAGCTGTGTTTAAAAAGAAATAGATTTTCACTCGTGCGGCCGTAATCTTGACTTCAGGCGATATCTCACAAGGACAGGTGTTACGGACTAATCCATTGTTCCCTGCACTACCTGATGGTCCAACAATGCGATCGGCTTTTATTTGTAGTGATCGATACTACAAGTTAAGCTGGATTTGTAACAATGTAGATTACAAGCCTTACCGGAATACCTGCCTAAGTCATCGATTGTTGACCGCGTGTTGTTCGTTTTAAGTTTTCCAACATTTAAAACTTTTACTTTTCAACTCAGATAGAAAATTATGTAGGCACATGTAGTAGGGCAACTTGTCAAACTTGGAGATATTTAAGAAATGTGCAGTTTCTAACCAAACTTTATCGGGTAGAAACTTCGACTTTTAGGCCATGCAGTGCATGCATATTTCTCGATGTCGGGGACTTAAAAAAATTCCTCCGTTGACCGAAACCACTTCGCCTCATTTCGACTTCTCCCTGCTGCTTTCTTGAATGCCCACAGGAAGTTGACGTCATGTTTATAAAATCAGCTTAGTTTAAATATTTAGAAACCATCCCACTCATTTGGTGGAATTTGTATGCAATTTGTGTCTTGTAAATAGCATCATACATTTGTAAATGAAAGGAGAACTCTTTAAAACACTGTAACAGTGTCGATTTTTCAGCATGGAATTAACACTAGCGGAGTATTCAATCAATATATTGATGGGTTAGGCGAGATGACATGCGCCACGCTATAGTATCGGCGTGGTGAGTAATTTGAATAATCTATAATTTTGTAGGGATTACATGATGTTACAATGACAATGAAAATATCCCCAGGGTGCGTCATCATATGTCAGCGTTGTTTGGGGGTGGGGAACTGGTAGACTTACTCTTCAGCCCAAATCTCATGAATTCTGTACGAGCGTCTGGTTCAGTCTATATGTGTAGACTATTTTTGACAAATTTCATTGATGTACGTATGGAACTATATCATGGGATGCAGACCAGTAAGAAAAGTCCAGTAGGCATCAATGACAAAACCCCACTTAAAAAATTGGGGGAAATACTCAACTCTTAACAGGTGATCACCACATACATCAAATTAAATTTTGATTTTTCCTCTTACTTTCTGTTTAATTTTCTTGGGTAAACCGGTGATTTGTACTTGGGTGAGTTTTTGCCTCCAAAAGACGATCACCCATAGTCCTGACGTCCATCGCCATTTTGAAAAAAATGATCAGGCCGTTGCAAAACAGAGATAGTTTTTGGTCCAAATTCACTCGAAATTTCACAGAAATACAAGTGTAGAGGCCGGCTATAGACCCTTCGTTTCCACAAATTGCAAGCGCAGGGGCCACAAAACTCTCTATTTTAAATCGACAGTAAATCGTGATTTGTTCGGCGTATAGGCAGTTTTGAGCCTATTTAACTGTGTGCACGGCACCCTTACAGGGCAAATATAGACTCGATTCGAACTTAAAATTTGACCGTGGAGTTATAAACCGGATGCTTTGACCATTGACAATGACCACCGGCCGGGCATACAATTCTCGGATTATGCAAACTTCTCTAACAAAATGTATATGCTGAGGTACGAATTTATTGACTGAAATTCAGACTAATCCATTATTAAGTTGTTACATAATCAGTGGACGAGGAAATACTACACTATGACTAATTGGACGATAGTGTTTGGTATTTATGACTGCTGATCAATGACCATAATTATTTGAACAGTGCTGATGTGTTGGTTTAGTGAAACATTCCTTCAGTTGAACATTAGAATCTAAGAACACAGGGAAAAATCGGACAAAACACGCAATTCAATAGTAAACAGATGAACTTCCGTTCTTTTGACGCGTTAAGCTTCATTCCTTCAAGTAAAATTTAAAAATTGGTTTTGTTAAAATCCACTGACAACATCGAAAACACAATGTCATTGTCGACTTTCATTATGGACAAATAAATTCGAGATTTCAACTTTGGATTAAAAAAAAATGCAATTGAATTTTAGTCATATTGCAACTAGGCATGACAATAATGGACAGCATTAACTTGGCACAATGGAACTTAACGTATTTTTTAAATTTTCTTTTATGGAAAACAATTTCCCCTTTTCTAAACCTTTGTGAAACGAATTTTCCATTCAAAGCACTTCCTGGTCTTGCCTTGCACGTGCTATTTGCGCCAACAGAGATTACAGATGACTTTGAGAAAAAGGAATTTGTGTTTGGTCGTTGCTCACAAGCAAGCGAAAATGACAAAAGATTTCAGCCTTTACAATGCTTTTCGCACCTACAACAGAGAACCATATAAAACCACACTGTCCTCTATAACCACAGCCGAGCTTTTCAAGTTTTACTTTGAGTAGGAGGTGCGAAGTGAGTAAAATAACAAACACCGTTAAGTTACATCAACATGAAGCCTTTGTCACTAGCTGAATGGTCGGCGACTTTAATTAACCCACAAAGTGTCATAAATCACACAAACAAGAGGAGTATCGTACCGATTAGAGCGAAATGTCACAGACCCAAATTCTTTGCCCTCGTTCATGTAACCAGGTATGGTTTACTATCAAGTCACGACGTCATGAACTGTAGAAAAAAATTGGAGGGGTGCTGGTAAGTTCGATTTATAGAGGGGAGAATTAAACACTCTAAATTCTTAAAATATGAAATTGCTATAACTGCGATTGGAGAAGTATTAGAAGGGGCAGAAGGAGAAAAAATAAAACAGAGATTTGGGAATGGGATTTAGATCACCATGTGGCATGTGGCCGCGACAGCTTTAGGTCCACCCCGCCGCAATAATGGACGAGTCTAGCTGAGTTGCGTTCGGCATGTGTTTGATCAGTGAGGTGTTCATTCATTCGGTAAGCAGTTATCACTGATGAATACCGTGCTTTGCTCCAGCTCATTGCGTGCTCGGTCAACAGCTTTACTACTAATTTTCGCTGGTTGGAGCATGAACAGTTTCTGTTAAATGTGCAGTTTGATGTTTCAAAAGTGCTGGAGGATACTTTTGTTTTGACGCAAGAATTTAAGAAAAAGGTACGTGGTGTGTCTGTACAATTGATGAAAACCATTTTAAACTGACAGTTCTTGCTATATTCTGTGAATGTGATGATTTGTGTATGGTTTCATTTTCAGACTTTGAATAAGACTTTGTATTTTTTTAACTGAAGATTGGTGTATTTTGTTGATTGTTTGAGTATTCTGTAATTAACATTTTGTTTGTGTAAATTGTGATAGCCAGTATTGATGTCATTGTGCGTGAAAAAAATATCAACTTACGAAAAATACGACGACCATGCATGACGACCTTCAGTTCAAGTGCAAGTACTGTGCTTATGTCATTTCGTAAAGCACTCAATGATAAAACCCAAACCATCGTAAACTTGCAAGACAAAATCCGAAAGAAAAATTTGATCTTTTTAGAACAAAATGTATTAAAGTTTCCATTGGCATTCATGTTTGAAGTGCGTCACGGTCCTATTATATATCAAACAGAAGTTTGATTGTAAAGTATAGAAAGTACATGTACCAAAAATAAGTTACGTGAAAAAAATTGTCTACACGACCAAGACCAAACGCGATCCTACCTGTATCAAAGTAAACTTTGGGGGGCGGGGGGAATACGTCCTTTTTGGTACATAATGATTTATACATTAAAAAAGTCATGGAATCTAATATTACAAACGGGGTCAAAAACACGCCTGAAGCAACAGCAAACTCGCCAAAAAATGGTATCATGGGAAAACTTGCAACCCAAATTACCCCCTATTTGCGAAAAACAATGTTGGTAACTGGCCAATGTGTATCAACACCACCTCTCAGGCCCAAGATTAGTCAGATCATAGGCGTCTGGTTTTCATCTGTAAGCGCGGACTCCCTGCGCGCTTTTTTTTTTAATGCGCTGTGATTACTTTACAGTATTTTTTTTGGTTGGTGTGCAGTGCGTAAAAATCAGTGCACTCTTGTCAGTTTCAAGGAAATTAACCAGGATTTAGATAAGAAATGGTCCATGCATGGCGGGGCAATTTTGTGGGCGAATGACCTAAATCTAAATGTCTTTATTATTTTTATCATTTGTCCTCATCTAATTGTGAATGCTATTCATAGATGGATTGGAATTTCTGTGAAAATGTGAACAGTCATGAGTTTCCTTATTTTGAGAGCCCAGTTCAGTTCCCTCTTTCTGTTCGTGATATGTACCGTTGTTTTGAGATATACATGTTATAGCTTTGGAGCAAATTTCAACAAAAGGGTTCATCCAAACAGCATAATTTGAAAGAGACTTTAAACATTGAAGTGTTACGAGTAACGAATTTGAAATATGAAACACTATTGTAAGCTTTCGGTTGAAACCATGTTCCTTGCTTTATGATTGAACTTAGTTGAGAATTTCAGATCAGTATACATGACGAAACACTGCCGCTTTTTTACGATTTGAAATAATCGAATCTATTAATTAATTGTCATATTTAAAACGTTCAGTCGAAATTTTGTTGTTGGAAATCGTGAACTTCAAAAGTGTTGTAAACAAATCTATGCAGTTTTAGTTTTTGCCAGTTTTCGCAGTACAAAAGCAACCGTCGAAAATTGCAAGCTTACCGGCGGTGGGTCATTTGGTAAGCTATGGTCAACCCGAATAAACAGTACATGCTGATACATCATCCTTCGAGACTCGAGAGTTTATCATAGCTGGTCAATGCATTGATCGCATACTCGTGGCAGCGTGTTGTCCTGAGTTGTTGGATCGATGCATCGATTGTGTGTTGCCATGTCCAGTAATAATGCCACGACATGCCGCCATTAGATGACTTCGGTGTGGCGCTAATTGTTAGGGACTCATCAGACGCACCAGATGGCCGCATCTCATCTTAGAGGCCTCATCCTTTTATCCTTGTACCTTCTCTCTAGTTGAAAATGAACAGTCGAGGATGGGTTTCTCTTGAATGTATCAACAAATTTGACGTCTGACATCATACATGTGCACATCTTATTTCAGGTTATGTTAACCGGCCAGTCTTTACAAAAAATCAAGTTACATGTCAGGTAATTATATAATCGACAGAAGATATTGACTAGAACGGAGTTTGAAGTTTGAACCTGCGAACTCCCGATTGCAGTTCCGGTGTTTTAACAACGGAACTTTCCAGCCCTATGGCTATGTTGGCGATGCTCCAGTTTGACAATTTTGTTACAAGGGCTAGCAGAAGCCTTAAACCCGTATTGCAATGTAATTTAGCAAAAGATCGCGCCCAAAGGTTACTACGATGCTAGCAACAGAATGCTGCAAACCCGGGAAATAGCAAACGGGAATCGCACAGAGAGGATACGACTTTTTATACAGATCGTCAAGTACAAGTCATAATGTACATGTACAATGTTTGATTCGCTGAGAAGGGAATAACGACACTGACAGTCTCAAAGATATTATCAGAATCGTGAGGGACTAAAGATGCACGGACACATTATCAATTTTACTGAACTCTGTGTATAAATATATTTTTTTTTATAAATTAACTTCTTTTCAAGAACTTTTGATATCACCGCCTTGCCATGTCACGTCGGGTGTCGTGAAATAATCATCGCTCATGTTTTCTGTTGCTGAACTGCGTATCAAAAAGCGTCATCTACCGTTTATTCAAAACCTTTCCTCATTAAACATTTTGTCAATGTATACCATAAGCTATGATAATTGGCAACATGTTTTAAAACACAAATCTGTTTGGGCTGAAATTGGTTCCGGGTCGGACAAAGCATTAAGTGTTTAACCTTAGAAGTCATATCTTTAATATAATCCACGTTGCCAGGGGCTGAACATGCCTAATCGACATCGTCACTCAAAAACCACGGAATATTAAGCCTGGGATCAGCGGGTGGAGCCAGCCCCCTACCAGGCGGGGATTTTGCCTCCGGTGTACCCCCGTCCACGAGGAGAAAGCTGCGGTAGAGACTGGGGCGCTGCGGTGTTTTCTTGAAGGGCGGGGCTGGCTATACGTGTACATGTATATGAACAAACCACAATTTGTGCTCTATTTACGCAAGAATTGTAGGACCATTTGCTTTTTCTGCGTTTTTGTTTGTTGGAATCAAGGAAATTGCTCAAACTTTTAATTTATTTAGTAGGTTGCACAACAACTAACCTGTTGAAGTTTCAGCTCAGTGGACACTACTATACATTTTGTAAAAACAGAGAAAACCTATGCACAATATTGTGGGTCTTGTAATTGGAATCCGTTGGTAACACATGCACCGTCAAAACGTGTGCCCGCTGGCACTCTATAATTTTGAAACCACCTTCAATGTTTGTTTTCTAATTTCGTCTTAAAGTTACAATTTCAGACGGAATAATTTCACAGGGTATTTGGTACCAGTCCTATCTTCACTTTGAGCACGGTTTCTGTAATTAAATCAGTTAATTGCAAATGGCTAAACATCTCCATTCTTGTTGTGCCCAATTCTTGCTACGAATTGGTCCAGATGTGAACTTCGCAGCTTTTGAACAAAAAGTGCTCTCGTTGTTGAGAAGTACTACCAAATGTTTCACTAGAAACGACGAAAATTTGGGGCATCTAGGTTGAAGAGGTTCACTGAACTTCTATTGCCCGACGTTCTGCATGGTGTAACCATGCAGCTGAACTTGGTGGGTCCACGCTTTGTGCATCTTTGATTCTTCAAAAGACCTTTGCTCTTAAGACGATCCATCAAAATAAACTCACACTTTCTTCTCTCAGCGGGACTAACCCTTCTCACCCAAAAATGCAAAAATTGGCCGTAGCTTTTTGTTTTTATCCCACATTTTTTTAAACTTATCTGATCTTGGCATTATTTCTAAACTCATGGCATTTGTCAAAACTTTCTTTGCTGTAATTGATGGATTATGTTAGAGCATGATAAGGGTTGGAAAATGCTTTCAAAGGTTGGGCCTACGTTTGTTTTCAGACAATGGGGACTCTGTTTCGCCCAAGAAAAATATGACAGAAGAAAAAAACTGGTTTAATCATTAGGCCCGGAGTCATTAATACGTGTCAGTGAGACCCGACCGTGGAATGCAGAGAACGGTCTCCCGTGATATCGAGCCCAGTCTGCCCACGCCCGCCGGCTAGGCAAGTGTCATTCACACTCGTGCCGCGTACGCTTGAAATGACCCAAGTTTTAGGTAAAAACGGTGAAACTTTCCCCTTGAAAATTGGTTTGCCCTTGGGGGTGGTTCGGTCCCACAAGGGGTCCTAGCGATTACCTGGGTACGGCCTCAATTGGGTACGTGCTTTAATCGGTCGTTAATGCATTAGGCATACGCTGACTGAAATTTTTAAAGGTGTGCTTGTTCATAATAATAGCTTTGTTTTTTTTGATGGAAAGTCCTTGGCTTTTTGGTCTTGATTTCGACACGTGGCTTCAGGCAAAACTGTTTGGAATAGTTGGTTTTCAACACCTAGCCATTTTATAGAAAAGCATTTTCCTCCTAAAAAAAGTCCTAAGTCAGAAAAACAAATCTTGTTTGGAAAATGTGAACAGATGTCACGCAATTCTTCGTTTTGCTGGTCAGTCTTATAGCTAGATTGCCTCGGGGCCAGTTGGGGTCGAGGGTTTTGAAATACTTTCGTTCTAACCCAAACCCGATTTTAATGAAAAGCATTTGTCAATGTCATGTTCGAAAAAGTCCGTGAACTTGAGAGATATAGACAGATGCACATCGAACAATTTCACTTGGAAAAGCTCGTTGAAGGCCTGTCACATAATAGTCTATCATGTATTAAAAAACCCAATACATTTCGTGGACGGAAACATCAAGAATAAAATGAAATTTGATAAAATGATAAAAATTAAAAATACTAATGAATCAACTTTGATGGTACGTGGATGTAACATTGGGGAATAAAAAAAACCCCAGATTCAGATTTTTGTGAAAATCTTCTATGGATGTAAACACCTACAGATGTATCTAAAAACAACATGTCGATTTCTTTTGTTTTGGACGCGGAATCACAACACTATTTGGGTGCGCGTCTATCACTTTAAACAATAACCAGTTCTCACTTGTTAAACACATTTTCTATTGTCTGGCAAAAGGTACCGTGTGAAAAAATACCGCGGATTTATGTTATTCGATCAATTTATTTTCAATACGTCTGTTGTGTGTATGATTGAAGATGAATTGGATGGATGGATTTGGAATAATGAGGCTTGGATTTAGCGTAATCCGCGCGAGGTCAAGGGGGCTCTGTGGCACTTTTACTGGGGTCGGCGAGCACTTGTCCGCTTTATTAACCGGTACTTGCTGAGCACACAAAGAGAACTGTTTAGCAAAAGAGACATGGTGTGAGAGTGAGCCGTTCCCGAGATTTTAACAAGATTGTATCTGTTCTTTGTTTTTGCGAGAACCATAAACTGCTGCATCGCCATATCGCCGATATTGCGGGAAAAAATATCGACTCCAAAATAATCAGTATCGCCAGCGCTACTGCTGCTCTTCATTTTTTTTTGGGGGGGGGGGAGAATTAAAATAAAATGTTTTACTAAACCTCATGAATTTGTTTCATTCACATTCCAAGTCAGCAGATAGTGATAAAAGCAGTGCTAATAAAGTATTTTTTTTTTCCTAATTGTTTTTAATTGTTCATACTTCATATTCCCAAAATGGATCGTCAATCGCTTCCGTCATCGTTTTGAACCCTTTCTAGAAGGTTAAGTAAACTAAAAAATGCATTACTCATAATCCTAGCGCAGAGTGGTGCAAGCCGCAAAATCAGCCCCACTGAAACTTTTCCCGTTAACCATACCGTAACCGATACTGTAACGGATAGCGCTCCCAGTATGGGGTCCAGGCTAGGCCGACATACCAAGCCTTAATTAAAGAACTCAGAAAGACAAATAATCCATGTTCAAATGTCAATGGATTTGACAACCTATAGGGGTATGAGTTGCAGTTGAAACACTGTGGTTGTGATAATAATGGAGCCCTGTTCTGCACTACCTTAAAGGGAATATACATCATTTGCTTTTGCTGTAATTTTCAGAAATGGATGGAATTGGGGGGTTGGAAATATATAGCAAATATAGTTACACTGACTTTTTTGAGGTTTTGGGTTCGAAAATGCTATAAAAACCAAGAAAAACAATCATTTTCCTGTAGTCTGGTTCCCTGACTCCATATAAGAAGAAACAGAGCAGTTTACATACATTGGGGAATTGTAAGGTCAGGGAACCAGTCTAGCTGGCTTGTACCCGTTCATAGGTGTGTAATCGATTGCAAACAAGTGCGATGGTCAATTGGGGCCAGTATTTGAAAAAAAGGCCAGTTTTTTCCAACGCTGGTCGGCCGATCAGCGTTGGAAATTGATACAAAAATACCACTTTTCTTGAAAATGACAGTATACCAGGTGCCATGATTTTACAGGATGCTTTACACTGTCATTCACTAACAGTCCAGCAAGGTATTTTAAAATGATTTGGTAGTTTTATTTTTTGATGTTTGCAAATGTTGTATTTTCCCTTTAAAGGAAAACTATGTCACAATTCAAACACCAGTAGTTTAAATGGTCTGCTTTGTGCAATGTTTTTTGTAAAATGGGGTTTAGACATTGACCGTGGAAGTTACTATGGCAACAAACCCTTACCCTCCATGCACTGACTAGTAGCATATGGGTTTTCTTACTTAAATTTTTACCTAAATTTTCACTGGAAAATCATTTTCTAAAGGGAAAACTAGGCACTCCAATTCGACGCCTCATGCACAACAGTCGTCTTGAGTGTTTTGTTTCGCTACAAAATTTATGAGTTATTAGTGAATTAAAATTCAAAAATGAATATGGCCGCTGTGTTAATTGTCTATAGCTGGAGTCAGGAGTATGGCTGTACTAAAGGCTGTTATTACATGGCTAGTTCATTGATTACCTACAAGTTTTATTGATTAGTAACATTAGTCAGCTTGGTGAGTAATTAGCTCTTCTTGTGGTTAGCAAAGTAGGACCTGCATGATAGAACCATGCAATAAATAGATGTCAGATATTGAACTGCATATTTTATGAATCATATGCATATTCATGCAATACATTATTAAGAAATCAATGATGGATTCAATAGAGTATGTTTTTTTTTTATCTTAATTCAATTTGTGAATAAAATCCAAATCTGCAACATTAATGGCATTAAATTTTCTCTTGACTTCAAAATCCTTTCAACCTAAAATAGGCTTTTGATTCAGAAGTCTATACACCAAACCTTTCTCAAAACTGACAAGGAACGCAAAGAAATTGTACATTTAGTTTGCACACTTTGTAATGCAATTTCTGCATTTTGTTTATTCATTTACAGACAGGTTTGAGCAACAAGAGGGCAACTTTCCCGGCACAGAACGACCAACTCCATCATAGTCTGCAGTACATAACTGAGCATCCTTGAACAATGGCACTTTCGGCATCCGTACTGTGCATCAGTTTAATATGCAATCTCCTAACTGTAGCCTGGACGCAGGAGATAACCTACACCATACTAGAGGAACAGGAAGCTTATACTGTGGGTAACTTGGCAGCAGATCTCAACATCGAGACAACTCCGGTCACACGGTTTCAGTTTCTTACTGCGACTTGGGAGAATCAAACATATTTCCGTCTGAATGGATTAACTGGAGATATTTCAACCACAGGGAAGATTGACAGAGAAAGTGTTTGTGCCCTGAATGAGCTGACATGTCAGTACGAGCTGGAGGTTTTGGTTATGCCACAATCTGAGTATCGTTTTATCCGTATCCATGTGGTAATTGAGGACGTGAATGATCATCCACCAAGATTCAGCGAAGCCATCTTGCCTCTGGAAATTTCTGAGACTGTTGCGCTCGGGACTAAAATCCCATTGGAGACTGCTGAAGACCCAGATGTGCGCGAAAACTCTGTTCAAGAGTATTCCCTCTTGAATGATTATGATGGTACATTTGGGCTCTTTGTCCAGCGCTTTGTAGACAACACCATCTCGTTGCAACTTGAAGTGACTGCGGAGTTGGATCGCGAGACCCGCAGTAGGTACTTGCTGACCCTTTTGGCACATGACGGAGGGGACCCTCCCAAGACAGGCTCCGTCATTCTCAATGTGACAGTCCAGGACTCTAATGACAATGCGCCACAATTCCAACGTTCAAGCTACACGGTCAGCATTGAGGAGAATGCCGCCATCAGCACTGAGATCCTTCAGGTGGTGGCCATGGATCCTGACTGGGGAACTAATGGACAGATTGAGTACTCGTTCAGTAGCAGCGTGACCCAAGCTGCCAGGCAGGCACTTCAGATTGATGAAGTCACTGGGATGATAAGCATCAAAGGACTCCTGGATTATGAACAACAACAGAGCTTCCAACTTGTCATAAGAGCTGCAAACAGAGTGGCAAATCCAGTGCCTGATTACACAACCGTGACAATCAACATCATTGACATCAATGATAACTACCCATCACTGACAGTAACCCCTTTGGAAGCTGGGCCCAATGGTTGGGTGCATCTCTCAGAAGACACCTCAACTGGTACACTTGTTGCATTCGTCAAGGCATCTGATCCAGATGGTGGCAGCAGCGGGATGGTCCGTATCTCTTTATCAGACACCCTCTCTGATTTTGGTCTTCAAGAGGTCAGTGATGGACAGTACTTCCTGAGCACCCTCCGGACCTTAGACAGGGAAGCAGTGGACGTCTACAACATATCCATCCAGGCAATGGATCAAGGATCACCGCCAAAGACCACCATTCGTCATCTTGTGATAATTGTAGAAGACATCAATGACAATCCTCCTTTTTTCGCAACACCAATATACTACGCTAATATTGATGAGAACAATCGTCTCTCTTCACCTGTTGTGACTCTCTCAGCCAGTGATCCCGATGAAGGAATGAACAGTGAAATAACTTATCAACTGTGGACACAAAGAGATATGTTTGCCGTTGACGCTTCTACTGGAGTCATAACTGCTGAGGTTGTCCTGGATCGTGAGGCCCAGGCCTCGATCAGTCTCTTCGTCAGTGCTTGTGATCAAGGAGTCCCCACTCTTTGTAGCAATGCTACTGTCATCGTTGACGTACAAGACCAAAATGATCACCAACCTGTCTTCAAACAACCAGGCTATCAGTTCACCATCCCTGAGAATCAATTTGTGAACTCAGTTGTCGGCTTCACGAAAGCCACGGATGATGATGCCGGACTTAACGCCCAACTGACGTATGCCATCAGAGAAGCTGACTCAAATGGGGCAAGTGAATTCTTCCATATTGTTGCACAAACTGGGAAGATCCTTACCACTCAAGTCATCGATTTTGAGGAACACAAAGAGTTCCAGTTTACGGTGACTGTAACAGATCACGGCATAGCACCGCAGACATCAGAGGTGCTGGTTAGCATCACGGTAAGAGATGAGAATGACAATGCTCCAGAAGTCATCTCCCCAAACTCAGCCAATGATACTTTTTTCATCCCTCAGTCGGCAGGAGCTGGCTTCCTGGTGGTCCCCATTGAAGCTTCCGATCAAGACCAGGGTGTGAACTCCCAGCTCTCCTACAGCATCAGCTCCGGTGACAAACGTGGCATCTTTGGCATCAATACTGCTGGCCAGCTGCTTACAGCCCAAAAAATAGCTAGCTCCTGGGAAGGCGTTCATGCGGTGACCGTTCAGATCTCAGACGGCGGGACACCAATGCAGACCACTCCTTTAGAGCTCATCATAGTCATCACAGATTTGGATTTCAATACCTCCCTCCCAGCTAAGGTGTTCTTCGAACGATTCAACCTCACTGCTGCTGATTTTGGTCTTGCAGACCAGGATGACAGTGATCAGCAAGACAGTGATCCTCTGTCCTCCTGGCCCGTCATCACTGCCATTGTTCTTGGCTCAGTGTTCATCCTTCTTGTCCTTGTCTTCCTCCTTGTATACTTGAAGTGTCGCTCCAAGGCCAAACCCCAGCAGGTCTACACTGTTCCGCCTGACTTGCCTAGCAGTGAAAGCCACACCAGTGCTGACTACTTCTCCGAGGTTCACAGCATGACTCCCCAGCGAAAGCTGTCAACGGATACATGTTTGTCAGTCACAACATCCCTTGGCTCCGTCCAATCCAAGAACATCATGAAATGGCGGGCCCAAGCAGTTCAGGCCAATGGGACGTTGGATTCCAGACTAGGCAACCTTCAGATGACAACCTTTGGCAGTAACTCCGATGTCATGTCCGACACTTCGGCTAGAAGGACACCAGAAACAGATGCTGAGGTAACCTTTTATAGATTTTTTTTTTAAATGTCATTTGTGAGTAACCTTCTCTGTATGCAAGATTAAATTATATCATTCGGTAAAAGAATTTTTTCCCACAAGCTATTGCGAAGTTATGTAAGAGATGATTTTATAAAAAACAAAAAAACAAAAACACACACCCTATGTGCATCATCAACTCATGAACACACGCACACATGTGCACCCTTTGTGCTTTACAGTATAGCGGCGACAGCACAAAAACAACAGACTATTTGCAATGTATGAGCTGGAGATTGCTGGTGTAAGACATGCTAAAGATACTCAAATTTTAACCAGGTAATTACTTGTAACGCCAACTGCAGTGTTGATTGCGGCTTTGGATTATGATGTCTATGTCAAATGAAGCCTTAGTGTAAACAGCTAAATCCCGCTCACATCCAAAAGGTCAGGCACCTGCAACTATCATCTATGTGATGATAACCTTGCACAAAGGGACCTAGACTAAACACATTCACCCTTCTTGATTTTGGTTTCTCAGGTTCAGAGACTCCTGAACATTCTGCGGATGGAGACGGATGCGGTCAGCGATAATTCCCGGAGCAGCTACGACAGTGGACAGGGAGACCATGAAGAGCACGACTCCGCACAGAACGTCTTCCCGATTCAGCATTACGTCCGAGGAACACCGCGATCAGCATCCTGCCCAAAACTCTCTGGACTCAGCGGACAAGGTATACCGACATTATTTTTATTCAAATAACCCACATAAATCTTCTTCTTTTTTGCTGGACCCAAAGGTAAAGCTCCGAGAATGACTGAAGTCAGAGACTCACTGAGTATTTCATAAACTGAGACTTTTGTGACCAACTCGACGAGGCAAGCCAAGTCTTGTTTATTAATAAAAGTATATGATTTTTTTTTTTTATGTGGGCAATGTAAACATTGACTGCATGCGCAAGTCTTGGAACGTAAGTTGCAATGGCTATTAACCTATCGCGATAGAATCGCATCAACGCAGCTTGTGAAATTTTGTCAGATGACATGATATACAAATGGACGCGGAGCGCGCAAAATCTGAGACAACAAAACTTAACATTTAAAATTCCATAGGGTTGTCTATTTAGGGTGTGGCTAACTCGCAAATGGCAATAGGTCAATTGCTCATATCATATGGGCCCAATTGTACGGTGCTGCACGTCACTGAATTGTGTGCTATTAATTCCCTTTTTTATGCTGTCAGTGTTTGCATAGAAATGTCTGTGTGAGCCATTTCATAGCTGAATCCTCGGTTAAAAGGACTACTGCGTGTGTGTGAACGTGTTCAATACATTAATCATTTTCTGTTACTTGTACTCATTACTTTGAATCCAATATACATGTACTTGTCACATTATTGTACAGTATAGGGCCACATTTTCCATGGTCTAACGTTACTGTATGATCTTGTTTTAATCTACCCAGGACAAGCGTCATCCAGGGATCACTACATGGCCAGCCCCCACTGCACCCAAGAATGCGCCACACTCGGCCACTCGGATCAGTGTTGGAATCGCCATGAACGGCCCCATGAACGGCCCCATCGACCGCGCTCTGCCTCCGCAAGCATCATCCCCCAACAACCCATTCATAGGCCAATCGGCTTATACGCTGACAGATCGGGAGGTTACAACATTGACGCCCACTCACCTGGTGGTAATACATTGACCAAGTCTCACAACGACAAGACATCCCTTAGCGATTCCAGGAGAGGATCTAATGACAACTACACCAATGCAGCTGCTAGAAACCATTCCAGAAATGACTATTCCCCGGCTACCGATGGTCATCACAGCGGAAACTATGGGACAGTATCACGAGGGGCAACGGGAAAGCAACGAGCAAATGCCAACAGCTCGCATGGCTCCACGCTTCCCCAGGACCATGCGAGCAATAAGCATTACCGGAACAGCAACACGCCGTTGATTCTCTCGCCCATAACTGAAGACCCCATGGAAATCACCGACCCGAGAAGTGCTGCTCACAATGTCAATTCCTACGAAGATTTCAAGAATCGCTGTGGCATTAGCGACCAAGTCTACCCAATCAGTAATGTGGTGCGGCATAAGAACGGCGCAGTCTATGATCACTATGGACTCGGTGAACTTCAGTCAGATGCTGCAGATGTTGATTTTGGGTACCAGACCGATGTGACTTCAGGTTACTTTCCTCAACAGAGCATACAGACATGTCTATGAGATGTAAAAGCCTGCTCCCATTCTAAAAGTCTGGTGCCAAGATCTGCAGTAGTCTGGCGCCAAGATTGACAGTAGTCTGGTGCTGAGATAAAAACCAGCCAACACACTGTGAACATCACAAAGGTAGCGACTATAGCGTATGGCTTGCTTTGTGTAAAATGTTACCCTGTCCGTCCGCTGGGAGCGTGACCATAGCACCTAGTCTGATGTCCTGACTTGTGTAGCATGCTGGTGCTAATTAGTGCAAAACCAAGGATCGCCTTTTAGAAACTTTCTAAAACAATGGGAGTTACTTGTCAATTTCTGAAATACCCAAAGTGCCTGATAAAAAAAATGGCCCGTTAAACAATTAAAAACCCTAGGTAAAGACTTGCCAGGACAAATATTCATAAGTGTGTAAATATATATATATCCAACTGTTATTATATTTATGTTATGTAACAGCTTTTTATATTCATTGTAATTTTTTCCATATGTAAATGAAAGCTACAAAAATACAAGTGTACTTATTTAGGACTTGCATGTTAAAAGCTTTGCTGTTGTGAATGTTGCTTAACGAGAGTATTAAACTGTTTCAACGATATTTTCATGATCTCGAATTGAAAAATAATAGGTTCAAAATTTATGACAAATTTGTTGTGAACGGTATGTTGATAAATGATAACCAAATACGTTTTACAGATTGGCAAATTACTAAAAAAGGAAATTCCTTGACATGTTCTGTTTCTCATTACATGTATATGCAACATTGACTAGGTGTAATTAACATACATGGGTGTCATACATGGTTTTCCAGAAGTTTGTTTGTTTCTTGGAGATACCACATGTAAAATGTACACTGTTAGTGAACATAAACTTACGAGTGTAAGGATTATTCAGAATGATGCAATACATGTACAATGCATGTACGTGTCACACATTAGTAACAAACTACAATTTCAACAAAACTTGATGCCTTAGAAATTATTTGAAATTCACAAAAATCTATCAGCCTTGTCATTTATTTCTCCACAGATATGCACCCAAATAGTAGAATTAGTAGAACTGATTTCCTATATTGATTTTCACAGCATCCAATTAAATTTTCTCTGTACAATTTAATTAATTTAATACATGTTTCGCATATGCAGAGATATTTTAATTGATGCTTCGCTTGTCTGATACGCATATACTTAAAAATGTCTAAAAAGAATGGATGTTAATCTTAATACATTGTATCTCATCTGCACTAACAGAGCTGTCCATTTTCAAATAATTGCGTTTCACCGAATATTTGAATATTCGTAACTTGCCGATCAAGTTTACACATGCCAGCTGCAAATAAATTATACGCAAAGTGCATTGGATAAATTTAGATAACATCACAGATGTGTATGTGTATGGTTTTTTTTCTTACAAATTATGAATATTCGAACCGTTCAAAAGCTTTTCAAGTATTCCGTTGTTGATCAAATATTCGGTTTATTTGGGACAGCCCTATAGATCTTTATCATGCTGCCACCATTTCTGTCATGTTCCCTGTATCCAATTACAGTACTGAATGATAATGTTTTTGTGCAGAAAGGAACCAGACTATTTTTTCTTCCAGCCTCGCTTTGGTTACATTGATTTGAATGAGGAAAATCCAAATGGCTGCAACATGATAAATGGTCTATACCCTTACAAGTCTGAATCCATCAAAATCTCCTCCGCAGCTTTTGCTTGATTTTTCATAGATTCAGGAGTGCAGAGTACAATCATATTGGCTACGTTCTTGTGGGTCACTCTTGATACTCTCAAAAGCAGGAAAATGTTGCAATGGGTAACATCGGGTCACATCGCTCGAACGGTTGATGTTGTTATTAGGCATGCACAAAATGGCTACTACAATAGCAGAGGGTATTTCTTCGTAAACGAACAAAGTTTCAATGTGGAAATAAGTAAATACAGTTCCAGATTTTTGTTACTTTTCAAAAATTTTTAAAAATTGGCAATTTTTACTCTTCCATCATCTTGAAATCACATGATTTCGCCAGGTGCCAAGTATCTCTGATCGAGAGTACACTTTCCTTACCTGAGAGTCATACTCTTGCCATTCGTTCACTAGTAAGTGTACTCGTGTCAACACCAGTGACTCACTCGAACACAGCCTCTGGCCTTACCAATGGTTTGACATCCCCATCACTGTACATGAGCTTTATACTCCATGTTTTTCTTGATATCAGTACTTGTTTCAAGAATAAATTTAAATGGTATTATTAATCAAATCTCTCCAATGGTTGTCGTTATTAATCAGTGTAAATTACGAAAGCTCAGGAAAAGTCAAATTCCCCACAAATGTTTGACAAACATAACCAAGTAAATAACTTTGAAGACAGGGAGCCTAAACACTAGCAGTGGGATTAATTTCCGGACTGTTTAATATTTGATTTGAATTTCGCTATTCAGTTTTGATTTTGGAAGCCGAAATTCGAAACGGACCGTAACAAAAATAAGCATTCCATTTTTTGTGACAATGGATAAAGAAAACAACTGGAACATCGCCTAATTTGCTTCATGGTCTACGATTGTAACTGCATATATTCACTTGCTAGCAGCCTTCTTGGTTCACGAATAGCCTGCCTATTTGACTTATCAGAGAGTTGCTACCAATTCTTTTTACTATTACGGCTCGGGAGGGCATAGCATGCAGCATCTCACTTTTTCGTTTGCATGACTCCTATGTTCTACTCCTACCTACTGATGTATGACGTTGCTACGATTTGGACGACGTTCTCTTAGTATCGTCCTCTGTGTCGTCGATATCGTTGGCTACTTTGCGGGCGGGGATATCAGTGATGTCGGGGGTCGTGTGCAGGCAGTTGCGGATCTGGCTGATCAGACCGTCGGGATCAGACGTGGCAATCTTGGCGCCTGGGTAAAGCAAGGAATCCAAATTTAACAAAAATGCAAGAATAATTTATTGATATTACAAAGTGGGTCGTGTTGCTACTAGGCCAGATAAAATTACTCTTGTATTTCTTAGTTCACAATCATAAAACAAATATAGCCATAATTGGCCCTTTGTTTAATTCTTTGCAGTTAAAAAATTACAGGTGACACAGGTGTTAAGGTTGGGTGGACAAATAAAAAACACAGGTGAAATCTTATATGGCCTAATGCTGAGAAATACACAGTGTTGGTCGATAGGCAAATGACTTGTGCAATATTTGCAATGCCAAACCAAAATAATAAAAAACAAACAAAAACAATTCACAAAAACTTCAAATTCTTCACTGATGGTTGATGACAAAAAATTTAATGAAAAATTGCAGGCATATTTTGGGTTCAATAAAGTTTGGTATTTCAAACATGTAACAGGTTCCATTTTAATCGTTCCTATAGATCAATTCTTCTGCCATTAGGAAATTTAGCAGGTGTACTAAGCAAGTCATTTGCCTACCTGACGGGGACTTGTATGCATTCTAGTTATCGGCCGCCTATTTGCTAAAACCCCCGCACACGCTCAATAAGCTTGCGGAAGAACCCCGGCTCTTTTCCTTTTTCTTCATCGGACAGAGACTCATCAGATTGCGATTCTATGACAAAGACGAAAACAACAGAGTGGTGCTAATTCTTTTTATTTTTGAATTTTTTTCCTTCAAAAAGTGATTTTCAAGTAATCAACGGCTAAAAAAGAATCTTGATTGTTTGTGCAGTTAAACTGTTCATGTGCTTTAGATGTGACGTGCACCTACCGTCGCTAGTCTTGGTAGTTCCGTCAACCGTTCCTGACACTCCTGTTTCCTCCTCGGTGAATGCGACTAACAACGCCCGCTGTTTGTTCGTTAAATTCCTGTAATAAAAAATAAGACGCATCTACCTTAGTCAAATCTGGGCTCTTTATAAATGACGCAGTTTACAAAGTATTGTAATAACTGATTTTAAAGGTATAGTCCATCATTTGTAATTTGTGCATTTTGTCGTTTGAAGCAACAAAAGAGTTCAAAATCTAATGAAGGATACTGAGCAACTAACCTGATGAAGTTTCAGCTCAGCTTCAGCTGTGTATTTCGAGAAAAACAGCATTCTAGGATCTCGATTTCAAATCAAAAGTTGCTGAATCATGTTTTGAATTGGGCCTGAATTCAGCGTCCGAGACACGTTCTTACTGAGCCGAATGCAGCTACGCGATGTTGTGCACTGATCCGACGAATTATAGAGGGCGTGCGCGCGTGTGCGTCGTGTCAACGCTTGCGCGCGCTTCGCTGAATAAAAAACGAACTGCTAATGGAAATTTCCAACGGTGCGTCTTAAGAAGCACCGTTGGAAAGGTCTTCTTTCGTTGATTTCTTCAAAATGACAGCATGCCAGAAAGAATAATTTCACAGGGAGTTTAGTCCCCATGCTATCTTTCAACTAAGTATGTTTTTCAACAATAATTATGTCAGTCACTTTTTGGATAGCTGCAAATGATGGACTACAGCTTTAATGTTAGTGAACAGTTGGAAAATTATTTAATTTATCATACAATTATTATTTACTCACTTTCAGCGCTATAAGATGAAGCAAATTGAGTGGCTTTTAACTTATCATCTACAGTTTTGAACAATAACTGGATATATATTTTTTTATTTGTTCACTGGTTGAATTTTTACTGTATCGGTTGTGTTTAAATATACATGTAGTTACTGTTTGGAGATATATGCAACATAAACTGGAGATTGCTGTTGTTTAAACTGAAACCTATTTTAAAGATGGCATAAAGGAAAGCAGGCAATATTATTTTGTTGTAAATGAAAACAGATTTTCCAGTTATGGTTGTGAAAACACACCCTTGTTGCATTAATATTTTGAAACCATTCTGAACACTAGGGTAGTTTCATAACTCCACCCATTAAATATATACCGAGTGGTGTTCATTTTTTGAGAAGCCGTTTACTCACGTTGGTACTTGGATCTTGATGTGGACATAGTGGTCTCCATAGCCATAGCCGTTCACCCTACTGATGCCTTTACCTGGTAGCCGTATCCGTGTATGTGACTGAGTTCCCCCTGGAATCTGTACAAACACATTCAACACATTTTATGACTGTCGTTCGAGTTGTACTAAACCAAAATGTGTTACTCAAGTTGACCAACACACAATTTGGTTACAGACGGGCAAATGTTATGTACTACCTTTCCATTGAAGGGACGCTAAAGTCATTTCAAATGATTGCAACTGACGATCTTCTGCAACTTTAACAATATTCTGTTTAACAAACCTGTTTAATTGTTTAACCCCTACTATACTTTTAACACACCAATGGTCACTTGACCAATTTTGACCCAAGTAACATGTTTGCATAGGAGGGTTAATTAACTGATAACACACAAACAACTCACATAGGGAAGACTTCTGTATTTTCAAAATAAACTCATTTAAATTTCTTGGCCAAATGTGGCAATAAAAAGTTTGAGGTTGCAATTTAGCCGCAAAAAAATCCAGGTGGGATACTGTAAACACCCATTTTTTTGGGTGTGGCCTTAGTAGCGGACTCTAAGGACGTGAAATCTGCGATTTGCCGATATTATACTTACACTTAGGTGTATACTGTCGTAGATGCCTTTAATCTTGAGACTGCCGCCTAGCGCAGCTTGGGTGAAACTGATCGTCACGTCAGAGTGAACATCAGCGCCGTCCCTCCGGAAGGTCTGGCTGCGGGCCACACGGAAGGTAATGAAGAGCTCCCTGTTGCCGACCGGCATCCGGACTGTTTGCCCATCCTCAACACCTTACACAGATATACAAGACAAACAATTAAGCTATGTTGGCAATGCACTCATTAAATAAATTGGGGAGGAGGGGGGGGGGGGGGTTTCTTCCTCACCTCCTGGCATGCTGTGTACAAACCAATGTTTAACGGGTCAAAATCCAATGGGGGTCTTGACCAATATTGACCCAAGTATTAAGAAGGCTGACAATGGATGTTTTCATAGGAGGGTTAAAAAAATGGGGGGGGGGGGGGGGGTTTACTGGCGGTAAAAATTCTCATGATTAAATTTCAGCTCCGTCTGCACTTGGACTTTCGACTTGGATTTGCTTGACCATTCAAATTTGGCCTAGTTGACCCATATTATTAAAAGTACTTGACCTTCCTTCTACACAGATCGCGTTGTCATCAACATATGCAACATGAACATAACACAGACGTATTTGATTCCAACTGCTGTATTTACGGAGTTCTTCCTACCTGCTGGTACTGGGACAGTGACTTTCTTGCGTTGCATGGTCGTTCCCGCGCCCCTACACGTCATACACGGGACGGTGATAATGACGCGTGCGCCCCTGCACTGCCGGCACGTGGTCCGCATGACAAAGGGACCGGTGTTGATGGTTTCCTAGGCAAGAGAAATTCTGACAATTTAGTAAAGTAACGTTTTCTGCCATGCCCACTCTGAGTAAAAAAAATGATTTAACATATGGAAGTGTGAAATTGTTGTAGTGTGAAAGCGGTCTGAAAATGTAACTAACATATTGTCAAAACAATAATTCATTATATTAGAGCAACCCAATCAACATTGTGGGCCTACAATCGGACTTGTTGAGGTAATGCTGATATTTGCTCCTACCTGCCCTGTGCCGTTACACCGATGACACTTGGTTGTCTTGGTACCCGGCTCTGCCCGGTTCCCTTTACACCTCTCGCATGTATCCTCCATGCTGACCGTCACATCCTTGTTGACCCCCCGGGCTGCCTCGCTAAACGTTAAGTCCATCATCACCTGAAACATCACCAATCAATGCAACCGTTAGATTTCAGGGAACTGAAAACCTCGCACATCTTTCCAGATCCTCTCCAAGTCAACTGCACATTTAAACCTCACAAGCCTCATGAAAAGTCCTCAAACCTCTCCATCACCACAAGCATCAACATATTTCAATTCTACTACACAATCAAAACCTCACAAACTTCTTGAAACCTCCAAAAACCACTGCACAAATAACCAAACCTCTTCTCGTATACATCCCTACAACACAAAGAGGTTCATCAATAAAACATGAGACATATTTGAGGGTTGCCTCATTTCTGATTCTTGCCTCACTGTCATGTTTTATGAATTATCCCTGAGGGAACCACTGAGGTTCCGGAGGTTCATTGCAAAACCTCACACATCTTTCAGTTTTCTTCACTTCTTCACTTCTGATCAAAGGAGCTTCACCAAAGTAAACCACAAAGAAACCTGAGGATCCACAATAAATCCTCTCAAGCCCAAGAGGTTCCCTTAACTTCTGACGGTAACACAACTATTCTCACCTCATGACCCCTGTCGTAACCTCCAAAGATTGAATCCCCAAAAGGTGAATCCCCACCGACTCCCCCGCCACCGAAGCCAGCACTGCCAAAGATCTTCCTGAAGAGCTCCTCTGGATCCACATGTTGCCCATGCCATTGACCCTGCTGGAAGCCGCCGCTGCCACCGCCGAATCCTGCCGCGCCCATGGTGTCATACTCACGCCTCCTTGTCTGATCCCCTACGATCTACAAGCACACAGGAAAAAATCAGGAATTTATAAGCAAAAGCGAGTACTTGAGTACTTGCTTGAGGTTTATACTACTCACTGTTCTACTCATGGTTCAGGCATGCAACTGAAAATTTAGAAAAAAAAACGAGGAAACTTCAAACCACGCAAGACTTTTTTCAATTTCAAAGTATTTTTCAATTTGTAAGGGCATTCATGAGAAGTAAAAAAAAAGAGGAAATCAGCGGATCCGAGGAAAAGCTGAATGCCTGATGGTTATTCAACTATTCTGTTACTTGTGAGTAGCGGTTATTTGCAAATAGTGATTGAGTTAAGTAATTTCCTGTCATTTTCTGACACATCTGCTGTCTTTTGTCGTCAATCTCAACCAATGATTGTATTGTGTCCTTGAGCAAACCACTTTACTCTCATATTTGCTCCGTTCATCCAGGAGATGGCTACAGACGTTTTGACATGGACTGCTTCAACTTTTAAATTTGAAAAAATATGTGGGATAGTCAACAGTTTTAATTTTTGATTTTGCTCTTCGCCGACCTTCATATCAAAATGTGAAGTGCAAAACCAATATAACTCATTTCCCAATGCAAAATTTAAATTTACCAGATATTGTCACCCAGTACTTGTATATGTGGGTTTATTCCAGAAACATTGTCGAGAGTTGCACCACAATGAATTCAGTTCTAAAAAGTGTAAGATGTTGAAGAATTGAAATATTAATTCCAACTTGTTGCTGTTTACAAAAATGCTACACAACTCTAATTGCACTACCAGAACCAAAAAGAACCATGCACTGAATATTACAACAAATGCTGAATGATGCAATTTAAAGTAAAACAAACCTCATATGCTTCGGCAATATCTGCAAACTTCTTGGCTGCATCTTTGTTGTCCTTATTCCTGTCTGGATGATACTTTTTGGCCAGCTAAAAAGAAGATAAAACAAAACAATTGTCATATATTTTCCCAAGTACACAAGGTTGATGACTTAAGGGAACATTTTGGTTATTTTTAACCAAATATGCTAATAGTAACGTAAACTCATCATGGTAAAATACTTGGAGATGCTAAGCACTCTGAAGCAGATTTATGTTGTTTGACAGGGCTTCTAGCCAAAAAGTCTCAGAGAATTGGGGTCATATTCATGTCTATTGGCTTACCTCATAGTAGGCCTTCTTGATGTCTTTCTGGGAGGCATTTTTGGGGACTCCTAGTGTCTTATAAGGATCTGAGATGGCCAGGGCTGCTGGGCTGGTGTGGATCAATCTGCTGTAAGATACACCCAAATGGACTCCTGCCAAATAAAATATCAAATACACAATAAATAGTATGGTTGTTCATCAACTGGCAGGCGGCCCTATACTTTATAGTTGCCACATCGTTTAACCATTGCTCTGCAAATACCTCCAAAACACTTCACTGTTTGATTTTAAAACAGCCTATACTTAATGCATGAATCAACATGATCAGCCTCCATTGACCGTTGACATCGCCATCTTTGTCATATATTCTGTGCCAGTGTATCCTGTGCATGATGGGACCTATTTTCAATGAAATGCCCCAAAGATTACCACATGATCACAAAGATCGCAGTATCTCTGAAATAGTCTATGCACTCCAAGGAATTTACTCATTTTGTTGTTCAGCTTTGCATCCTCAAGCATGGATGCCTCAAGGGTATAAAAGAGTGAATCTTTTGCTGCGTAAGCTGGTAAGAGTCTAAGCAATCATTGAGAAACAATTGATAGGCGCATAACCAACATGACAAAATTTACGGATATCATTTATCTACGGGCCCAGTTGCTATATAAGGGAACAAAATCCACTTGTAAATAATTTGACCTACATGTACCAAACTAGTTGGCGACATTAAGAACATACAGGACTACAGGTATGTCATAGATAAAGGGCAGGGTTTTGAATTTTAGAGCGAAATTTGGGGGGAAAATGACGATGACAACAAAACGCAACGCAAAAATAAAGCTGGCGATCACCGCGTGATGTACTGTCAGCACACAAGTCATGCTGCATGGCACCAACCGGCCCGCAACCCGCATAGGAAAATCGTAATTTCTACCCCAAGAAACTGTTCAAAAAATACCAAAAAGGTGTCATTGAGACTGAGAGAAGTCTGCTTTAGGTTGACAATGTCATTTGAAGTAATAAAAAAAATTCTTGATTCTTATTTGATCGAAACAAAACAGGGGCTCTACACTACACGAACGCAAAATTTACACAACAAACAAATCAACTGAATTGAATTTTTGATTGAAATAATAATCAAATAATCGTCTGTGGCCTACTCTAATCTTAGTCTGTTAGTCTTATTACAATCGTTGACATGCACCCATACTACTCCTAGAACTATGAGGCTCCGCATGAGCGGAGCCTCATAGATCAAGAAGCCCGCAAAATTGCCTGCAGCACAAAACACTAATAAAGTACAAAAACGTCCATCAAAATGCAGCCATTTCACACAGAACCGCTGCACAGTTTGCCCCTATACTCCGTACTTTATCTCTTGACATACTCACGTATCTTGTGCGGAACTAACATGGGTGGATTCTGTCGGTTTTTAGGCCAAAATGATGAAAAATATGCCCTTTCCGCACTGAGCCAACCTGACACTTGAAACGTGCACGCATATGATCGAGCGATGATTTTCGGTTCGCTCGGAGCGCGCCGCGGGGGGTACGGTACATGCACTTGTACGCATGCACATACTATCATTTCGCTTGTACCGTACCCCCCGCGGCGCGCTCCGAGCGAACCGAAAATCATCGCTCGATCATATGCGTGCACGTTTTAAGTGTCAGGTTGGCTCAGTGCGGAAAGGGCATATTTTTCATAATTTTGGCCTAAAAACCGACAGAATCCACCCATGTTAGTTCTGCACAAGATACGTGAGTATGTCAAGAGATAAAGTACGGAGTATAGGGGCAAACTGTGCAGCGGTTCTGTGTGAAATGGCTGCATTTTGATGGACGTTTTTGTACTTTATTAGTGTTTTGTGCTGCAGGCAATTTTGCGGGCTTCTTGATCTATGAGGCTCCGCTCACGCGGAGCCTCATAGTTCTAGGAGTACACCCATACTATAAATAAAAAGGTATGATGTGTGAAGTGTCATTGTACCATAGAGCAAGGAACACTATGAGTTTAAAAATGTACGCAAACACACACAGCCCGGCCTGAGCACGGACTGACAACCCATGCCCTGTGCCGCGCCGCCGGCGGGCGGTCACCCTGCACTACGCCGCGCCATCGGCATAATTTGTTTTGGACTTTACCATCAATCGTTTTCCCAGTGTTCTTTCCCATCAAAAATGACGCTTTCCAGTCATCATTTCCAAGCGACCGGAAGCCCCTCTTGGACACCACGGTGCACCTCATGCATGGGAAGAATTGCTGGATTTTGCGTGAATTCTGTGGCAAAATTCGCAGTAACTTCGTCATGCTTGTCGCAGCCATGTTGCCTAGTAGTAGTCAGGTTGCCTTGCTAATTTAGTACACAATTTTATATAAAGGTCGTCTGGGAACAATCTGCTGTTAAACTTGTTCCAGTCAATCGCACTAATTTGTGAATTGTGTGTTCCGTGGTTTTTAAAGGTCGCCCCCTATTGACGAGACCCCGGCCTCCAGCTCCGCCCCCGAAAAAAAAAAAAATCAGTCGTTATAAACATTATTTACCAACCAGTTCCAAGTTCTTCCAAGTTCGAATAAAAATTAGGTTTTTTTATTAAGTTTTATCCCAACCCACATAACAAAAAAACTAGATGTCAATCTTCCTGTCCAGAACATCAATTTTGTATTTAAAACAAAAATATAATTTCAAAAGGGATTTAACTGGACTACTGCTAAATCCATATTTAACTAAAAGCCTCCCCTAATGTGAAAATAACAACAAAAGCAAAGAAAAGCACACCATGAAACTATTCCAAGATAATTAAAAATGCCTTTTAATAATAAAGTCTCTATGAGATATTTTATGTATGTCTACTTTGTCTAGTCTCAAATTAATCAACAAACATATTTAATAACTCCCCAAACCGGTAGACAATAAATAATAACCAAATTCAAATACATCCCCACTAATTTAAGTTTAAAAGAATAAAAAGCTTAGATCACATTTCTCAACCTCCAAAATATCATTCCCCCCCCCAGAAAAATTTGTTGTCATGCAGCAGTTGGTCTAACATTTATGAACAATTCACGCTGTGTAATGAATGATCACTATTTCAGAATGGCACCTGTCTACATAATTTTAAGAGCAATTTATTAAAAATGTTTCATAAACACAGTTTATATAATTACTGTATTTCCACATTGGTCCTTTTTTCCATTTTCATAATAAACTCTTTTGCACTTTTAGTTAAAATATAAAGACAACACAACTCATGTACCATTTTACTGTAATATATCATGATTTAGTTACTGTAATATATATCTCTATAGTGTTGAAATGAAATAAAATGGAAGACCGGTCCATTGGGTCCTGCCCTATGATGTTTTGATCAATCATGGCCCTGATTAAAATATACAACATACATGCACAAATTTGCAACATGCTGCGTAACATGCACAGTAGCATTTGAGTGGTGCACATGTTGTTGCCAAAATGCGCAGTGGGAGGGGCTTAATAGACCACAGGGGCAGATCTAAAAGGAAACAGGAGGGGGGGGGGGAAATATGGGGTGGGGATATGGGGTGGGGATATGGGGGGGGGGGTTTAGTGAAAGGCACACTCTATTGTGTCTACTTTGCAACATTGCATGCAGAGAGTTATCATGCAATGCAAATCTGTTGTAATCATGTGATCAACATCAAGCAACTTAAAGAAAGCATCCTGAAATGGGCAAATAGCTCCCTCTGTAGTTTACGCAAAGGAAAATAAAGGACAGTAGTGTGTCACTCAAACACTGAATTGGAAAATTATATGGGAGACTTAAAGCTGCAAAATTCAATATTGTTTTTAACTCTAATCAAAGTAATTGTATGGCAATTGTAGTTTAAGGAAAGACAGCATAAACATTTCATATAAGTATACAAAATAAAAACATGTTTCTCTGGAACTCATCTGGCAATAAAGTCACAAATTACAAATTTCATGAAACTATGTCTCAGCAAGTTGAATCAAGTAATACATTGGTTATTATAGGCATACAGGATCATTTGGGCAATTCCACGGTTACTCACGTTACATTTTCGTAATGTGAGTAACTGATTTTGTGCGTCTTGTTTATCATCTTGTTTATCATACATAACACATTTTTCTGGTTGTCATCTTTGGTGCTTAGGTAGGTCTAGGTCTACTCTATCTACCATGGGGATAACAGTTATTAAACCTTTTCAGTAAGGTAATTACAGCCCAAGGAAACTCAAAAGTACATCAAAAATGTAACTTGAGTAACCGTGGAATTGCACATTTGCTTTATCTCAAAAGTACACTACCAAATTATTATCAAAAAACTTACTCAGATTAAAGGTTGCACTGGTACTACACACCCCAAGAAATTATTCCATCTGGCTTGCTGTCATTTAGAAGAAATCAAGAAATGTAGGCGATTTCCAATGATCAGTCACTTGACTGGTTTTTGGAATACGGAGCGCTGGTGACAAAATTGTGTTTTGTGATTAAAAGGTTGTGCATGGTTTTTCACTGTTTCTCCGTACGTGTAATATCCACTGAGCTGAAACTATTTGAGGTTAGGTTTTGAACATTCTTCTTTGGACTTTGAGTGGTGTTATTATTGGAAATGTACAAAATGCATACTAAGCAAATGATCCTAAATGCGTTAAAAATTCAGGCACTCTTTGGAATAAGCGTCCACTGGGATAGAAAATCCCCATTACAGCATGCTACCTTTTACAGAGCATTTTCTTGAACAAGGGTATGGACATTGTTTAAGAAAGACAATATATGCCAATGCAATTAAAGATTGTGCCCTAAATCAAAAACAATTGTTCTTCATCATGCAATTGTCTCTAGTACTCTATATCTCTGTAGACTTCGCCTGGGGCCACAAAAATTAAAATTTAAAATTGGATAAAAGAAATCATGAAAATCAATGTAAAAATTTACAACCATTTCATTTTGTTATTTTGAGTCCTTATAGGTGTGCTTAGTCAGTTTCCCTTTGTGGTTGAAGAGCAAAAAAAATTCTAACATTTTTTTTTCTTTTTATACTTTTCATAAAAGTACTTCTTATCATTTCTTTTCAAACTTTTCATAGAAGGGTCTCAAGCACGGCTCGATCCCATCTCTGAACTTTGTGTTCTGACCAATCCCTAGGCTTGTTAGAGAAGAGCAGTCCAGGCGGCAATCGTACGGCCTAGGGGTTCCAGATGGAGGGTTGTGATTGGCTACCACATGGTCACCTTTAAGACTGAAGACGTCCACCATGACTTTGGCCATGTCGTTCTTGGTCATCTGCTCGTTGTGACACCAATGGAAGATGCCCTTTGCGGCGGACGGATTCTGGAGAAAAAAAATTAAACAAACATCACAATTTTTTTTTACGTCAGCTACATAAGAAAATTATTCTGCCTTGCCTGAAATATGTGAATGTAGGATAAGTAAAATCTTACATTAAATATACATGGACAATGCGTGCGTTCATTGGTGTATCTCGCTAGCATGGCGATTGCCACAGAATAGCGCATGCACAACGACCCTAGACTCGCAAACCAAGACATTTAGCTTTTCAACAGATTGTTCCCTGTACACATGTGAATGCGATGCGTCCTTGCAGAAAACTTAAGTTGATTGCGCGCACTGGAAGCACGGAGCAGGCAACCACTGTTTTATTGACTCATGAGCAACAGTAAATTTTATTATTACGATTTTACTATTAGCTGAGCGATGATATGCAGCCATTTTGTACCCCAGTATGCGCAAAAAGAGGATATATTTTTCCGGCCTAAGAAGGGATGGAATGCCGGAGTTTTTCCACCAAAACTGAAAACCCAAATCCAACTATAGTCCGAAGAGTGCCATCCTTTTTTTTTCACAACAAAAGAAATTGCCAAGTTGCCTAGACACACACCTTGAGATACAGATCTCCCATCTGTCGACAGACCAAGGCAATGTCCTGTACGTGGGTCGGGTAGCGGAGCTGGTAAGCGCACATGGGCGCCGGCTTGCTGGTATCCAGCAGAGCTTTGAAGAGGATGGTCACCGCACTCTCCTCAAGATACTCCACCTCACCGTACAGGACTGGAACTCGCAAGATGGCCGACGGGCACGCAGCTGAAAAAACAATTCATTCAAGTTGTAATCAGCAAAATGCTACTAACCAAAAGGCCTGAAATTGGAATGTGGGCATTTAAGCTGTAGTCCATCATTTGCAGCTATCCAAAAAGTAACTTACGTAATAATTGTTGAAAAACACACTTGGTAAAAATATAAAAGATAGTAAGGGAACTAAACTCCCTGTGAAATTATTCTTTATGGCATGCTGTCATTTTGAAGAAATCAACACAAAAAAGCCTTTCCAACGGTGCTTCTTAAGATGCACCGTTGGAAATTTCTGTTAGTAGTTCGTTTTTTTTTATTCAGCGAAGCGCGTGCAAGCGTTGACACGACGCACATGCGCGCACAGTTGCTATAATTCGTCGGTAGCTGCAATCGGCTCAGTGAGAACATGTTTCCGACGTTAAATTCAGGCCCAATTCAAAACATAATTCAGCAACTTGAAGATCCTAGAATGTTGTTTTTCTTGAAATATACAGCTGAAGCTGAGCTAAAACTTCATCAGGTTAGTTGTTCAGTACCCTTCTTTAGATTTTGAGCACTTTCGTTGTTTCAAACGAACAAAATGCACAAATTACAAATGATGGACTATATCTTTAAGTTTAAAAGCAACGTAGGATCATTTGCAACTACCCGGAAAAGTACCACGCTATGCAAAACAACATAATTTTGTGCATTCATAGTATGACTCGGTGATCGTCATCTTTATCTTATAGTCATGTTACCCCAAAGTTCTTCCTCAAAACATCAAAACCCTGTTGGTTTTTGAACATTGTTAACTGCTTTAGTGAGTCAAATAACCTAAAAAAGAGTGGATTTTTGTTCTCTTATAGGAATGGGGTCCTTGAATACACAATCAGCACATCATTACTGCTTACAGGTTACATCAATATCTTACTATTGGCTTGCACAGCGACTTCCCCATCCAGCTTAGACTGGCCGTATTTGTTGAGTGGGTTGGGCTTGTCGTGGACTTTATAAGGTGCGTCTTTGCCGTCAAAAATATAATCTGTGCTCAGGTAGATCATGTAGGCTCCAATCTCACCTGCAAAAAAAATGGACAAATATCAATGGACAAATACTTCTTGCAATAACAGTTCAGTATTCCAACGTTTCCTTGTGGTTTCTGTGCTCTAGTTATGCTTCAACTTTATTCTAAGAAATTCTGAAACAATTGAATGGAATTGTGTGAGATGCCCTGAAAAATGGGATTTAGAACTCTGTTCTGTATGGTGCCCTTCCCCCTATCTCCACCACCATCAGACAGCGTCGCCTTCGGCTAGCCGGTCACGTTTATCGACATAATGAGCCAGCTAGTCAAGTTCTCCTCTGGAATCCTGAAGCCCCTCGACAAAAAGGTCGTCCCAACATGACCCTGAAAACATCCATCGAGCTAGAAACTGGTCTGATTGGTCCATCTCTTTCCAACACTATGCTCGACTGGGACAGTTGGGCCCAACTCATCAAGTCATCATGAAAATGAATGAATGGAGAAGAAGAAGAGGGTTTGGTATTTTATTCTCACCACAGATGGAGGTGATCGTTGACGTTGCCCCAACGTTCAAGTTCTTGGTCTCCTCTGCCTGTTTTTCGACAACATCCGGCCTCCGCTCGGCTGCTGAATGCACCACTACATCTGGCTGCATGGGAGTTAAGATTGGGGAGAAATATGCATGAGCAATGCAGATTCAAGCCCAAGCTTTTAAAGCAGTTTATCCATTTTGTATCAGTAAAATTTGGAGGTAGCATACATTTTTGAATATAGTCATGACTTGTTTTCGTCCATGTGAAAGTATGCTGCCGAAATGGGGGTGGGGGATGGGGGGAGGGGGCATATCCCATAATCCCTCTTCAATCCGAGCATGCTATCAATTCTGTCACGAAGGCCCCCTTCAATGGCAAAAGCATTGTGCTAGCTATTGCTCAGGTAATCTATCACGGGCTGTTGCTTTGTACAACTGTAGCATACACAATGGTTTCTCCATTGAAGGGGGGCAATTAGTGAGTATACAGTGATCACGTGCTCGGCTTTGTCTATACCCATGATTATGTTTTTACCTGGCTCCTTTATATAATTCACTGGTCTGCCCAAATTTTTGTTGGGCAGCCATATCTTGATTTGCCAGCTCTATAGGCTCTGTGCGCCAACGAAAGAGGGCGCCCTTTTACCTAGCAACGACGTCCCATGGGCAGGACATTTAGCTGGTTGACGCGCACCGTTCCTTGTGTGTGACGCACGTACATCGGGGGATTTGTACTATGTACGTACACGCAGTGGTACGGCCGCGCATCGCGGCAAAATTGCAGTCAGGCAAGATGGCGTCGGTCGGTCACCCCCAACTGTACTTTCTGGTGAGGGGGTACTTGTGAACGGAGTGGATAGATTTATGGCTGTTTAACCATGTATCATGAGTCATTTCTGAATCAGGTAACATCCACCACTAGGCAAAAATAAGCAGACACATAGGTGTGAGTTTATGTATCTGAAGTCTATATATTTCCGATATCCTGCAGAGTTTGATACAAACATTTCATGGGGGAAAACATTTAGTAAGCGTTCTGAACTTTAAATTTCAAATTAAAATAGCCAAACGCTTCCCTTAATTTTTGATTGAATTAATCAAACACCTTTAAAACTGTTCAGAATCGATGGAAGAGGTGTAACACAAGAAATATTAACTGTATAGCATAAAGAATATTACAGAGTTTTCCTGTGTGATCTCTGGATCCATGACTAGCAAAAGTATTTTTTTCATAGACTACATCAAATATTTGATTATAAAATATTTGATTATACTACATAAAATATGTTATTATACTACATAAAACATTTGTGTACTCTTTGGCCTGCCTGTACTTTGTGAAATGATATTCAGAATAGGTCTTGGTCTATTGATTTTCTCCAACATGTTCCAGTCAACATTTATTATTTGTCATTCACACGAGGGCAAGGACATAATACCAGTACAATTGTGACCGGCTCCACAAAAAAAGGGTATTAGGCCAAAAAAAAAAAAAAAAAAAAGGGTCTCTGGTCAGCGCGCGCGTCGATTTTAATCATGCGCGTCAACCTTCTTTTTTTTCTTCAAATTAACACGGAAGCTACAACAGCGCCCTCTATTGCCGCGCCTCCTCAAATTTTTGTACCAAGGAGCACCAAGGAATGGGGAAATTGCACCAAGGCATATGATAAAGGGCACCAAGGCAAATGATGGAGGACACCAATGTATAATGAGGACACAAAAAAGCAAAATAGTACCCACCTCGTCTGTACAATACAAGCTTGAAAAAAAAAAGCCACCTAAAAACCGGTGTCGCCGCATCAATTCCGAAACTTCGGTCTGACCAGAGACCGACTATTTTTTCTTTTTGGCCTTATGTTGCAAAAAAGTGAAATGGAGTTATATACATAGTTAGAAAGCCCACAACGTAAGCTTTTATTTGGTATACTAGAGCTCCATAGTCCCTACCAATCTGGAGATATGATGTATTTGCATATTAATTACTTCCTTGGAGTTCAAATTGCATAACTGAGAAAACAGGCTTTGAAATGGCTGGTTTTGTTGTAGAACATTAGAATGATGCACACAAAATGGTTGTTTTTTCCACTTTGTTCATCAAAATCAACATTTCTGTGAAAGTAACCTGAAACTGTAGGTACTAAAGATGCCATTCATGACATAAAATGAAAATCACATTTTGACAAAATTTTCACCCTCTCAATGTTGAGCAGGCCATTACACAATAATGCTAAGGGCAACTTAATACCCTTTTTTGTAGAGCCGGTCACAATTTTTGTCTGTCTCTTCTCAACACAGTTAGATGCAGCCTAAAACTTGCAAATAAGATGCTGCACACCCATTTTACAGTAGGATATTATATTTTGAAAAGAACTGTACTGAAGCCGTTCATACATGTGCTTCACAAATGTTTAAGTGTGAAGAGTATAAATCATAACCTCATAATCAAACTTCAATTGTTGAAGTCATGAAAGTCACTTTGCTTTCACTTTTGAAATATAAAACCCACCGATTTCAAATGGCATGAGATGCGCTTGTCCCAAAACCAAAGTGGTTAGTTTTACCTTGAAATCTGTGATGATGTTTCTGACGGCAGTGCTGTCCCTCAAATCCACCTTCTTCAGCAGGCCCCCGGCTCGGCTGTAGGCCAACCCCACAACGTCCCACGATGCCTTGGTGAACTCCTTCACCAACGCTCGTCCCAGCAATCCCGAAGCACCGGTTATCAACACTTTCGGCATCGTCTAAGTATTAACGGACTTGAAAGTACAGAGGATCATTTGCATGTGTCTTAATTTCACGAAATGGACCAATTGAAGGGCTATATTAAGTTAAGGGCTGTTCACTGCTTTGTGCCCATTGGTGCTGGAAAAACACACAAAAAACCACGCTGTTCAAAAGTCAATGCAGCTTGCAGAATTTGTCTTGAATAGAATCCATAGGTCACAGGGTTGGTGACCTATGGGGCTATGGGGCCATTCACAAGGCTGGTATGATGGTCGATTAATTTTTATTATTTTTATTTATTTAAAAAAATTTTTGCAGGTATTAGTGACAGTTAAAGGGAATATACATCATTTGCTTTTGCTGTCATTTTCAGAAATGGATGGAATTGGGGGGTTGGAAATATATAGCAAATATAGTTACACTGACTTTTTTGAGGTTTTGGGTTCGAAAATGCTATAAAAACCAAGAAAAACAATCATTTTCCTGTAGTCTGGTTCCCTGACTCCATTTAAGAAGAAACAGAGCAGTTTACATATATTGGGGAATTGTAAGGTCAGGAAACCAGTCTAGCTGGCTTGTACCCGTTCATAGGTGTGTAATCGATTGCAAACAAGTGCGATGGTCAACTGGGGCCAGTATTTGAAAAAAAGCCAGTTTTTTCCAACGCTGATCGGCCGATCAGCGTTGGAAATTGATACAAAAATACCACTTTTCTTGAAAATGACAGTATACCAGGTGCCATGATTTTACAGGATGCTTTACACTGTCATTCACTAACAGTCCAGCAAGGTATTTCAAAATGATTTGGTAGTATTATTTTTTGATGTTTGCAAATGTTGTATTTTCCCTTTAACATGTGAATCATCCTGCCTTTACTGCGCTGTTTATAGACTTCATTGTCTGGCGAGACAAGACTGCACTGCGGCCCAACTAACAAACATTGAAATAAATATGAAAAAAAAAAATTAAAAACAGGACAATGTCCACATGAAATATGGTGGGGCGACACCATACAAGTAAGATTAAAAATGCTAAATGACTAAAAATGCTATATGAGAAAACAAAGTGGTGCGTGAAAAATCCGCACAACAACCAGTATATTTTTTGAGTGCCTAAGAACTGAAGTGTGTCATAACACTAAGGCCGATGCAGTTATGTACACTTGAACGGACATAATTTACTTTAACAGCACAGATTACATTGCTTTGGCCATGAGATATTGCCTCCGTTTCTTTACATTTTCTCAACCTTTTACTAAATGTTAGACATAATCTAGACATAATCTAAATGCTTCAAATTGAAATCACCGGACTTTAGGCGGAGTAAAAAATTAAAATGGTTTCTTGTCCGAGCTTTGTGAAAAATGGAGGAGGCGGACACTTTTTTCTCTTTTTTTTTCCTCCCAAGATGGCCAATTTTTCAAGATGGCAGATTGTTTCTTCCATTTTCTTGAATCTTTTGTTGATCAAAATTGTGTTCAACGGAGCCATGACCCATTCTACATATAGAGCTACAATTTTGTTGGAAACAAGTAAAAAGACAGTAGATTGACAGTATTTACAACATTTATTATGTAGGAATATAAAAAAAGGGGAAAAAACAAGCATGTGGGGACAAGAAACTGATTTGTTTACTTAAATGAACACAAAACAAAACTTTGAAATGTGACCTTAATAAGAAGGCTTAAATTTGGCCGAGAAAATTCTTCTGGAACTTAACATACTATTACTGTACTGTAGGGAATAACATTGAGTTATTCTGCATAAATCCTGCAGTCGATGCATGGAAAGAATGTTACATCCTGATTCCTGATGCCACTTTTTTTCATCATGTTATCTCAATGAAGGTCAGTCATTGCAATTTTTTTTAAAAGACATGAATCTGGGACTGAGTGAGAAACATTTCCAATTTCGTTAGAAAATGCTTTGAAAATGCACTTGACTCTCCATAAACTTTGTTCACAACCACAGAAGTGGTGTCAGGATTCTATATATATTCTTTCCCTAGATGTTACTTCTAAAATTAGAAGGCACCCCGCACACCCTCCTCCCCCCCCCCCCCCCAATTAGTCGTTTCCCTAGATGTTACTTCTAGAATTAGAAGTAGCTTGAGTAACTCCAGCTGACATGCTCCATATTCATTCACATGTAAATGAATATGGAGCATGTCAGCTGGAGTTACTCAAGCTAAATTAGAAGGCACCCCGCACACCCTTTGGAGATGTTAAAAAAGGCGATTTGTAGAGTCCTAGTTACTCGGACTAACTGAGCTGTGTGTGTGGGTTCATTCTCTGTGATTCACCAACTCAGTCATGTTGCACATAATGATTTCACAAGTCACTCATTAAAAAAAATAAAAATTAACACGAAAATTCAACTTACCTGATTGGAAAAAAAATAACCTTTCTAAGTTTCTGTCCGTTTGTCGCAACTCGTATCGGCTAGTTTAGGCTGTTTGACGAACGGAGTAACACTGACCTTTTTAATCAAAAGCCTGGATGGATGTTCCACGTACGTCTACCCAAAAGAAAACAAACTGAAGCGCCCTCAATATGCAGCTTATGAACAATGACCGATGTCGTCATTATTTGAAAATCTTACAGTAAGAATGACTAGGCCTAAGTGCATGTGCGTGCCTACGGCGCTTTATGATCTTTGATGCATACCTAGGCCTAGTGAATTAAATATAACGGATTTTAACGTCTTCCGTTGTTTCATTTGCATTTGTCATTATGATTTTTACGGGTACCATCCAAAATGAGGGCAATCTTCAAAGTGCATTTCGGATACGCGAAGCATGCAATCAGTCATGCTTGCAGTTGCAATGGAGACGTCATCCACTAGACATTCATAAGACATTTTAGAGAGAGGGCGGGGGGTATCTAGTCTATGTAATAGACGCTCGTCTTCAACAGGTAAGTTGAATTTTCGTGTTAATTTTTTTTTTTTTAATGATGTATCGCTCCCCCCCAAAAAAAATGGACAATAAGCTTGCTAGTGGTACTCAAAAAATCCTTAGGAATAAACTAGTCAACTGGGCTGTAAGAAAAGCAATGCTATCATTGTAATTAACTGGATAGAATCAATGGAACTATAAATATCAGGATTGATGACGGAAGGATTTGGAGCAAGTCTAGTAAATTTGATCGCAATATTAATAACTGAGGGCAGCAGACAGAATTAACGGTCCTCATTTATTTTAGGCTGCATCCGAATCAGCTGTCTAGAGCTAGGTCTAGGTCTGCGCCCATTGAAAATACGCGGGGATGCGCTGACAATAGACGTAGCCGTAGCTCTGGAAGCCCGTTTCGGACACGGCCTTACTTACCGTTATCATCCAGTAAGCACCGCCCCATGGTGTTCTGACCAATCACAGCCGTGATTTATGTCCGACGTGCGTGCACTAAAGTCCGACATGCCTTCACGCGCGTATGATGCGCGCGGAAGGAAAATGCAGCGTGGCATTGGTGGAGAGGAGCACGTGTTAATTTGCCCACGTGCGCACTGGGCGGAGCTTACTGGATCGGTCCATTGAGGGCGGTAGACATAATCAATGATACATTTTTAACCAAAGATCCTTGGTTTGCTGATTTGCTATCCAATCATCGCGGGTAAGGAGGTGAAAATAAAAATGTAACTGTGCATTAGTATTCTTTATTCCAGGCTCTCGTAAAGCATGGTGAAGACATTCTTTAGCCCAAGGCAAGCTACTAATTTTTCTAAGCCCATGCTAAGCAGGCAAGCCTAGGCTAAGCCGCCCTTAGGCTTAAGTTATCGATAACGTTAGCCCTACTTGCCCTAGAATTTAGCCGAAAAGAAGAGCTAAGCCTAAGGCTTAGCTAAGCCTCAGCTGGCTAGCCTAAGCACAATGGGCTAAGGAAGGATATTTTTTTATGTCGTATTGCTGTATGTTAAACAAAATTGTGGCTGGCAATAGGCCTCTCCTTGAATGTCAAGATAGTCGAAACTGCCGTCTATTTTATTATTGTATTGTTTAAATCATAGAGCAAGGAACAAATCTTGACATCGAATTAAGGAAAAGACTGTTACCGGTAATAATGTATCAATTGGTAATTAAAGCTTGGCAAATTAGGACCGTTATAGTTCTAGTCTGGTTCCCAGACCAAAAGATTCTTACTATTTCTGATGAATCTTCTGTCAGGTCTGGGAAGCAGACTTCGTTAGTTCTGTCTGCCGCCCTCAGTTGTTTAAAAATGTGGATCACACCCATTGATCTCCATTAGGAGATCAATGATCACACCATTGATTTTCATTAGTAAGATTTAGTCTTACTAATGGAGATCAATGGATCACACCCACTGATCTCCGGTGAGCCCTCTCTTTTGTAAGAAATTGTTGCATGTCGATAAAATACGGAGTGTCCTTCATACTGCAATTTCCTTAAATTATATTACATTCATTCTTGGGCGGTTCCTGTCAATTTTCTAGAGTTTCGTGTCAAATACCATGGCAAAATATTACAGGAAATTTCATTGCAATACAATGTGTTTATCTTGAGTTCCCGTTTTCACAATAACTGTGTTTACATCTCGAATGGCCAGACATCGGAGCGCGGTGAGCAGTGTTTGTGTAGCGCGCCCGCTTTTTGAAAAAAAAGGTTCATTGCCATATTTTTTTTAATTCCCCAATTTTATGGCTCTCAGAACTCTCTAATATAGAATTTTGAGGGTATAACTTTTATTCATGATCTCGGCGGATGGGTTTAGGCCTATTCACAGGTGTGTACCCTTACACGTCAATTTCCTTAAATATATTACATTCATTCTTTGGCGATTCCTGTCAATTTTCAATAACTGTGTTTACATCTCGAACGGCCAGACACGTCGGATCGGAGCGCGGTGAGCATCTACACCGTCGATTCTATCTGCCGCCCTCTATTGATCTAGTTGGATGCTATTATTTTTTTTTTAGTTACCTGTTGCATTTTCTGGCGATTCATCGGATGGGCACCTTTTAAAAATAGTGTTCCACTGGAAGGATTCGCCAGCAGGGGTGTGAAATCTCAGCTGTAAAGCTGATTTCAGCATTTTTTTGTTTTGGATTTCAGCTCTTTTCCCTAAAAATTGTGTGTACAAAAGTATAGGAGATTTCCAAAGTTCAGCTTTTTTACACCTTTTTCAGCTGTTTTCAAATTTCAGCTATTTTATCAGTGGTAACTCACATCCCTGGCCAGGATAAATAAGAAATAAATAGAATAAATAATGGTACTCGAGTTTTCTTGAACACAACTTTCCTTCTTTTTAGCCGGTTACTTTTGTCAAATAGCGGCCCTAAACTCGTGGACGGTAAATCTGTCCCCAGGTGAAACTGTCCGGGAAGGGGGGGGGGGGGACAGAATAACCTAGGTAAAAATGTCCCCCATCACGTTAATTCTGTCCCCCTCCAGGTTACTCTGTCCATGCATATGGCCCGTTCCTTGTGGTGTCTTGACAAATTCACTCCACAGGGTATACATTTTCGAGTTTTCTGTCCTTGATGAAGATATCCAAATGAAAATATTAAACTTGGTCTCTTTATTAGATGTGAGTCAATCGAGCTAGGTTTCTGGCACAGAAATCAATACGTATTCTGCCGACTTCTTTTACGGGTTGATGCAGCACCAGGTGAGTTTCTGTTTATTTGGTTTAACTTGGCGTGATGGGCAGCCTGAGCGAGTCTGCATTGGCTTTAAATAGTGATATGCATTTTGTCTGGACAGGTGTTGATTTTTGCCAATAATTATGCGAGTTTCGATTTCATGCTGACTAAACAATTTCCAGATCGACAACATGACGGGCATTTTGTTGTTTACCTTACAAGCATTTTACTCCGGAAATGAGAAACGAACGTTAACGATAAAATCCGAATGTCAATGGCATATTTACGGAAAAGTTCGGACGCTTTCGGAAACGGGAGGAATTCCTCCTGTTTTGGTCACGTGACATTGACGGTTACCTGACCGTCGTTTCGTCAGAGTTGTCAGGTCAGGGAACCAGACTATAGTCCCCACGCACGTACGTACCACTGTAACTGAAACAGAGCGCCCTCTATTGACAAATTACTTCATTATTGAAGCCTCACCCAGGCCCAGTAAGCATATTAAGAGGTTGGACATTATCACGAGAAGAGGTAATTATTGAAATGACAAAACTGTATCAATTAATGTTTAAACTAAGTCAAAACTAATTGTAATTATTAAAAGTACATGTAGGCCTACTCGTACCCCGTCCCAGTTCGCGTACATGTTGATCATGACAAAACTGATAGGATGTTTGCGCATTGAGACGACCCAATTTTTCGCTCACAGTTTTTAATTTCATTGCGTTAAGATACTGTCATTGGTGATTCAGTGCAGCCAACAAGGTTGATTGATGGGAGCTATAGTGGCAGAAACCCCGCCAGCGTGTAGCGCGCCGCTCTCGGCGCGGTGCGTGGGGCTGCGGCGGCTTACCGACGGCATGCTTATTTGATAACAACACACCACCAGAAAACGCCACATGATCTCATTGAAAAAATTAACCGGGCACAAGACTTTTCATATTGGGAACCAGCTTTGTATACACTCTGGTTAGATTTGTTTAATTGTTGAGCAAGAGTAGGTTTTTGGTTCTAGGCCTATACCCAGCCGAATGCAGTACTAGTTATAAGAAACATATGGAAAGTGTGGCCATTCATCTTAATTTGAAAATACCAAGAAGAAAATCCCAAGATTTTCCAAGATTTCAGAATGATTGTATAAGACCCAACTTTTACGTGTGCAGTAACATTTTGTGCGTACTAAACACGCACAAAATCCCTGCAAGATGTGTTGAAACTTTCCCAAGGCCTGGCACATAGTCCCAAGATCTTGGGTAAAAAAAAATCCCATGGAGTGGCCACGATAAAGGCTGATACTTTTTAACCGACTCTGATGGTAAACTTATCAAGTCCCACTACGCCTCAAGTTATTATTACATTGCGAATTTCGCCCGATTCTAATTCCCAGGCTTCATAAATCAATGCATTTTTCATCATCGTCATCCCAAGCAGAACAACACAAAGGTGACATCCACCGCGAGTATTTGCCAAGTTTTTTGTCCCCGAGTTGCCGTGAAATAACATTTTTTTCATAGTTCCCCTTGACTAGTGATTGTAATTTGAGGACGATATATTACACTCATCAATCAAGCAATATGTTTTGAATAAATAGCCGGACATGGTTTTCGACCAGGGCATACAGCGCGCGTCGGCGTTAATTCGCTAGACAATGTGTTTCGTACTCACAATCGGACCCATAGCTTAACGGGCAAAGACCTCAATTTTCCCCACCGATCTTGATGCCCTGTCGCCCGCTGGTTCACCGTTTCGTATTTGGTGAATTCTAAGCTCCCGAGTTCTGTGATTTTTTTTTCCTTCATGAGTTTTAAACTCTCCGTTCAGGCGGCAGTCGAATGATTGAGTCCAATTGTGAGCTTATATGCCTACATTCAATTTACTTTATACTGTTTCCCTAATTAAGATTTGATTATAGTAAAGAATTTG